TAACGAAATTACCGGACAGTGCACTACTGGTGGCTGTGCCAAAGGCTGGACAGGAACAAACTGTCAAAGTAAGTGAATTGACCATTGTGTATTTGGCCACAAACCCAACCCTTCTTCGGTTATTGTACATTTCTCACAGTATTTGCCACCAAGTTTGAATGGGCTACCGTAGTCAACTGACCAAAAGTTCTGATCTAATTGGTCAATGCACATTGTTTGATGGACAGGTAGGGAGGGTCTGTTGGCCTTGAGAATTAACAACAGATACTAAATTGAAGTTATAAGCTATGCTGCTTAACTTTATCCAACATCAAAAATCCTGATTTCGTGATGTCTACAATTGCTACTTGCAGTTCCTGACATATGCCCTACTGGTTATTATGGTCTTAACTGCCTCAGCAAGTGTCATTGTAAGAATGATGCCGCATGCAACAAGCACACAGGATACTGCAGTGAGGGCTGTGCATCAGAATTCACCTGTGTTTCATGTAAGTCAGAAATATTGACCAGAGCTGGATTCAAACCAGCAACCGGTAGGATGCTGTACCTTGTGCTCTACCAACTAAGTAACCCAGCTCTGTGTGTTATTCTGGTCTTCAGAGGTTCAAAACCCACTTCAGTCAATTTCTGTGAGTTTTGATTTGTTGCGTTTCTAAACAACAAAGGTGTTGTCCTCAGCTGGATTCAAACCTGGAACCTCTGAAACACTGTACCGGTGCTCTACTAACTGAGCTATCCAGCCCTGTGTTGACTTTACCGTGGTCAGAGGTTCAAAACCACTTCAGTCGATTTCTGTGACTTTTTGATTCATTGCATTTGTAAACTCCAAAAATTTAATGACCTCAGCTGGATTCTAACCTGGAACCTCTAAACCACTGTACCGGTGCTCCACCAACTAAGCCCTGTGTTGACTTTACAGTATTCTGGAGGCCATAGGTAGTTCAAAAAATTGAAATTAGTTTATACATGTAACTCTTGCTGTTAATGGAAACAAGGATTCTTAAAAGGGCGCAAGAACTGTAGCTCAGTGAGAAGCCCAAAGAAATTTAAAGTGAAAAGATATTGAAGAAATGAAGAAATGTTCAGTTTTAACCACTTTGATTTTATGCTTTGATCGTTAGGGCAATGTGAGCCTGGTTACTTTGGTCAAGATTGCAGTAAGGAATGTCACTGTTTGAATGACGCAGCGTGCGATGGCCTCACAGGCTCCTGTCAACGTGGTCGTTGTCTTGAACAGTATCAGACAGACGGGAGTGGAATATGTCAGTTCGGTAAGCTTCACACATTATAACTAACACATTTAATGATATTCTGTCCTTGGTCTTCAACAATTTGGTATAAATTTTGTATAAGTTTTCTTTTTCTATTCAGGCGTCTGTAACTCTCTGAAAAAGAGTCTCACATTTCGAGTTGCTTGTGCGCGCGCACAAACAGATGCAACCTACAAGTAGACTTATCAGTAGTTCCTACATCATCCATTCTGATAATAGAGTGAGAACCAGCCAAGCCCTTGTGCTACAAATAATTAGACATTTGTAAAAGTAATGATTCCATAACTGAATATTTGCCTTTTTTTATATATACAATGTATAAATGAGGTATATTTTCTAGGTGAAACTGGAAACTTTTAGAATGTACATATAATGTTTAATAGAGAAATCAACTGCAGTTTGATCTAACCCTGTTTTGTTATTGTTTTTTCCCCACATAGTTTTACCCATGCTCAGCCGACCCCCAGAAGTAGCAGCCAGATCCACATCAGCTACAGTCAGCTGGGAGGCATGGGGTTCTCACTCCATGGATGCTGGCAACAGTCCCATCATCGGCTACAAAATCTACCACACTGACCCCATCACTGGTTCCTGGGTCAATGCCGGTAACGTTTCGGCAATACATCAGCCTCTGAGTGTTTTTAGCTTTGAGGTTGAATCATTGAGACAGTGGACGGTTTACAACTTCAGCGTTGCAGCGGTGCGTGAGGGGCAAGGAGGGGAAGGACCTAGAAGCTCTGCAACGACAGTTAAGACCCAGCCTCAAGGTAGCATCCAAGCTTTTTTTTGTTGATTTTTACAGATATAAGTAGAGGATTAAAAACAGTGTCGTGAAAAGTTAACAAGAGGTCACCACAAGTTAGTCGCATATCTAAGGCCCGTGTCAAGGCAATTAGCACGCAACTTGTACCAGGCATATCTATCTAATTCATGAGGAAAACAACAGTCACATTTCAATTTCCTATAATTTCCTGAAGAGTTTTTGTTTTCGTAGAAAAATGTACTTTGTTCCTCCGAAAGGTCTTCTTCTGCAGTGTATTTTGGTTGCCTCCAAGTTGCCTGAAAGTAATTGCTTTGTGTTATTGGCTGACTGACTTCAGTGGCTGTCATTACAAACTTATACTTGCTTAAAGCTTTAAGCAAGTTTTTAGTCCTTTATAAAGGAGTAAAAACAACAATTGGAACTTTTTAGAAAACATTTTAAAAGGATTTCCGCACTTAACTCTGTTCACTTTCCAGCCACAACTGCAGCATCCAACGCAGGTCTCATTGTTGCCATTTGCGTGCTTGCTTTCATCGTCATTATTCTGGTTGTCTTGAATTATCTGCAATTCCGAAGGTTCAGTAGACGTTTCAAGAATCCTCCCCCACAAGGTGGACTCGACACGGTGAGTGCAACAAGCGTTCTTCTCTATTTGAATGAATTGTCATCCCCAACAATTCTTAGTACAGCAATCTGCCATCGGTAGTGGGACATTCTATAAATTAGGGTTCCAAAGTGTGACATTTTTCCTTTCCCTGTCACCTTGGTACTTTGGAATTTGCCAAAGAAGTGTCAGTATTGAAACAATTTTTATTTGTTAGGCAGTTAGTTTGCTGTTCATAATCACTCTTCGAGGATGACTGCATTAAGGATCAGAAGCACATCAACTTATAAAATCATAGATGTCAGCAGTGGCGTAGCCAGGAATTTTTCAGTGGGGGGCGCTGGGGGGGGGGGGCTGGAACATTTCATGGGGGGCGTCATGTAGATCAATGATAATTTTTTTAGAAACTCAAAATCTCAGTGGGGGGGGGGGGCAACTGGGGGGGGGGCGACAGGGTTTCATGGGGGGGCTGTCGCCCCCCCCCCCCACGCCCTGCCGTGGCTACGCCACTGGATGTCAGATGTAACAGGGACAGGAAAAAGTGGACCTCAAATCTAAACAACGACCCCAGTGTAAAATCTGCTTCTTTGGCAGTGTGTCATAAAGCTGGTTCATACTTCACGCGAAAGCGAAAGTGAAGCAAACTTCATGACATCAACAATTGAAGTTCCATTGTGATGTTCGCCGTAACCCTAACGAATTTGCTTCGCACTTAATTTTGCATGAAGTTTGAACTGGTCTTCAGAAAACAATGACAGTACTGTACAATTTCGTGCAGGATCTTTCCCTGCTGAATCTCTAACGTGCCCTAAGCAGTAGGTATAGCAATTGGAAGAGAAATAGTTAGAACGGAAAAGTTGAGTTTTTTATACTGCCTGTTTATTGTGCAATGTTATTACGTGACACTGCAAAAGTAATTTTTGGTCAGTATTCTTCCCTATTTTACTCAAACTTCAAGTAAAATAACCAGTTCATGATACAGACAAATGTGTGCTTTATTCATTTTTCCGGATACAGCAGCTTTGATTTTACTCATCACTTCATTTTTGGTGGTTTTTTTTTTTTTTTAGAGTATGAAGCCTGTCATTGTCCATCAGTGACAGAATTGGAAATGGAAATAGAAATATAAAAGATCTGCAATGAACTTTTGTTTGTACCAAAAAGGGCTCAACTTGAAGAACTAACCTTTGAGTATTTTTTTTTTTCACAGAAGTACATGCAGATACTGCAGCAGTCTGAAGCCCATCGCTATTCAATCACACAACCAGACCAGGATGACAAATGAATAAATTCTGAAAAAGGAGAACTTAAACTTGGAATTCAAGGTTGTGAGATATAGAAGTCAGTTGTCACTCGCAAAGTTCACTAAAGCCTAAAGCTAGAAAAGCAATACTTTCATTTTTACCCCCTGTTCCATACTTTATATTTAAAAGGACATTTATATTATGTTATAATAATAATTTTGTGTGACAAGTTGCTGGTGCTTCATCAACTTCACTTATAAAATTGTCTTTTATATAATGATATGTGAATTGATTTTTGAATTTGTATTTAGTCAAAAGAAAAACATTCAAAGTTGTAAGAAATTGTAACTTGTACATTCAATTCATTGCATGTTAAAAATTGTATAACAAAAGACATGTTTTTTCTTCTCAGATGTATGCTGTAATTTGACATTTCAATGACTTTCTTGTATTAAAATAGGATCTTTGTGCTTTCTTGAAATTGTGTATTTGTTTTTATTCAATTGTTGTAGAAAATTGTATTTTTAATAAAAAATAATTTCCCACACTCTGTCAGCTATATGGTCATTGTTTCCATTGTGTACTCTCTCAAGGGCAAGGACAATTTTACTACCAGAAGACGTGGTTATTGTGCAAATATTCAAGACTGTGTAATAAGGAGTGATGGACAGGCCCACAGAGCCATCTACCCAGTGATCAGCCCCTCTGTGGACTCCGCATAGCAACAATAGAGGGCGCCGGTGGTCTACTCATGCATGCTCAAAGATTGAAATATCTTCCCTTGTATGGTATCATATGGAAACAGTAGGGAGACAATGAAATGTTCATTTGTTAGTCATTCAAGTCAATTTTGGGGCGATTTCTCAAAGTAATATAATTTACTGAATCTTAAAACAGATTAGTTAAATTTGTGAAATTTATTTATGGGTCATGCAACATCCCAAAACACGGGTAGTGTATCTTTAAGACAAGCCTTTGCTTTATTAGGTCTTGTGCATATTTGAGGTGAAATTTATACCAACATTGAGGTCAGTTGCAATAAACTCTGTGATTGACGGATTCAAAACTTTGTCTTCAAAACTTGTAGCAAAATATAAAACTAATTTATCTCTCCACAGTGACCATATCAAATGCATGTCCTATACTGGTGACGATTGTGGTAAGTATACTTCATGTTCTACTTCTTTGCATAAAATAAACCACAATGGGAAACTAACTTTAAATAATTAAATCGGGTCAGACCCAGAAATTGACAGAAACATTGTAGCAGAGATTTGAATGTTCAAACCTGCTGTTCTAAATTTCAGCATTCAAATTAACAGGCCTATTGATTTTTTTCTGTGATGTTTAAAGGGAATATACATCATTTGCTTTCGCTGTAATTTTCAGAAATGGATGGAATTGGGGGTTGGAAATATAAAGCAAATATAGTTACACTGACTTTTTGGAGGTTTTGGGTTCGAAAATGCTATAAAAACCAAGAAAAACGATCATTTTCCTGTAGTCTGGTTCCCCGACTCCATATAAGAAGAAACAGAGCAGTTTACATACATTGGGGAATTGTAAGGTCAGGGAACCAGTCTAGCTGGCTCGTACCCGTTCATAGGTTTGTAATCGATTGCAAACAAGTGCAATGGTCAATTGGGGCCAGTATTTGAAAAAAAGCCAGTTGTTTCCAACGCTGATCGGCCGATCAGCGTTGGAAATTGATACAAAAATAGCACTTTTCTTGAAAATGACAGTATACCAGGTGCCATAATTTTACAGGATGCTTTAGACTGTCATTTACCAACATCCTATTAAGGTATTTCGCAAAAACATGGTAGTTTTATTTTTGGATGTTTGCAAATGTTGTATATTCCCTTTAAGTGAAAGTCCCCCCCCCTGAAAAAAGGTTCATTTTGTAATTGATAATGTAAACTTGAATATATAATGTTAACTGCATTTACACAATGCATACAGAGAATTTCTTATTAGTTTTGTGGTGGCTCCAAATGATCCTTTGTTGCTATTTATCAAGGTTTTCATTTCAACCGTGTTTACAGTCGTACAGTCTGTACACCAAGTTGACGGGCGAGCCACTCACCCCCGACATCGCGTTTGCCGCCCTCTCCGTCTTCAACCAGATGCTCACGCCCCTCTTCATTATGCCCAACGTCTTTGTCTACCACATCAATGCTATCATCAGCACCGGGCGTCTCAGGATGTTCTTTGAGGCACCGGAGATTGAGAGACAGGAGGGGGAGGAGTTTTGGGCTGGCGGGAGGGATAAGGTAATATATTGGTTCACTTGAAATAATTATAGAGGGCTCTCACTGACCACGTGACCTGGCCTACATCCGGGTACCGGAAAGTCTGCGTCGCCATTGTAGTAGGCAAAGATATAGCGCCGTTTGCAGTAGGTAGTAGGCAAGCCTTCAACTACCTTCAAATTCAATTGCAACTTGTTGGTATTTCATCTTTTTTATAACTGCTTAAGGTAATATAATTCTAAATATCCAGAGGGCCGCAAATTATTTTTTTTCCGAACAACATCCGGATTACATGGTTGTTGAGCACCCTGTACGATACTTTTATGATACGTACGCAGGTATATATAACCTTAAATTTCCAGGATTTGTCGAGCAGTTCGATAGCTCAGTTGGATAAGATCGTGATTTTGTACTGCGAGGGACCCTTGCGGCATGGGTTCAATTCACCATTTTTACCCCATATTATTTTTTCTAATCTAAGGCTTTGGAAAATTGTTTTTTTTTAAAGGGAAATAAAGTCCAAATTGCATTTCTTTCGAATTCATATCTTTTTTTTCTAATTTTATTTTTTTTCTCATGTTTTTAAGAGAAGTAAAATCCAAAATGTTATAGCGTACACCCCATTATAGCCTACACCCGGATGTCATTTGGGGACAAAAAAAATTTGCCAGAAGGCCAGTCTTATCTCACTGACTGACTGAGTGATTGAGACTGGTTGTAAGTGAAGAACACTGGACATTGCTTTTGTATGAGCTCTGTGCGCTACCAAAAGAGGGCGCCCTTTTACCTAACAACGACGCCCCAAGGGCAGGACATTTCGCTGGTTGACGCACACCGTTCCTTGTGTGTGACGCACGTACACCAGGGGATTTGTTCTATTTACACGCAGTGACCACGCTTCACGGCAAATGAATTGCAGTCAGGCAAGATGGCGTCAGTCGGTCACCCCCAACTGTACTTACCTTTGCCGGTGAGGGGGTGCTTGTGAACGGAGCGGATAGGATGACACCGAAACACCAATGAATGGTCTAAATCTGGCCCATTGTGCAGGACAAGATGCACGACAAGACTTTCTGTGAATAGTAATTCTGAATACTGTGTACTCTTGGACCAGCTGTACTGGGCTTAAATGTCTTGTTTTATTTTCAAATAGAATGGAGCCCTCCAATCAGGAAGAAGAAGCAGCAAACCAGAAGATAAGCAGCGTCTGTTATCCAATGACAACCAAGCTGACCATGACAATGAGTACGGTACATTTGATGCCAAAACAACCTCCTTCATTGTACCAAGTGTACCAGACGACATTGCAGTCAGGGTATGTATGACTTTCAACCTTAAAAAGAATCCACCTCTCCTGTTGTTTTTCATGCTGAACCTTTTTTTTTGTGGACTGAAGTCTCACAGACACGTTGACATCAATTTTAAAAGATTGAGTTGTGTTCATGCAAAATATGTAATTAGATGCCAGTTACTAGACAACTATAATCCCTGAAACACTCCTTTTTGGGCTCAAAGTAATATTTAGATATCAAAATGAGATTTTTGTTGAGCAAATCACCTCCCCCGCCCAAAAAAATTAAAAATATCAGCTTAGGAATTTGATATTATCATATAACTGAACTGAACTCTTTAATTTGACTTCTTCAGGTTAAGGGAAGTTTCACATGGGACTCATCAGCCAAGTCACCCACACTTGAAAATATTAGCTTGGACATCCCTACAGGTAAAAACATGATCGTGTGCTGTTGGCAATAAGACAACAATTATAAACCATATTAGAAGTCCAAGAATTACCTCCAAACTTGTTATTCCTAAATCTATGCCATTGGTCTCTGAAAATGTAAATGGTAATTTATTCATAATTGGCGAGTATTTTTCTTGTGAAAACTTCAGCAAATGCTAATGTTTGGACATCTGTACAATCAAAATGTTTGTCAAGCAATTCAGAAATGAAGAATTTGTGTCATTAGGAGCAATTTATAATATAGTGCATCTCCAAATGTGCTTGGTTGTTTCTGTTACAGGCAAGTTGACTATGGTAGTGGGTCAGGTAGGATCAGGCAAGTCTTCCTTACTGTCTGCTATCCTGGGAGAGATGACCACAGTCTCAGGAAGAGTCCAATGGAACAGGTAACATGCTGGTCTCTGCAAAGTCCTGAGTGTGAACAGGTAGTATCAAAAGAGGCTAGGGACTACTTGTAGTAGAAGAACCATAGAAACGAAACAAATATTGAAGGACAATTAAGTGTTGTTTTTGCCTCATACCACAGATGCTTCGTCTCACACTTAAGATGCTACAATATTTAGCAAATTTGAAAAATGGACTGATACTCTCTGTTCCATTTGATCTGATGAGTGTCTTACAAACTAGTCGTTTTCTGCTTCAGATCTCTTGTCAGGAAATATAATCTGTGTATATTCAACCATTTTGAAGCCTAAATATTTGTTATTGAAAAAAGGGAAACCTTTTTACTCAATAAGTATAACTCTTTAGTTGATAGTTCGTGTAGTGTTTATTAGTCATCAACCAATGACAACAGCGGCTGCAAAGTAAAGGAAAAGATTACATTATGAATCATAGTTCTATATGCCCCCCAAGTCTTTGGGAATAACAAAGGCTAACAATTCTAGGAAGAAAAGATTCCAAATGTAACAGACATAACTAAGTAACCTAAAGAAATGCACAGATTGCAAAGGCATGAACATGAACAATAAGCAAAGATCGAAACAAGAATAAGCATAGGTTATAGGAAGTAAACTATAGCTGTAACTTTGGCTATATAAAAAAAAAAAAAAGTCCAGAGTATATGGGTGTCCTATAGTTCATCCCTAAGCCTGGCCGGCGGTCGTGACAAGCGAGTGGATCGGCGAGGGGCAGTCGGGGAGCGGTCCAGGGGTGGCAGATCCACGGTCGGGGCCAGGTGTTCCTTCAGACCAGGAGTATTGTGTGGCAGGAGGCCGCGGAGTGCACGGGGAACGGAGCCTGGGTGGGACTGGCTATTGGGTGGACGCGTGGTGGCCACGGTGGGTGTCACAGGTGAGGTGGGAGTCGGTTCCAAGCCATCCGGGGTTGGAGGATGGTTGGTGCGGGTTGGCTGGGAGACGGCTGGAAGCATCGCAGGTGGTGTGGCTGAGGCGTCCTGCGGTAACTGGTTGTTGGCCTGCACCAGAGGGGTTGCTTTTGGGTGCTGGCTAGCTGCATGCGACCCCGGCAGCAAAGGTGTTGGGCCGGGTGCCATCAGGAGGGGCGCACGTGGAACGACAGGCAAGTACTTCCGCAAGAATCGCCTGTTGCGTAGGGTGACTCGACCAGATCCATCAACCCTCACGACATACTGGTCGAATTGCCTCACCTCCACCACAACCCCGGTCTTGTCCCACTTGGTCGGGTGCGGTCCGGTCTGGTTTTGGATACGCACGCAGTCGCTGACAATCAGTGGCGTGAGGGGACGGGTGTGCTCTGAGAGACGCTCTGCAGCGCGCATGTGCCGGTTGCGCAGTGCCTCCTCGCGGGATGTGAGTGTCTCCCGCCATGTGCTGTGTGGGTTGTACTTCCCAGGGTGGATGGGTATGAAGTCACGGATGGGACGCCCGAAGACGCACATAGCAGGGGAGAGGTGTGTGTCATGGTCGGGCGTGTTGCGGTACTGGAGCATGGCACGCTGAAATTCATCAGTGTTAAGTGTGCCTTCAGCGTCAGTATTGTCAGTGATGAGGCGCTTCACAGTCTTGACGCCCACTTCAGCACGGCAGTTGCTGTGGGGGAAGGCGACGGATGAGATGCGGTGACACACGCCCCAGTTGCGGAGGAAAGCGCGGGTGGACCCTGCGGTGAACTCTGGGCCACCGTCTGAGGACAGTTCATCGCTGATTCCATAGGTCACGAAGGTGCGGCGCAATGCAGTAATGAGTCCATTGGCGCCGTTGGCTGCCTGTTCGACGATTGGCCAGTTGCTGTACCTATCCACCACCACCAGGTAGTGACAGCCGCGGTAGGTGAAGTAGTCAGCGGCAATGCATTGGAATGGATAATCGGGCTGGACGGGAGGCGTGGGCGGTGCGCCTGGCTGTGATGGCGCCATACGGTTGCAGGGAGAGCAGCGTGCCCGTGTATCGGTGATGGCGGGGGTCATACCTGGCCAGAAGAATGAGGACTGAGCTCGTGCGCACATCATGGTGATGCTCTGGTGGGCCGAGTGTAGTGCTTCAAGGACCCGGGCACGGAGGGACGAGGGAATGATGACACGGTCATTGTAAAGGCATACGCCATCAAACTCTGACAGATTCTCACGGAATTGGTGGTATGGCCGGAGCTCACGGGGGAGGTCACCAGGGAGAGCGGGGAAGCCCCCTTGTATCATCTCAATCAGTCTGCACATGTTTGGATCACTGGATGTGGCGAGGCGGACATCATTCCATGTGACTGATTTGATCATCTTAGCAGCTGTGGTGGCAGACTGACTGCATACTTGGACAGGGTCTGGGCCACTGGTGCGGACAGCAGTGAGGAAGTCATGTGGCAGCACAGTGGTCGTTGGTTCGCTTGAGTCATAGTGCACAGGTGCGACATCATCAGGGAGCTGTAGCGGTGCGCCTTTACCAACGGGGTGGCGGGATACCCCATCAGCTGCAGCGTGGCGTGCACCAGGTATGTGGACGATGCGGAAGTGGTAGCGCAAGGACTTCTCCTTGAGGTTGCGGAGGCGAGGGTTTGGGATGTCCTCAAGTGAGCGGTCACCGAACACCTTCAGGAGGGGCTTGTGATCCACCGCCACTATGAGGTCAGAGCAGCCAAGGACAAAGTGGCGGGCCTTGTCAAGTGCATCGATGACAGCAAGGGCCTCCCCCTCCACTGGGGCGTAGCGGGACTCGGCACCTGAAGTGAAGCGGCTCCCAACCAGAGTCACCCTCCAACCAGTCTTGCAGCAGAAGGGTTTTGAGGAGGGGCAGTCGCAGTGCTGGAGCAGCCAAAATCCCAGACCATCTTTGCTCCAGTCAGTTGCAAGGCAGGTCGGCTTGGTCTTGTCGAATATCTCCACCCCTTTGTGGATTTCGCTGACGATGAGGGCCTTTGATTCCTCGAATAGGCAGTCCAGCTCATCGGTCCACGAGAAGGGGGTACCAGGTTTGAGGAGTTTGCGGAAGGGCAGCATGCGGTCAGTCATGGCGAAGGCATAGGAGACCTGGTTGATGAGCCCGAACCAGCTGCGCACGTCTGTGATATTACGAGGCGTTGGGAAATTCTGGATCGCCTCAAGGTACTCAGGGCAGGGGCGTACAGAGGTCGGGGTGATCTCAAAGCCAGCAAACTTGACAGTCATCTTGGCGAAGGCGAACTTTTTGGGGTTCAAGGTGACGCCATGTCTGCCACAAGTGTCGAGCCACTCAACTGCCTGGAAGAAGGCCTCCTCGATGGAGTCAGACCATACCAGGGTATCATCCACGCACTTGGTCTTTTTCGGGATGTCAGACACAATCTCATCAAAGCGGCGGCTGTAGCCATCACCGGAGGCGATGTACCCCTGTGGGGCGACACAGTATCGGTAGCGGCCCCAAGGTGTGATGAATGTGGTGAGGTGGCGGTCCTCCTCAGCTAGGGCAATGCTGTGATAGCCGTTCCATGCATCGAACACAGTTTTGCGAGTCTGGGGAGGGACTGCACGTGCTTGGTGGAATGGTGATTGTGTGTGGTGGGTCTCACGAACAGCGTTACGATTGAGTGACTGGAGGTCAACCGTCCGTCTGGGCTGGCCTGACTTCTTGGGGCAGATCACCATCTTGTGGCACCATGTGACAGGTGTACCGACTGGGACTGGCTCGATGACGCCGAGGCGGACGTCGCGGTCAAGGCCTGCCTTTACATTGTCCTGCCAGTGGACAGGGACAGGGATAGGTGTGTGACAGGCGACGGGCCGAGCGTCAGGGTCCACCATGAGTCGCAGTGGGGGGCCAGCCATCATGGGGAGTAGTTGGTGCTCACATACATTGAAGGTGCTCGACTTGTAGTATTCCAGCAGCCATGTCTCAAGCTTCTCCCGGTTCTCCTCAGTGGCTGGGAATGGGAGGTCTGCTGGGGGAGACGGTGGCATCTGGCATCGTGGGCACTCGCATGTTGGCGTGAGGCAGGCTGCTGGTGTGGGCGTCGGGGAGGTGGCAGAGGATGCGACGCTGGCACTGTCGGGCCTGATTGCCTCGCCAATGGTGGGGAACCTGGTAGAGATCATGCCCAGGGCGACGCAGGCTTGCTTAGACAAGAACAGCCGGTCGGATGAGTCGGTGAAGTACACTATCTGCCGGGTCTCGAGTTTCTCTCCAGATTGGGAGGTGCCAGAGATGCGGAGGACCAGGGCACCTGCTATGTCGATGCGGCAGTTGTTGGCAGCATTCATTTTCATTGTGACAGGGATGAGGTGTTTCCTTTCAAGCCCCAGTTTGGATAGGAGTTTCGTGCCAGCCAGGCAGGACTGGCAGCCAGTGTCAGCCATAGCAGGGTAGATGGCTGAGGAGGTGGTGCTGAGCAGGGGGGTAGGGAGGCCGAGGTCACGATCATCCTCAGGAGTTGCTTTGAGAGAGACGTCCACGATGGGTTGGGGGTCAGATCCTCGCCTCTCCCATACGTCGCAGAACTGATTGTAGATGTGGTGCTCTAGAGTGATTGCATTCGCGTCCATGGGTGGGGCGTCGTCGACAGAGCACAGGGTTTTGAAGACTGCGGTGGCATTGTGAGGTGACTCCTGTGCCTTGGGCGTGGCTGCATGGCTGCTGTCTCCGCTGGGATTGGCGGCACACACTCTCGTGGTGGTGGAGTATGCCACACTTCGCGCATGTGTGATTGTACGCAGGGCACTTCCTCATGCGCTCCTGTTTGCTACGTTCATGGCCCGCCTTGCCACAGTAGTCACACACCTGAAGTTTAATGTCGCGGGGCTGTAGCTTGGATCTCTCCCTTCGTTTGTAGGAGCTGGCAGCTGCAGCAGTCGTAGTGGCAGTGGCACCACCCTGGAGGAGGCGGCCGGCAGAGCGTTTGCCACTCTCTTTCGCTTCGACAAATTGAAGCACTTGGTCCAAATGCATGTCCTGTTTGGATTGTCCGAGGACATCCAGGCGGATCTCCTCATCCTCTAGTCCACGGATGAGGGTGTCCCTGACCATGATGTCACTGAAGTCAACGACTAGAGAGCACGTACAGTCCTTCTTGTAGTTACAGACGCTAGCCTGGCCACGAAGGCGGGCGGCATGGCCCTCACTGGTTCGTCGCGGTCCTGTCGCATTTGCTGGAGCTGCACACGAGCCACCATGATGTTCTCTCGGCGAACTGCCAAGCTCTTGATGTTTTTGAGGATGGTCGGTTCATCCTGCGACGTCAGGGCACCGAATGTTCTGGTCAGGTCTTTCCTGAGTCGGTCGTCGCAGCACTCAAGCAGTTGGTAGACTATATCGGTTCCTGTGAGATGCGTGGCTTCTTTGTATTCGGACCGTCGTAGCTCGAAGTAGGACCATTCTTCACTCGTGCCGGCAGCCATGACCGTAGGTCATCTGACCTTCTCCACTTTGGCGGCGCATGAGGCGGGAGTAGGTGCAGGGGCAGGAACGGTTGGGTGGGCGGTGCGGGCGTGTAGGTTGATCAAGGCGAGCAGCACCTCTGGGGGTGTGTTGCTAGGCCAGGATGCCTCACAGTCAGGAGCCGAGCAGTTGACGTGAGCCATTGGGAGGGGTAGAGCGTGCCAGAGAGTCTAGATTGTCGCTGTTGTCATCAATAAGTATAACTCTTTAGTTGATAGTTCGTGTAGTGTTTATTAGTCATCAACCAATGACAACAGCGGCTGCAAAGTAAAGGAAAAGATTACATTATGAATCATAGTTCTATATTTACCAGTGTGAAATATTTTATGTTTCAGGAAGTACAACTCTGTTTCTTACGGAGCTCAAAAGGCGTGGCTGCTGAATGCATCTCTCAAGGAAAACATTCTCTTTGGCAACAAATTTGATCATGAAAGGTAGGTATAGGCCTATATGACTTATGATTTTTGATTATTCCGCAAATTATCCACATATGTCTGTTTCACACATGTCTGTTTTCCAACCCTCTTATAGATACAGAAAGGTGATCACTGCCTGCTCCCTGCAGCCAGACATCGACATCCTGCCGGCCGGAGATCAAACAGAGATTGGTGAGAAGGGAATCAATCTGAGCGGCGGTCAGAAACAACGAGTCAGCGTAGCCAGGGCCATGTACAGCCGCAACGACGTAGTAGTTCTGGTACGTTAAGCAGAGTTGTTTTTTACAGCAATCACAAGGTCAAGATTTATTTTTTTTATTTTCCACAGTATCAAATTAATAAACGTCATAAAATAATTACATAATAGAAAAGAATTGCAAATAATACAACAAAAGTGTACAAAAGTTTATAATATATACTTATAAAAGTCCAAAGTTGCCCAGTATATGAACAGTTTTCTGTGCGGGCAGTAACATCTTTAAACAAATGTTGACTTTCTCCATGAGGCACAGCAGAGCAAAATTTGAATTGTCAACAGCAGCTTCTATGTATTATAAATCACTCTTTTTCTTCATTCTTGTTTCAGGATGATCCCCTCTCTGCCCTGGATACCCATGTTGGCGGTCATCTCTTCAAGAAAGGCATTGAAGGGTTTTTGATGAAAAAGAGCAAACGTACCGTCATCTTGGTCACTCATCAGATACAGTATGCAGACAAAGCTGACAAGGTAAGAGCAAATCAAAGCTGACAAGATATTGAAAATAAAAAGTCTTCCAAGTCTGCAACCCCGGTTCAAGGTTTCTTGTCTTTTTTTATGAGCCTCGCCCATCACAAGTCCCTATTTAAGGGCCACTCGAGGTGAGGGCTACCCAGAGAAGGGATAGAAAAGGAAATCTACAAAATAGAAACATTTCTTGAAGTAGAAAGATAAGTATTGACGTTGTGCTTGAACTTGGACACATTTTAAGCACCTGGAAAACAAGATAAGGAGTTCCAGAGTGTGTGAAGAAACTGGATAGATTCTACCCAGTTCTATGTGTTTTGGAATGGTTCTGGGTTCTTAAACTGAATTATTTTATTGTCTTGTCCCTCTGAGGTTCTTGAGACTTGACTACTGTGCCTTTGCACTTTTGACGACCCATTAGATATTTTACCAAAAAATAATGAGCCCAAAAATATATTTATATTTTACAGATTGTCTACATGAAAGATGGACACATCCTCCATCAGGGAACCGTGGAAGACATACAGGAAGAGAATAGGGAACTGGTCGCCAGCTGGCGGGCTACCATGAAGATGCTGGCTGAGTCCGAGTCTGAACTGTCTGGTTCTGAGACCGGGGTCGACGTCACGGAGGAGCGTGCCAAACTTGTACGACAGGTCTCCAAACAACTGCAAGAGGCAAAACGGATGGAGGAAGAAGGTGAGCTTGTCTTCTTTTTTTCCTCATCGGTCTCACTTAAAAAATAATTCTCTAGATGGTGGATTTAGATTGCAGTATCCTGGCACAACTCTTTCAACTATCACTTGTTGTCAATCCTTTAAATATCTTAATTTTTTCAAAGTTGAACAAAGGAATAAACTGGAGCATTGTTTGAACCTGCGACCCCTAGATTGCCGTTCCGGTGCTCTACCATCTGAGCTATCCAGCCCTATGTTGGAGATTCCCCAATTTGTCAATGTCTTTGTTCAAGAGGCACTATTTAGAAGCCATAAACCCATTTATGCCATAAAGCTAGCAACATATATCAGCATGATGCTAGCAACGATATCAACACTGCAACCTGAGAAATAGCAGACAAGGCCATTACAAATTTTCAAATAACCTTTGTTGTTTTGTTAAATATGTTGTTAAAAACTGACACTATTGTTTTCACCTTGTATAGATTAGTGACAGTTAGTCATTCAGATTTATTGTTAAAGGGAAAAAACTTGACGTCAGGTGTTTGACCACACAAATCTCACAGAGGTTCAGTCATTTCAAATATGTTTAGGGAAAACAATTCATGATTGAGAAAAATTTTCATTGACTGAAAAAAATGTCCACCTCCCGTTCCCCCCCCCCCCCTACAAATAAACAAATATCACATTGAAATTGCTGCTCATACAGTTGCAAAGTCGTCATTGATTTATATTATATATTTTTCCGGAAAATACCTCTATGACTCCCCATAGACTATAATTGTATACAACCTAAAAGGTACAGTCACAGAAAATGAAACAGTTTCACAAAATGTTTGTGTTGTTATTGTTATTTTAAACTCTAATTCTGCAGTCCAAGCCTCAACCTCCGGTCGCCTGGTGCAAAAAGAAGAGAGAGCGGAAGGGTCCGTGTCGTGGCGAGTCTATCTCTCCTATGTCCAGGCTCTTGGCTACTGGGTCTTCGGTCTCATCCTGCTCCTGTCTGTGCTTCAAAGCGGTCTCAGCATCGGGACCAACTTCTGGCTGTCGGAGTGGTCTGAGGCAGGGGCTAACATGACCAATGCAACAGAGGTATGAGCATTTTAAAGTCAATATTACACCTGTTTCAGTCTGACGTTCTGGAGTCCCACCTGACTAATTAACAAGTATTCGGAGCACCTCTAGTTGACCACAGTGGTTTCAGACAGGCAAATTGTGTAACTTTGAAACTTCTTACGTGAATCCTGTTTTCCACCAACTAAATCTATACGTATCTCCTCCGTCTTTAACTTTTTTTCTCTGTACTTTTCATTGTAGCCCACAACTTATGGGTGATTCCCATAAAAACCTTTCCATTGATTATGGTCTGAAGTCATTCCTAACATCTTCAACAGTTGATCTGTTAAAGACTTGTACGTACTGTTGCCCCTAACTACTTCAAACAGCCAAATTAGTTCAAATCTTAAAAATAATTTGGTTCGCCGTGACTGTATGTGAACAAAGAAATTAACTGGAGCCAGATTTGACCGTGCAACCTCCAGAATACCGTACTGGTGCTCTACCAACTGAGCTATTCAGCCCTAATGAGGGCAGTCTTGCAATTTGTTATTGTTTTGTTCTGGCGATACTTAAGTTAATAAAGCCACAAACCTCATTTGGCCAGGGATCAAACACAATACTAGCAACATCACCATGCTTTGGCAACCAAAACGGCAAATTTGGATCTCATAAAAAGGATTTTTTTTTTTTTTTTTTTAGATGTAAATCCATTCCATTGGTTCTCGACCGAATGAATGAATTGCAGTCTATTGTAACTATAAGGGGGACAGCACCAGTCCCTGCTCGAGGCCCATCCCCCCACCACTTCAAAATTTGAGGAAGTAATAATTTTATTAGTTAAATACCTCCATAAGGCACCCCTAAGGGCCCTCCCCTTGCAAATCGGAACCCTACTTATGCCCCATGTCTATTACTTTGATTTTAATAGTCTGAGCTGCTAGATTCCCTGACCTACTACCTGGGTGGCTATGCCGGCCTGTCTGTCAGCAGCATCGTAGCTGGTGCAGGAGCTACAGCCATGCTGTACATAGGATCTCTCTACGCAGCTAGAATGCTACACAATGGCATGCTCAGGACCGTCATGCATGCCCCCCTCAGGTAATGGACTAAGCCACGCCCACACTTAGGGTTTATGTACATATCTCACAGTGCATGTGACTGAGTTTGACAGAGCTACCATGGTCACCTGACCAAATGTCATGATCTAATTGGTCAATGCTCGCTTTTTGATTGACAGCCAGAGGGTGTACATTTAATACAACTTTTGTTCAGGAAAAAATTAAAAACGTTCCAATTTCTGGTTCTAAGTCGAAAAAGTTTTTAAAAAATATATGTGTTGACCCAATTACTGTTTTTGCAATCATGCGTTGATGGATTATCTTTTTAGTTTTGGTTTTTGCACTGTTCAATGTTTTCAATTAAGAAGCTTGTTTTTTCATTGTGAATCAGGTTTTTGATGTCACTCCCATTGGACGAATTCTCAACCGCTTTTCCTCTGACGCAAACGTCATTGATCAGGTAATGAGTCAACAAGTACCAAGAAACTGAATTACTCTGTGCAGTTGATTTAATGTGCGTTCTTCACAGTGGCGTATCCAGAGCAACGTGCCCCCTGTCAAGACATTGCCTTTTTTGTTTTCACTCTTAATGAAAGTACCGGCCCTTCCCAACCATTACTAGTATTACCAGTGGCGTACCCAAGGGGGTGGGGCCTCCTCCCCCAAGAGGTTATCAATTTTTGATTTTTGATTTTATGGCCACTGCAAAAAATACCCATTCTCCCCCCCCCCCCCAACCAAAAGTTGGATTAGCTACTGATTTTTCACAAATTTTGCCAACAGAAACTGGGTGTGACTCTGTCGTCTTTACTACGCAATGGTCTGAGCTGTGTGTCGGCCGTGTTAGTCAACATCATCGTGGTCTGGTTCTTTGCCATCGCCTTGATCCCAATCATCATCCTGTATCTTCTCATGATGAAGGTTTTCATAAGGACCTCAAGGTTAGCTCAAATTTGTTCGTTATTTGAGGGCAATAAATATATGAAAGGCCCTTTTTTTGCCAATGAGGTCGCTGTAGCACGTCATTATCTGGGTATGAATAGCAGTAAAATTCTTGTTCATTGAATAATTTTAACTTTGCTTTACTTCAATCTAAATTTAATGATTGTAAAACAAGGTTATTCTTTAATTGTTACATTCATTCATCCATTGATTTAGTATGTCATTTCTTTTTGAAATTTTGTAGGATAGCTACATGCAATTGATAGGCATAAAATAGCGGTGTTATGCGCCAACAAAATATGGCTTGTAGATCATCACAATGCAACAGCACCACGCATCAGGGCTGGAAAAAAACAACACATTTTTGAAAGAAGAATTTTCCTGCAAACTTCCCTGTGAAACAATATCAAGAGACTGCAAGGAGTGCAAGCTAGACTGAAAATGTGATATTACAATATTTTGAAAATTTCAAAGAAGATTTTCCACAAGAAGCATTGTGGCTTAATGAAAGTTGAGCAATTTTGTATCAGATATGAAATCACTGTTCATATTGTAAAAATTGAGGTAAGCTTTCCCTGTACTTTTTCTCCAGGGAGTTGCAGCGTCTTGACAGCATCAATAAGTCTCCAGTCTATGCACACTTCTCTGAATCTCTGGGAGGATTGTCAACCATCAGAGCCTACAGGTATAGTTGTGTTCATCCCTTCTACTATTTCAACTGTCAATTAAAAGAAATAGAAGATTTTTTTTTTTAAATTAAACCAGAAAAGGTATGAATACACTACTTTTAAATAAATGCTCTAGTCTACAAATCCTGGATGTGTGCCACTCATGATCAGGTTCAAATCCAGCTGCTGGGCATATGTTGTGTCCTTGGGCAAGCCACTTCAACCCCCACTTGCCTCTCTCCACCCAGGAGTATAAATGGGTACCGGCATTAGCTGGGGAGTAGCCTACGATAGACTAGCAACCCATCAAGTGGAATTCACCTTCACGCCAAACTGGCGTGAAGGTGAATACCAGCCTGATGGGCCATATTGGCTTGTGACGAAAGTAGTGCAAAAACAAGTATTTTTTTTTACCACTAGACAACAGCATCGCTTTCAAGATTTGATTATCAAGAAGATTGAGTGCAGTAACATCACCTTCCTGTACCTGAATACAAGTAACAGGTGGCTAGGAAGCAAACTGGTGAGTCAAACAAGTTTGTCTTCAAGAAAGTTGGAGTCCTGGATTCTAAATAGATGCAAGTTCAATAGACTAATGTGCAAACAGTTTGAAGCCATTCTCACGTTCACCATGTAACGAATTCCGTAGTCTCCTGATAATGGGCAGCTAGAGCATATACTATCTTAAACATTGAGTTTTGCCCGGTTCTTTTCAGAACCTCACAAACCCACACAAGAGATTTGTTAAAAAATTTTAACAATTTGTGGTTTTTTTTATTCCCAACACACTCCACGGAGACCTTACAAAACACTTGTTTAACCTTGTTTTTCCTCATCCCCCCCATCAATCACGTAGCCTGTTGTTCCTTAAACTGCTCCAGCACTCTGTGTGGTTTTAAGCATTCATGAAGGAGTAAAGACATTGCCATGAAATGTAATTCAAGTGCTAATGAGTTCATCCGACTTTTCCAAAACATAAAGATTTACCTGTATGAATTTGGTACTGGTGTATATATGCTTACTTTAGTCTCAGTCATTCACAAACTTTTTCAATAATTCTCTTTGCTTGGCAGGATCTGATTGGAGCCCTTATTGTCCTGATTGCTGGCCTGACTACCATGATCACTGCCTTGACCACTCATACCCTCACCCCAAGCCTAGTTGGTCTGGCCATCACCTACGCCCTTAATGTAAGTGTAGGACTGAGACTACCATGATCACTGCCTTGACCACTCAATAGCTCCCTGATTTTGCTCTTGTGTACTAAATTAACAAAATTATCATCCGTAAAGATATCAACTCAGTTGAACTGGGTGATCCGCATGTCAGCTGACATGGAGATGCAGATGAACGCCATGGAGAGGGTGGAGTACTACAAGTCTATTGAAATGGAAGAATATAGAGGTAACGCTATATCTTACTCTCTCCTTCCCCTGCCCCCTCCATCCCCCGTCCCCTAACCCTTCCCCTTTCTTTTTACTCCCTTCCCTTCTAAATCTTGAACAGCAGAAGACATTGTTCTATGACTATTATTTTTGGCGAGCTGCGAAGCAGATGCGAGCCTATGTAATACCAATTTCTGTCCGTCTGTCCGGGCGCCCGTCCGTCCGTTCTTCCGTCCGTCCGTCCGTCCGCGTTCATATAAAAATGTTGAAGTTTTTGGTTCTAGTTAACTTGGGGAAAAAAATTAAATGCAGTTGTCAGGTATCATCTCTAGGCCTATAACTTCAGTTAGGTTCATATCATTGCAGTAAATTTTATGATTTTATTGAGGAACTTTAATTCAAGGAAATGTTAAAGTTTTTAATTGTTACATGTACATGTATACTGGTATAACATGTACATGTGTGTATACCGGTATAACATGTACATGTACATGTACACTATGCATTTTGGGGATGTGCATGAGCTTCTGGTTTGATCTTTTGGTTTATGGGGTTGGAGTAGGGATGGGGTAGGGGAGGGTGGGGTGGGGTGGGGGATAGGGTTGGAGTTAGGGTTTGTGTGAGTAGGATGAGTAGGGGAGCTAGGATGGGCGGGGCGGGGCGGGTTGGGGTGGGGTGGGGTGGGGAGAGGATCGAGAGGGGTTGGAATACTGGGTTTGTGTGGGGTGGGGATTTGTAGGGGTGGGGTGGGAACAGGTAGGGAGAGACAGGTAGGGGGAGACAGGTAGGGAGAGGATGGGCATGGATGTAGGGGTTGGGTTAGGAGGGGGTTGGGCAGGGGGCGGGATATAGGATCGGAGTAGGGGTTGGGTTGGCGATGGGTAGGGATGGGTTGTTGTAGGGGTTGGATAAGGGGAGGGGGCAGTATATAGGGATCAGAGTAGGGGTTGCATGGGGTCAGGTGGGGATGTATAGGTGGGGGAATGGGGTGGGCGGGATATTGGAATCGAGTAACGGTTAGGGTGGGGATGTGTAGGGGTGGGTAAGGACAGATAGGGGAAGATAGGGTAGGTGGGTGCAGGGGGTTGGGGTAGGGGAGGGTACGGGTCAGGGGAGGGGGAAGGAGATATGGATTGGAGTTTGGGTGGGGTTGGGATGTGTAGGTGATAGGGTGGGGATGATTAGGGGAGGATGGAATGGGTGTGGGTAGGGGGTTGGGTGGGGAAGGGGGAGGGGGCGGGTTGGGGATGGGGTAAGGTTTTGGGATGGGGTAAGGTTTGGAGGAGGTGGTGATGGTGCTGTGTCTACCTGTACATGTATACCCATTCTTGTTCTGCATTTGTGGCGACTACACAAGAGTTTTCCCATGGTAATACAAGTATGGGGAGCAGAAGACACTGTTGGGGCTGCAAAAATCCACAACTGGGGTCCTAATTACCCTACCAATGGAAAACTCCCCCATAATACAGTGATGGCTAACCTATATACACAAATTTTGACTTTTTATGTTGACATTTAAAAACTGACCCCTACACCTAGGCACATCATCAAGAATCCTGATCCCCTTCCATCATGCCCATCCCCCAACCCTACCTTCAGCCTCCCTTCCTGCCTTGGACAGCGAGCCATGGCGGCTTCGCCGTTCTAGTTTTTAAGAAAAATGAAATGAGAACATTTTGGGATCTGAAATTAATTACAGACAAATCAAGGCAAAATTTGTGTTAATTTTCAGAGAAAATTCTTTCACAAAATAGCAGAATTGAAAACAAGCTCATTTTAGGAAAAACAATGGCTCAATGCTACCTTTCTAAACGTACATACATTTGCTAGGTACGCATAAGTTGTGAGGACTGTAAAAGTTTTAAAGTTGTAAAGTTTCGTTGTAAAGATTTGTTGTAACATTTGTTGTAAAGAGTTGTTGTATATTCCATCTCAAGTCAAATCACAAGTAAATTCACCAGTTTAAGGGGATGAACAACAAAGGAATGCCTTTGCCTCATTGTATTGGAACAGTTTGTCACTTGACTTGCGAAGTGATTTATGATTGACTTGTGACAAGGTAAACAACCCACTTAAAAACAAAAAAATCATCTCTGAAACGTTATGTTTAATTCAGATGTTCTTGTGTTGTTTCACTGCAGTCTCAATTCCTTTCATTTCAAGGAACCCAGAGCCCTGGCCCCGATTGGCCAGATAGAGGTGACATCGTCTATGACAACATCTCTGCCCGATATGCCACGCATCTTGATCCTGTCTTGTACAATGTCTCAATCCATTTCAAAGCTGGTGAAAAGGTGAGCAGGTTTAAAAGTTTGGCTGCTCAGCAAAAACAAAACAGCTTCCATAAGGCAAAGTTTCAGTAAACAGCAGTGTTGTTTGATGAGTTGCTTGTTTTACAATGTCTTTGTAGAAGGAGGGGTCTAGTAAGTATGGTTTTATGGGGAAGGGAATGTAGGGTACTGTATCTTACAACCTATTGTGGGCAAATGATGCTTCTTCCCAATTTTTTGTTATATAGAAAAAGTCTTAAATTTCTTACTTTGGGATGAAATATCTGAAACTCACCCATTATTGCATCGTGTGTCTAAAATTCAACAATCCTTTGCGTGAATTTCAGGCATTTTATCCAAATGAAGAGATTCTAGACATTTTGGTTCTGCAGTACAGTGATGTGAGACGTGTTGCACTCAGTAGTGGCATTATGCAATTGTGATGATTTGTTTCAGATCGGAATTTGCGGTCGGACTGGAAGTGGCAAATCTTCCCTTACGCTGACTCTCTTCAGAATCATCCAGACCTTTACAGGTAAGACAGAAGAGGAGACATGAAAGGGAACGGAGTGTTCTTTGGCTCCTAACACTTGCAAAACTTGGAGACACACCGCATTTGCGCGATGGTTTGCGTGTCGTGGTGCAAAGTACGCATGACTAATTTTATTGTAATAAGTGAGCACAGATCAGTTGCGTCTTTGCGTCAATGTCAGGTTCTGAAGGATCTATGTTCAAATGTATGTTACAGTGGTCTCCCCTGAACGCGTTATTGGTAACCGTTAGGGCGTGCTTGTCCATCGACTCGGTTCACAAGTACCTCTCATCAGTTACTTTTTATTACAAGATTTTTTTGTCTGTGACTGAAGACATATGTGCTCTCACTTTTGTTGGTTTTCTTATTTCTGATTTTTGTAGGAAGTATTACGATAGACGGGGTGAATATTGCCCACCTGCCATTGGTTGAAGTCAGACGTCGTCTGGCCATCATTCCACAAGACCCTGTACTCTTCACTGGAACTATCAGGTAAGAGTTAAATATCAAGGGTCAAATAATCCGGGAAGAGAGAGGGGGGAGGGGTATCCCATCTCCCCCCCCCCCCCCCCCCACTGGTATCGATTTGTTTTAATAATTGAAAGCACCAACAATTTACACCCCTCATTTTTACAGCCTTCGTAACCAAAGAATTTTCTGTTTTAAAAAACAAAGTTCCCTATGTTGCATCCACAAACTGTTGACAGGAAACAGTACATACAGCAGACTTTTTGCATAACTCAAACAATGTGGTCTGTGGTAGCAGTCATCTGTTTCATCGATTTTTTTCTTCAATGCTCAGTGTTAACAGGGAGTCAAATGGGATGTTTCTTACTGCCATTTTTTTAAAGCGATGTTCTACTGCACAAAATAATTATTATTATTTTTTTGTAGATTTAACCTTGACGCACAGAACGCACATGATGACAATGCATTATGGGAAGCCTTGGAGACGGCGCAGCTGAAAGACGTGGTGTCCGAGCTGGACCTTGGACTTGGTAAAAAAATATCACCAATTAACATTGTACCAACTTAGCCGGTGATTATGAAATGGCACCATGTTCACATCACATGCATTCTCAACTTGAGATGCATGTGAGATTTGAAACCCCCTATTGATTGAAGGAGCACACTCAACCAACTGTAAGTAAGCGTGGTGAAACCCCAGTGATGGATTCTAATTTGATATTTTGTCGGATAAAGCAGTGGAGGACTTCAAGCATATGACTGTCAGTCTCCGTTGGAGGGCAAATTTGAAAGACAGAAGCCAGTGGCTTGACAAGGGTACTAGCTGGGGCCAACTTTGGAATTTCTGGCCGCAAGGATTCAAAACTTCTCATTTGAAACTTACAAGAGGACTCTTAGGTCAGAAAGCAATTCCAACATCTTCAATTTGTCATCAACTTCATAAGCTCATTACTGACATTTTCAACAAATTTGCTGTGAAATTTGTTTCCAGATGCCATGGTAACGGAGGGAGGTGAGAATTTCAGCGTGGGTCAGAGGCAGCTGTTTTGCTTGGCTCGTGCCTTCTTGAGGAAGACTCGCATCCTGGTCATGGATGAGGCAACCGCCTCCATCGACTTGGAAACGGTGAGTTCCTCCACCATCTCACTCTTGATTCACAAATTAATCAATTTGTGGCTGGGTTTCTTCCAGCTCTGTACTTAAGCTGGGAATGTTCCTGTGCATCTTAAATCAGTTAAAGATACCTTTCCTTTTTCAGTTATACTGAAATATTGAGGTGGTTTTAATAACAGTATTGTCTGGTCCAACAACCTTTGCTTTTTATAATGGTTAAACAATTCTCATAGGGATGCATTTGAATTGTTTTCGTTTTGCTGAAAGAACGCTTACCTTTCTTGTGATCGTTTAAAAACGGTGGTTGTGTTCAAAACTCCGTAACTTGAAAAGTACATGAGTGATATGAATGATTATTTACTAAAAGAAAGCTCATTGATTGGGCTTTCATATTCTAGATTTTGAAAATGCTACAGGCAAAACTTCATTCCAAAATTGGTCCTGTTATTTGGGTATTTTTGTTTTTACTCAACCTGTAAATGACTTTGAAAATAAAAATGGCTCGGAAATTATAATAATCATTATAACTGGTGCTTGTATAAAACTTAATACCAATTGTCCCGAAGTGCTTTACAATTATTACCCATTCATCATGCCATGAGATTATTTTTCTTCAGGCAGCAGCCCAAAACAGTTAAACCTTTATACCCACACACAAGTACCGATTTATACTCCTGTGTTGGAAACCAAAAGTTTTTGCCCACTATGTGACACAACTACAACTCTACTCCCCATGCTGATTATTTCATTGCACAAGTGATAATCAGAAAAAAATAATCTTTTGGTCGTTTTTTTTTTTTCTGTCAGGATGCCATTTTGCAGGAAGTGGTGGCAACTGCCTTCAGAGACCGCACAGTCATCACAATAGCGGTTAGTTTAACAAACAAATTGAGATTTGCATAGACTGAAATCACTATGATATCATGCATCGTACATGTGACGTCATTATGATTCAGATCTTTCGGCTTGTATATAGTCCTGTACACTGATTTTAAATACCTCTCTGGAATGCTGGTGCGATGTAGTACCGGGTGTCAAAGGACCAAAACTGGCTAATCAAGTCTTCCTGCTGTGGAGAACAGAAGATTGGTCAACACAGAAAAGTTTGGTCACTGAGATGTGCTGAACATAGTATTTTCTTATTTTCTGTTTCACTTTGCAGCATCGTGTGCAAACCATCCTGGACTCGGACCACATCTTGGTTCTAAATGAGGGCAGAATTGCAGAATATGACACGCCAGAGAACCTACTAGCCTGGGAAGATAGTATCTTTGCTTCGTTAGTCAGGGCTGGAAGTTAAGAAGGTCCTAAAGAAGTCGTATTCCTGAACGATTCAGGGCACCGTAACAATGTCCGTGGCCAAACAACACCGGCGTTAAAGAGGTTAAACTGGGGACTTGAAAACTATATTACTTTTTTGTAAAAGATTCAGAACAAATCCCCACCACATGTGATGCACAGGATTCTAGTTCCAGGCATCTCATTAATATCTGTGATAAGATGTGAGCAAGTATATCTCCAAAAGACCAGCTGTATTGGGTATTGGTTGCATAAGAGCTTCTGGAAATCTTCACACAGTCAAGTTATCAGCCATGTTTACGGACTGACAACTTTGCTGTGAGAAGATATCTTAGGGGGGGGGGGGGAGGGAGGGTGCTTGGAATCCTGCCATTATTTCCTGATACAAGGGATCTACTGTGGAGATTAACCTTTCCTTGACTTATTTTGAATATTAAATGAGATGAGACGACCCCTAAAATCTGCAATCAGAGCCAATTCTGAAAAGAATTCACAAGTCGTCACAACCAGTTTCTGAAAATAGAAAAACTGTTTTTATTGTTCCAACTTCAAAAATGAAAGTCCTTTTTCTAAATCTCAGCTGCATGTTTTTAAGGAATACCCCAACTCTGGTATATAATACTGTTCATCTGTTTCATGTTGTATTTCCTTGTATTATTATGTTTCACTCTTCTTAACGTAGAAACTCTTAATGCTTGCTGTAAATACACAAGGTTTTAAGTAAGTTTTTAATTGTGTTATGTTGTTTGTCTTTTCAGTCAACACATTAGTCACTGTACGGCCCCAAACTGCCCAAGCAAACATTGATTCATCAGTGAATAAATACAATGTAGTACAATGTATACAATGTAGTACAGTTATGGGTTATATGGGAACTGAATGGGTTTTTTTTGGTGATAAGTTATTTTGTCTTGCCTTCTCCACTTTTTGCATTATAACAAAGTTTTCTGAGCGTTGACCCTTTTTCCATCTTGTCGAAAAAAAAAAATATTTATCAATTTGAAATAAAATAATGACATTTAAATATCTGAAATATAGAATGCACTATGAATCGTCAACCAGTGTACTAGTCTTACCAGTTTTATGCCTTTGACACTGCAGACAAAATTTATTTTTAATCTTCCAGTCTCAAATTACTTTAAATATGATTGATCATAATGACTTTTTGAAACTATGTTTCACATTTATAAAAGACAAAGAAGCATTAGAACTTGAAGTTCCTTATAATATAAATCACAATTTGACAGAAGTGAATTTATTATACCAAAAACAATCAACAATTGCGATTAGTATTTCCAGGCCTATGTTTGAATAATGAAGCTAATGATTTATCTTTGAAATAAAAACTAGTTTAACTTTTATTCTGAGCAGTGTGTTTATGTTTTTTTTTTCTACGACAATTGATTATTATAACATTAAGTTCCAAGGGGTTAATCTTACAGCATTAAGTTCCAAGGTTAACACCTTACAAAATGAGGTTCCGAGGGGTTAACCTTACATAATTAAGTTCCAAGAGGTTTACCTTGCAGAATTCAGTTCCAAGGGGTTAACCTTGCACTACAATTAAGTTCCAAGGGGTTAATCTTACAGCATTAAGTTCCAAGGGGTGAACCTTACAAAATGAGGTTCCGAGGGGTTAACCTTACACAATTAAGTTCCAAGGGGTTAACCTTACAGAATTAAGTTCCAAGGGGTTAACCTTGCACATTTAAATTCCAAGGGGCTAACCTTACAGAAATAAGTTCCAAGGGGCTAACCTTGCACAATTACGTTCCAAGGGGTTAACCTTACACAATTAAGTTCCAAGGGGTTAACCTTGCACAATTAAGTTCCAAAGGGATAACCTTCCGCAATTAATTTCCAAGGGTTAACCTGACTGAATGCGTTGAACAGTAGATTTGTCCCACAAAACATTAAGTACTGTGCTAAAGGGACCCTCTGGCATCTTACTGGCAACATTCAAGAAATTTCATTTTTGGCCAAAATTAACAAAATTGCAAGGGATTTATTAGTTAACCTTACCGGTACATTTTTAATAAAATGTGGTCAAAAATAAATCAGACACACCTAAGATGCAAGACAAACATATCTCCTTATTCATACAGCCAGAGCCAGAATTAGAGCCAGAATTTAGTCAATGACTAAGAATTATTTTTGATGCAAGATACAAACATAGCATAGAGATTAACATGAAGTCGACACCTACATGTTAGGTCAATCGGCAAACAAGGGGCTGATGTCCGGATCTGTGTCTAAAGATTTGGAGCGTGTGATCAGGCTACTGTGAGGAACGTTTTTAACTTGGCCCACATGACTGCATGTGATAACAAAACGTCTCCAGTCTACTCATTGTCCTTCTCAGTGAGACTGGCTTTCCATTCACCCCACGAGGGCGGTGTAACAGCCACCTTGCTACTGAGCATGATGAGTTCCCTGATGTGGATGTCCGGCATGCTTCTCAGGCATTCCTTATGCGAGCCTGAGGTTACATATTCAGGATATTTGCCGATGGCAAGTCGCAATGCTGGCCGACTGTTCCCAAACCTGAAGGACGAGCACAACCAAAATACAAGAAATTAATAATAAATACATCCCCGAAAAACACGGTGCCACACACATACTGGAAACTCTATCCTTGTGGAGTCATTTCTTTGTTCTCGTGTACTAAAGTTTTCGAGTTTGAGAGTGTAGTTTCAAAATGCTCCTATTTTAACCAGAATAAATTTTCTCGGCTGGAATTTGGACTAATATCCCTTACATAAAATACTTCAATTTGCGACAGATCAACAGCCCTTGGAAATTCCTACTTTTTGAGTAAAATCCATATATCTGTTTCGGGATAACCTTGTGGAGATGTATTCACCTATAGAGAGAGCTCTGTGGAGATGGATTCTTTTGTTCCCTGTTATACCCATGTCTCCCCAGGGTACCGTGTACCAGATCATCCACACGCATATTGCCAATTCATAATTTAAGGCATGTGTGTGCCTTAAAAACCTAGGGGTTCCATGCACAAATACCCCCCTCAGTGGTAAGAAAGGGAGAGTTAGGGGAGACCACTGGGTTTTGAGACGGGGGGGGGGGGGGGGGAAAGAAGGCAATCTTAAAGTTTACCTTCTTGTGATATCCTGTTTCAGATGCTTGCAGTCTGTGGCTGTCATTGAGCAGATGAGGCACACTACCATCAACTCAGGACACTTACTGATCATCCTCACCACGTCAACTATGTTCACGCTTTGATTGAAAACAAACATGCATTGAATAATACAATTGATGGTGCCACAATAATGACTGCAAAAACAAACATGCAGAACATTACTGGAGTTGCAGGAATACTTGGGCATAATTTAAGTGTTATTCAATTATGGTCAGTTAAACTTAAGATTATGTAAAATGTTGCAAACTTTGTTTTCCATTTTTAATTTTGAAAATCATTTTTTTATGCTTTTGCTCCTATTTGTCTGAATCACTGAACTTATTACAAATCTTTGGAAAAAATTAGGTTTGGTTTAAAATATTTTTAAAATCATTCTGACCGACTGCAATAGTAGATCTTTCAATGCAGTCACTTTCATTGTCCCAGCATAGGACTTAATTTCAAATCATGGAGAATAATTGAAACAAATGTTCACAATAATCTTTAATGGCCTTACCTTCCATGTTTGGAGATGAGGCAGAGCCTCTTGATGGACTGGCAGCATTGTATGGCCCTGAACAGCGAGGACATGCTATCAATGTTGTCATGCTCCAACCTAGCATGAAAAACAAAACATTCTGGTAACTTGACAGAATCATCCTAAAAGCCTTCTGACAATGGTAGTAGGTCAAGGTTATTGATGTATGTTTACATACTTATACATTTTAACAAAGTTTTACTGTCTTCGTTTTTTTAATTTAAGTAAATCAGGGTTCGACCTTAGCGGTAGCCCCCTAGCCAAATGCGAGTCAATACTGCGGCGGGTTAGTCAAAACCAGTCTCTAAGTAGCCCGCCTGGCAAGTCAAAATTATTGAGATAAGGTATAAAACTTACCCGCAAACATCTCAGCATTTCTTTTTTAAAAAGCCAGTCTTAGAAGAAAAAATATCTGACACTGACGCGCATTTGGCATATTTATGCCATGGCGCAGCTGAAAATTGTTCCGAAATCGCTAGCATATAAATTAAAGGAAGAACATGGACTGGCACTGCTTTTTCATGTAGGTACAAAAAAGCATGAAAAAATACAGGACACTGGCTATTTATGAATGAGCGTGTAGCAATAGCGCCCTCTATTTTACTCTGGCAATTGGCCCAGATGCAGACAGTACTGATACACATACGGCGCTAGTTGAAAACCATGGCCTACGAAGTGTAACCTGGTAGAATTTTACATCATAGAAATGTCATGAAAACAATCGATGGAGAAAGATGAATTCTGTGACTGACTTCACAAAGCCTGATTTTATCTCTCTTTTCTATGTCCGCATTTTCCACTTTTGTGTATTTATTTTGAGGTCATAATGCTGGTACTTGCGCTAATAACGTGTGATCAAACCAGTTGTCATGCTTGTCCATGTGCGGGGGGATACCGCTCAATACCGTTCCTCATGGACAGTGTTGGGGGTAGTTTCTTTTTGTAACTTTTATACGCCCCCACCCCCCAAAAATCTATCTTTTTGAAATAGGGCCAAAAAACGATTTGTGCCAAAAATGTGATATGAATACATTCATCTACTATAATTACCATAACAAAAATATATATATAAAGTTGATTTGAATTATTAACAAATGATTTATTTAAGTTTATTAATAAAATTATTCAATTTGTGTCTGTTTCAATTCACTTCTTTGATAAAGTTATACATGTATGCACATTGAAATGGCCCGTGGCCTAGTTAAGAGTCTGTTTCACCAGTCCCGCTGGCTCCTGAAGAAAAAAGTGAAGGGCGGATCCTGGTAAAGTTACTGACTTACTTCAATAATAAGATTTGTCTAGTGGTTGAACCCAAACAATTACATCATTACAGCACCCTAATTAACTAACAATATAGCCTATAGTACCTCATGTCCTCTAAATGATGAGCGTGTTGCAATGCTTCACACAGGTTGCCAAGGAACTGACACTGTCCCCTTCGTCCTAGATGGGCTATGGATAGGTATCTGAGCTGCTTGCAGTTCTGGGTGATGGGTACCAGGCAATGGCCACGAAGAACCGTTGGCAAGCCAACCAGTACCAAAGAATGGAGGTTGGTCCAGCGGGAGATACACAGGAGTGTGTCTTCAGACACTGCTGAGACAGTCGAGGGAGGACTGAAAAAAAAACACAAAGGAGAAAGATTCAGTGCTGTAGCCAAGCTGAACCACAATTCGCTGGATATCGCACTTCCGAATCAACCTGCTGTGGCCTCGTGGTTAAGGGCACTGGATTCGTGGTCTGCGGGTAAAGCTGCAGGTTGTGGGCTCGAGTCCAGCCTGGGGTCATGGTGCGTGTGCCCTTGGGCAAGGCACTTTGTCACTCATTGCTTCTCTCCACCCAGGAGTAAATGGCTACCTATGAGGGAAGAGATGGTTATTGTGATTGAATTAGCTTCCTTGCGCCTAACAGGCTGCATCGAGCTGTATACTCCCCAGGGAGCTGAGATGGTATTGAGAATGTTTCATGGGCTCAATGAGCAGGAGTAATGATGTAGGGCCTTGAGCACCAGTCCTGGTGGATATGTGCGCTTTATAAATACCCACTATTATTATTATTATTGTTATTAACCCAACCGAACTCAGTTGTTCAGCATCTGCGGAAATCAGGAAACCTTTCTAATTGCTCAACCAAAATAATCAAACCTTGTACCACATATTATTGTATTTTCCTTCAATACGAACAAAGAGAACAAAAGAAAGGAAACAAAAGTCTTCCCACAAGGGCCCCAATGTATGACAATGTTGGAAAAAATCAATGCTGTGAAAATTTCATGAATTTTGGTTTTTAATGATTAAAATAAATACTTGAAAATGGAATATACGTACTAGCCGAAAAGACAAAAATCCAGATTTGTGAACTTACAGTAAAATCTGGATAAGTCAACACATGTTAACTCAAAAGTCAACACATGTTAACTCAAAACCCCTTCTAACTCAAAGTAAAATCTTATTCCCGTCAATTGTTGTTGAATAGAAAATCCATTGGATAACTGAAAACTCTGCTTAACTCGAAATTTGAGCCAATTCCCCTGAGGTTGGACTTATTGAGATTTGAATGTACTTGCAACGGGTCGCCATTAGGTAGGAAATAACAAGATTCAGAAACCCTGCCGTCTGTTGACCATGAAAGGACCGTTCCAACTCACCATGGTGTGTACAGGTTCCTATCCTTCATGTCAAGTTGGAGGTCAGGCATCAAGAGAGACCGACATCCCTGGCCGATGAGCTCCAAGGATTCTAACCCCGGCGTACCGTTGACAATCTGAGCCAAGTTACTGCCGCAGTAGATGCAATTACCACCAATTTGATCCTGAAGCACATCCGGGAACAAGACAAGGTTAATGACTCATTCACAAGGTGGAATTTACGTCTGGGTGATGTAAATCAATATTGGGTTTTGCTTCATCGACGTATAAACACTGCACACTCGGTGTTACCTCCCGAGTGAAAGTTGGAAAAAAAACATGTTGATGAAGGGCAAAAGCCAATATTGATTTATATCACCCAGACGCAAATTCCATCTTATGAATAGTTTAATTGCGGTACCCGCTTCTACATGTACATCAGATTCGAACCAGCCAACCAATCCAGCAAGCTCAGTGGTCGAGTGGTAAGACGTTTGCACTAGAAAGCTGGAGGTCGTAGGTCCCACCTGAGTGATTTTTTTCCAACTTTCACTCAGGAGGTAAAACACTGAGTATACAGTGTTTATAGATCAGTGAAGGGCAAAACCTAATATTGAAGTTAACACAGTAAAGCTGGTCCCATAGTGCAAAAAATTCTATTCAATGTGGTTCGTAAGTGTGACGTCATTTCAACTCAACCATGCATACTGCACACGGTGTAGCATTGGAACATATGGAAGCAGAAGTAGTGCAAAGTTGCGTGTTTAGTCAATGGGCACTAGTAGTCAGTGGTAGGAGTGCATGTATGATGCAGTCACTTGTGAACCAGATTGATTTGGAATACATTTTCTTTGGAATTGTTTTCTGGAAAACTCAATATCATCAAATGTGATGTACAAACGTTTTGCCAATGGGTGCTAGTAATCAGTGGGGTGTGCGCGAAGACAAGTTCTTTTAAAACTTAAACAGGACTGTTATCATAACAAAAACTACTTAGTGAAAGTTGATAATAAGCAGGATAAATTCTTTTCAGAACTTTACCACAAACCGAAACGATACCGATACTCCACCATACAATGCCTACAATCTTATATCATTAATGTGTTGAACGAATGTGCAATGGAAGACAATAGTGGCTCATATAAATGGAAATTATTTTACCTTTCTTGGTTTTCTTCTTTCATAAGCACAATTAACCTCCGCCAGACAGCTATCACACCTACAAAAATACGGGTGACAAAACACTTATATGGTTTCACTGATTGTTTTTGGAAATCTATTTTCAGGGTGCCACACCCAAAAGGCATGTACAATGGAACACCTTTATAACAAGGTCCTTTGGACTTTACAAATAACCTTGTTATAACAGGCACCTTGTATTAACAGTAATGGAAAACAAAGAAAAACACAAGGACTTTGGACCTAAAATTTCCTTGTTATAAGCAGGATGTTGTTATAACAGTGCTCTTCTTATCAGTGTTTGACTGTACATTTTATACCAGCTATCAGCTGTACTACTGTATCGATATCTTTGTATTATTATTATTTTTTTTGTATTAACATCCATGTAGTTTGGCTGTAAGGCCACGAGATGTATGAAATAAAAATCCAATCCAATCCAATCCAATCCAATCCAATCCATACATTATTCACCTGATGTAATTATTGGTCTTGGAACCAACTCGTTGTCGTTTGCTGGAACTGGGGGAACAATAACTCAACCCTGCCTCAGGATTGGTGGGAAGTTGTGATGATGTCATCCACGCTGGCTGTGATTGGCTGCTATCTGACAGGCTACAGATTGGCAACGACAATGACTTCAGACCTAAGCAAAACAGTAATGAAATACTAATAGATGCCTTTGTTCATGTACGGCACACAGAATCCATTAAAAAATAAAACAAGAATTTGTAGGAAGTGCCCCACTTGAACCCAGCCTCAGGACACCAATGCTTGAGATATCAAAAATGACCTTGACCCTGACCTATGGGCTTCAAATCTTGTATGGATAACCTGGGAAAACAATTGCCCCTGGCATTGTAAAAAATCAATTTGAAACCTAACCATCAGTTAGTGCATGTGCTTACCTGTCAGCTTGCCCAGGACAGGCGCAAGCTGATTGGTGGAGCCTGCTTCATGAAAGTGCATGGGGTCATGAAAGTTCAAATTGAAATGTTGCAGTGGAATCTGTTTCTCCACGAGGGCGTCAAAGAACTGCAAATACATCTGTTGAATGAATGAATCCACCTAGATGATGAATCCAACATAAAGAGAATTGTCAACAGGGCAGGAACAAATTTGTCAATATGAATTCAATGCACTTTGCCCCCCCCCCCCCCCCCTGCAGATTTTATTGAAAGATATTTTTTTCCTTAACTATTTCCATAAATGGTTAGAGAGTTCGGACATGCTCCTAAACCATTACAATGCATCGGTATTTTTTAAGAGTGCCCCCATTTGGAATATGGGTACCAGCCCCACCCCGCCCCCATTTTGGCGCGGCTGTGCGAGTGCGGTTACCCCCCCCCCCCCCACATCAAAAGCTGGATACGCCACTGGCTGTGTATGTTAGTGGCTGACCATCAATCATCAGACATAAGTTGTTACATAATGTAATAACTCAGTTTCCCATGATCCTCAAGATGCATTTCTTCTCAATATTATTACAATTTTCGAAACCATGTTTATTAAATATACTGCATTTTCAAAGTTAAGTTAGGGAATAATAAATTTAATTTTTTTTTTAACACAAAAAATGCCCAAATAGGGATATTTTGTTGTCACTGGATGAATTAAAATTGAAATCTTACTTTTTTTCCTGTTAAAAAAACCCAAAACTTACATCTGAGAGATACCGATCGCTATGGTTGAATAAACAGGCGCTGATATTTAAAGTCTTCAAATGGGAGAGCTTGGTCATAAGGGCGAGATGTTCTTTTGTTTGATCACTGCAACGAGTGCGAAGATACAAGTGACGAACAGTCTGTGTGGGTACGGCTGATTTGAAATAACTGAGGGTATATTCGCCACATGTCTTCATAGCATTCATAGCCAGAACCTGTGCACATTCTGCGTAGGAATTGAAAAAACAAAAGCTCCAGTTCCAGGAATCACAACACAGTGGACACATGCATTCCATTGGGTCAAAACCGCGGTGCGTATACATCTTTGGGCGGAGAGTTTGAATCTCTTGGCCAACATACAAGTAGGCCAGCTGGCGTCCGAATCTGAGTTCACAGAGCAGGTCACTGTCACACCTACAGAAGAGGTGGCCACGGGACTCTGATGCTAAATGAATCGCGCTAACACTGAAAGCCTTCAAGCCCTCACATGACTCGAAAATGGAACACTCAATGCAAGTCTTGACGAGGACGTTTATCTCACTGAGTTGGGACCAGGTTGCCAAGGCCTTCTTGCTGAAATCGGAGAAATGCATCGTCCAGCGATGCTCAAAGGACAGACTGGAGAGAGTCTTGGCGCTGGATAATATCTTCATCAGCATCTTCAAGGAGATGGCTGTCCCTTGTATATCCAGACGATCTAAATTTGGCATGTCCAGATTGAGTCTTCCGAACTGAGTACACGTCAACCAGTAGCAATGCGAGATGTTCAAAGTTTGTATTTGAGTTCCTTTGATGTTACGTCGCAGTACAGAAAGTATGTGAGGGGTAACAGCATAGCATTTATGCAGGTCAACGTGTCTGCTCCATAAATCAAGAAAGAAAAAACACACTCAATTTTAATGTCTTATTGTACATTTGTAGGTCATAACATTCAATTGCTATCTTAATATACATGAAAATGAGTTGAAATTTCAGGGCAATCGTGTATCTACGGGCCCAGTTCCTATAAGGGAACAAAACCCACTTTTAAATTATTTGACCTACATGTACCAAAAAAGAACATGCAGGTATGTCACTGATAAAGGGCAGGGTTTTGAATTTTTGAGGGAAATTTAGGGGCAATGATGATGACGCAACACGAAAATAAAGATGGCGATTACCGCACGATGTACCATGGACGTGCAAGGCAAAATGAATCGCACAGCATCAACTGCAAACTGCGCAGGAAAATCGTAATTTCTACCCAAGAATACCCCAGAACTATGGCTACTCCGCGTAGCTAAGCCTCATAAACAACATCAAAACAAAATTGTTGACTACTACGAAACGACCTCTTAAGTACAAAAATGTCATGTATCCAAATGTACATCCAAATGTCTGCTGCACAGTTTGCCCCTAATCTCCGTATGGTACTTATTGACATACTCACGTGTAATGCACCCAAACATCCTGGGTGGATTCTGTGCCGATATTTGAAAAAAAAGATGAAAAAAAATCTGCGTTCCATACTGAGCAACATGAAGAAGATACATGCTGATGAAGATTGCTTGCGATTGACTTGTGCGCGCCCGCATGGCAAGCATCAGATTGGCCAATCAAAGTGCTTCTTGATTGAGCTACGCAGAGCAGCCATAGTTAGCCCTGGTCTGAGGTGCCCAAAAAAATGCTCAAAAATTACAAAAAGGTGTCATTATGCGGAGAGAAGTCTGCTGTAGGTTGAAAAGGTAATTATTGAGTAATAAAAATGCCCTTGACTCTAAATTTATAGAACTATACAGGGGCCCTACACCATAGTGGTGTTCCCTAACGTGGTGCACTTTGACGTTTCTCCCGACTTTCCTAATGCCAAACCTCTTCGTAGAAAAACTTCAAATTCATTCGGTTGAATACTGGTACTATTGCCTTAATAATGCTTGCTGTTGAACCTTTGTGAACAATTTAAGTGTCATGAAATTAAGTCTAAATTAAGAAAAGGTGGCATCCAGAAATTGGGCACAAATTCGGCCGACTGTTTCTTAACGTCAGAACGTGGCGCACTTGAAAAAATCTCGGAAAATTCATTCCAAATTAACAATTTAAGAATTTTTGTAAAGTTGATAAATTCTGATAAATCATTATTACCTCAACAACAAGTTTAATTTGACAGCAAATTATTTTCTTATTTTTGGGCGGATTTTAAAAGGGTTCATTGTGCACTTTGAAAAAAAAAGGAAAATCACACCAAAATTGCAAAAACAAAATAAAATTTCCCTAGAACTTTGTCGCGGGTACTACGTAAACTCAAGATTTATGAACGGGAATGTTTATTAGATGTCCAAATTTCACTGGTTGTGAAATTTGAGGTAACAATGTTGCTCAAACAAGTAACAACTAGGGCCTACTACTTTACTATAGTATAATCAAAGTGGGCCATAAAAAAAAAAGAACGAGGCCGATGGCCAATTTTGGGAATGTCAGACAAGTCGACCGTTGAGACAACTCGACTCGGGACAAGTCGACCGTTGAGACAACTCGACCGTTGAGACAGGTCGACCGTTGAGACAACTCGACTCGGGACAACTCGACCGTTGAGACTGCTCGACTTAATGGAAATTAATACACGTGGATCAGAGAAAGTTGCACAAATCTGTGGCAAGACCGATCACGGGTGCGGCGCGGGCATACTCGATGTACAGAGGGCGTCGCGTCGGGCAGGTGCGCCCCGCCCGCCCGCGAGGACCGGGCCCGTCACGCGGGCACGTCGACCGGCGCGGCAAACGGTCGCACAGGCCCGGCACAATCGATGTCACCGTGCACGGTACGGCCACGTTGACCGGGGATGCGCGCACGTGGCCTTGAAAAAAACGAACGATGTGCACGGACAATCACGCTGCGCTATATCGGCTCTGTCATATGCAAAAAAAAACAACTCATGTGTCATCACTCCCAAACGGCGATCAGCCGCCGTCAAAATCCCCGGTACTTTCCCCGAAACTACAATGCAGGCCCAAAACATGCGAGGCGACTTGTCTCAACGGTCGACTTGTCTTTCCATTTATCGCACATACGGTCGAGTTGTCTCAACGGTCGAGTTGTCTCAACGGTCGACTTGTCCCGAGTCGAGTTGTCTCAACGGTCGACTTGTCTGACCCCCAATTTTGGTGCACTTGCCTCAGAAGTGATGATTCCACACAAATCTCTTTTAGTCTGTGATTCACCTCACACATTGAAATTAAATCAATCGTTGGAAGGAACTCCAACACTTTCAGTAATATTTCATTTGGAATGAGGTCCAAATAACAGCTTTGCGTTTCGTTATCCATGTTATCCGGCACGCGTATTTCATCCCAGTCTTGCTCCATGGAGGCAGCCATCTTAAACAGCGCCCTCAAGCGGCCGCGTTACAGTTGGCGATTTACTTAAACATCGGTTGTTCCGCCTAGGTATCCCCCCCCCCCCCCCCCCCCCCTTTCCGGCCCCAGAACAAATTGTTGGGGGTATTAATATTCCAGAAAGTTTGTCTTAAACATTCGTGTTGTGTTGTGTGATTAGAGTATTTGGGGCCAGAGTCCGCAGCTAGCTAGGGCCTAAACATCTCCAGAGAGCCACACTGAAATGAACTCACGGTTTAGAAAACCCACTGGACTGCAATGCTATTGGTTTGAAGTTATAAGACTTTTCCATTATGAGAATGGGGATGAATATTTGAGGATGGAAGTCATAGAGCTGTCAAAGAACATGATGGAAGTACATCTTTTCAATGTAAGTGTTTGTACTAACAAATGATCTGAATGTGTCCTTTTAATAAACAATGTATGAATAGTAATCGTCTGAGTTAGGACACCTCCCTTTTTTATAACTTATTCCGTTCAAAAATGACTTTCGCATCATTATGACTGTCAAATTTTCCAAAATTGCTTTTGCAGCCAGGGCCAAGCAGAACTTTTTATTTTGATTAACTCTGGGTTTTTGCAATTTGTACAAATAATGTGACTTCCTACCTGTTTTTATCACCAAGAGCCGTGAAAGACACAGCAGTACAGGCGCAGTGATGATTGTAGGGCCTACCCCATAATTTCCTAAATGAAAACCCTGCCCTCTTTCTACAAAATAAAAGTCGGTAACAACTAAAACATTGTTAAGTTACTTATCCCGCTGGCAGGTAAGTCCCAAGACATAAAATGTCTTTTCATTTACGGGGTCCTAAACTGCCACTTTTACTGTTTGAATAAAATTGAACTAGAACCAAAGTACAAAAGATGTAATTGTAATGAAATTTAAGCAAAGTAAGGAATTGGGGAGGAAAAAAGGCTGGGGGGGGGGGGGTAGACAGATTGTCATCAACAATACTAGGGTTTACTAGGGTTTGTCTTAACAATGGGATATGATCCTAACAAGACTATTCTCGCATAATAAGATTTTACGATTGGGTGAAGATACAATAAGATAAAGGTCCAAGTCAAGCAGAAACTATGAGTTCAGCACATTATTACTGACTCAGTCGGTCACTCAGCACCTCAGTTGGTCAATGCTCAGTTGATCAGGGACTCAGTCAGTCAGCGACTCAGTCGGGGACCGAGTTGCAAAAGAAGTTCATTTAAACAAGTTAAGAACTACGACACTGCATTTTAGTTCGATGTTAGCATCTTTTATTTCGTTGCTATGCCTATATTTAATTTTTAACAAAAAATCCAATATTTACCTAATCCTCCACAAAAATTGACGAAATGCAATGTCCTACAAGAAAAGCATATTGCTGAGCAAATGAAGCATGCGTAGCTAAATTAAGCAATAAATACCATATTGTATTTTGCCTTGTAAACAAATGGCTAAATTACCGCTACTGTACCGCTGCTGTAAATGGAGTTGTACAAAAATTTTGTTCAAAATGGGCAAATTATTCTGTATTGTGTCAAGAGTAATCCCTTTTGTTTAAGTTGTCATTGATTGGATCTGTATCCTTAGCCAGTACTGTATTTATTTTGTCAATGGATGAGAGCTGATTGAAGAGCAATAAAATGTTATCCCCAGAATAAAAAAAAAAAAAAAAAAAAAAAAAAAAAATCAATGAGTGGTCAGATTGACCGGAATCCAGGTTCTATTTGGCGTGACACTTTTCAGGGTCAAAATTGACACGACTCAGGGTCAACATTTACATTATTCAGGGTCAAAATTGACACTATTCGTTGTCAAATGGACTCTATTCAGAGTCAAATTGACACTTCCCTGACTCATTTTCATGGTCATTTTGACCTGGAAACATTGGCAAGGCGTCATTTTGACCCAGTAAAATGTCAATTTTGACCCTGAAAAGTGTCAGGCCTGAAGTATAAACGGATTCCAGGTCAATTCTGACCATGAAAAAAAAAAAAAAAAAAAAAAAAGTTATGTTTTAGGAAATGACATTTAAAAATCTTGCTGTTGTGTTACAGCGAACGAACATTTAATTCATAAATAGGGGAAAAAAATGTGTTTTAAAAATCGTTTCATTGAACAAAAACAACTGGGGAAAAGGAATAATTTAGCAGGTTATGGTTCACCTGAAAACAACCAAATCGACCAAATACTTTTGAAAAATGGCAATTTTCGACTTAATGCTCATTTAGATGACAGGTAACATACTGTTCCTTTGCAGATTGCCGTCTCCTGTCTTTCACAACATTTTTTTAACTCAACAATTTAGAACTGAAAGTGTTGCTTCAAAAGCTGTGTAAATAACAAATTCCAATTTAAACATGGTTAGTGTGTCAATTTTTCCAATTAATGGTTTCACCAAAATAGCTAAATAATATTTAATTTAACAAATTGTACGAAAAGTATGTGTACAAAAATATACAAGGTTAACAAACATTTTCTTCTCCATAAGTACAAAAATAAATGCACCTTAAAACAAAAACACAAAACGATAGTTATTTTACCCATTATTTGATTACCTTTCTATGGTAATTTCTAAATTATAATTAAACAAAACTAAAACATCTTTCTATAATTCCAAACACCAAACTCATGGAGATGTACCTGTAGATTCACTCTCTAATGAGTTTCTAACATAATTTACGATAGAAAAATAGATTTGAAAAATGTATATGCTGTCTATATGCTACTGTTACACTCCTAACATTTCCAGACACTCTGGTTAATCTAATCAAAATCCACCAAAATATACAAACAATTATAAAGTAAATGAATTACAAATCTTCAAATTATCGTTTCAACTATAAGACGTTTCCATTCTACCAATGAAAACACCTTGTGGAAACATTGTGTCCTGCATTGTGGGTCAGTTGATTTTCCAAAATAGGTTGGTGGTTCCACATCCCCCCTTTTTGAAAACCCGAGTACAACCCTTAATGTTTGGATCCCATATGTAAAAGAAAGTAACAAAGTTATCAGTAAGGCCAAATAAAAAAAAAACATGTTAAGCGTCCCCGCCCGCTTCCTTTTCGGAGGCCGCCTCTTCTTTTTTTTTGTATTGAAAGCAAAAAATGATAAATTTAATGATCTCTTTCAGAAAAAAGTTATACCTTTAGACTTTAAAAGCAGGTATGTCATTTCCCGAGTCCAAGTGACGGCCATTAAAAAAAAAAGCTGGTGGCCATCTTGAAAAATAGCCCGGCCAGTAATTTTGGAAAATGGGTCGGGCGGCCATTTTGGGAAAAAAAGAAGGGCCTCCTCCAGTTCCCCAGTTCCAACAAGCAGAGCCTTTCAAGGTAGATCGGTAGAAAAGAACAACACAACGCAAGCCTAGTAAAGCTGATCACAGAGTTTACTAAGTTCTATTCAATTTAGGGAAATGCAAACTCCACTTTTGCCGTTCAATGGAGATTTAACTTATTGCCTATACATGTATCATGAAAATACACAAAGCAAGCACCAGACTATAATACACAAGTGGTATAGGATTCTACATGATATACATGAATAGGCAAGCCTCATGACCTTTGGTCAGGGATATAGGTAACTAGTCTAAAGTGACAGTCAGTCAGTTAGCGAGATAGGGACAAAGAGGGCGCTAGACTTGCCCTCTGGGAACCATCAAATTTCACCAGACTGGGGTATGAACCCTGACCTTGTCTTTTCATGTACCCGCTTTGACCATGGATGCAAACATACTGTCCTCCTTGGCCAGAAGATTCTCCGGTGTGTCAAACTCAGCTACTCTGCCTTCGCTTAAGACTAATATGCGGTCTGAGTCCAGGATGGTTTGAACACGGTGCTGAAAAAATGAAAGAAAATAAATGGTTACTTCCAAAGTTACCGAGTCTCAAAGACTTTATATTCAAATTCAAAATGTCACAACCGAGCTATGAACAACTATCCGCTCCGTTCACAAGTACCCCCTCATCGGCAAAGAAAACACAGTTGGGGGTGACTGAACGACGCCATCTTGCCTGACCGCAGTTCATTTGCCGCGAAGCGCGGCCACTGCATGGTACATGTATATCCCCTGGTGTACGTATGCGTCACACACAAGAAACAGTGCGCGTCAACCAGCGAAATGTTCCGTCCATGGGACATCGTTGCTAGGTAAAAGTGCGCCCTCTTTATCGGCGCACTGAGCCCGTACTTCCAAAATGTCACTTTTACACTTCACATTATTAAAGGATGTGACTTTGTGTTTAATTTTGTAAATGCTTAGCAAATATTTTAAGAACAGTATAACGTTTTAGCTATTTCACAAGGGTGGCGCCTGCCCATTTTGTCTGAATTAATATAAGCATGATTGTTGACATGTTAATAATCAACAATGACTGACGTGAACCTCAAATGTAGTCAAGTACTGCAGTGATTCTAAGGTTTGAAAACATTGTTCATTATTTGTGCTATGTATGTTTAACTCAATTCGGGTTTCGTTTCAACGTTTGGGAAAATTCGTAGACGGGTTTAATTTTGTTGTTGTTCTTTTCAACATTTAAATGTGTCAACGTCACATTCTTCCTTCACAGCCTATTTTGTGTGAACTATCAGTACTTTGTTTACAGACAATCCCACAAAAAAACTGTTTTAAATTTACAAAAAATGCCAACTTGGGCGTTATAGCCTGGATAATAGGATGAAGATGAAGCAATCTATAAGTTCAGCATATACTTACAGCTATGGTGAGAACAGTGCGATCTTCAAAAGCTGTGGCCACAACCTGCTGCAGAATTTTATCCTGTAACAGACATATTTAAAAAAAAATTCTTTCTTTAGGGGTTCAAATGTTCAAAATACAAGCATTTGTTAGAAATATCTTTTTTTTCAAATTGAGAATCAATAAAGATCACTTGGTGGAGGAACTCACGGTTTCCAAGTCGATGGAGGCGGTTGCCTCATCCATGACCAGGATGCGAGTCTTCCTCAAGAAGGCACGAGCCAAGCAAAACAGCTGCCTCTGACCCACGCTGAAATTCTCACCTCCCTCCGTTACCATGGCGTCTGTTGGCCAGAAGAAAAACAGACTTAAGAAAGGGTTTTGTTCCGGTTTATCAAACGGGGCGGGTAGGAGACTGCAGGTCCTGGGTCAGTGGTATGCATGGATGACAGAGTGCCTGCAAAACAAGCTGTGGAAGACGCTTCACTCAGGGATGTACCCCTGGGCTGGAGGAGACCCAGAGGAAAGCAGCAGTCGACCTTGACGTCCTGAGACTCCAGTGTCCAGCCCCTCGAAGAACTACTAGAACTTGCGCAGGAAAGCTTTTAGCCATTTAGTTGCAACGGTCACCTGATGGTCTTGCGGAAATTGGTTGTTGCTGTTGTTGTTGTTATGGGTAGTATTGGGGCAAGGGTGTTACTTTTTTTTTTAATATTGCAAGATCTCTCTACATTTAGACTTCATTTTTTTTTCGCTTGGAATTTCAGCAATTCCTAGTTAACAAGCTACAAGTTCTCAACTGGGGGACATTTTCACTCCTCTTATTAGTCTTTGCATAAGGTAAAAAAGTCTAGGCTTGACTGCTCAAAGTCATAGTTTAGGACACAATTTATACTCAGTCAGTGAGTCAGTCAGTCAGTTGTTTGTTAGGACAGTCAGTCAGTCACTCGGTAGGACAAAAGACTGTCACTTCACCAAACTACAACAAATAGACATCAGATGGAGGCACAGAAATGGGGATAGTTGTGGGGGCAGGGAGTAGACACAGGGGGAAGGGGTGGGGGAGGGTGGGGGAAGGGGTGGGGGAAGGTGGGGTGTGAATGGGCTTACTCAGTCCCAGGTCCAGTTCAGACACTGTCTCCCTCAGCTGAGCAATCTCCAAGGCTTCCCATAATGCTCTATCGTCGTGCTCATTCCTAGCATCAAGGTTGAATCTAGATAATTGTCAACAAAATTTTGTTTACTTTATGAAAATGTCAATAATTTGTTAAAGGGAATATACAACATTTGCAAACATCGAAAAATAAAACTACCAAGTTTTTGCGAAATACCTTAATAGGATGTTGGTAAATGACAGTCTAAAGCATCCTGTAAAATTATGGCACCTGGTGTGAAGTCTTTTCAAGAATATGGTATTTTTGTAAAAAGTTCCAGCGGTGGTCGGCCGACCACCGTTGGAAAAACGTAACTATTTTTCAACTACTGCTCAAAATTTGCCATTAATTCAGTCCAAATTTTGTTTGCTATTGGTTACATGTTCATGAACGGGTGCAGGCCAGCTAGACTGGTACCCTTACCTTACAATTTTCCGGCATCTGTAAATTGATCCATTTTATATTTAGTGGAGTCAGGGAACCAGACTACTTGAACAGTTTTGTTTTTCTTGGTTTTTCCAGCATTTTCGAACACAAAACTTCAAACATGCGAGTGTAACAATATTTGATCTTTTATGCTCGCCCCTCAAATATTTCATTTCTGAAAATTACAGCAAAAGCCAATGATGTATATTCCCTTTAACTGAGAGAAATATCAGTTTTGTGGAAAATTCAGAGGGCTTGTATTCCAACTTTTTCCAAGTCTTTTTTGGTCAAAGTTCATGGCTAACCTAATGGTTCCCGTAAAGAGTACAGGATCCTGTGGGATGATTGCCAGACGACTTCTCAGCTGTAGCAGGGGAAGACTGGCAATGTCAATGTTATCGACAAATACACTGCCTGGGGGAAGACGAGGAAGAAAGATCACAAGTTAAATAAAAGTTAAACATACGCTCTTGTCAGACACGCATTGCAGAGTTGCGGCAACTCAGGTCCATCCAAATAGAACTTGGGTTTCAGATCAGGGAGGGTTATGAATTAATTAATTGTCTAGACCCTAGAGTCATATTCTGAATAACTGCAACAGTTGACCTTTGATGCACTAACCAAGGCCCAATATAATAGGGCTGCGTAACAGTTAGCAGAAAAAATGCTAACTATAGCAGAAAATCATAATGCTGCATAAGCACTATTTCATGGCAGGGATGTGCTAATGGTTGTGCGCACATGAACATTTCTATTGTTACGTCACATTATTGCTTAACGGTCTCTATGAAATGGAAGCAGCGCTGTGAAATTGGGCGCTGTTTATAACATCACATTTGTAACTTCTCCAATGCCCTACTATCGCAATTCATAAACACCTTTTCAGTCAAAAACCATAGAAGTCCAAAAGGTCGACAAACTTCCAAGATATTTTTCTACCATTTTACTTTATTTATAGTCGAGTCATTTCTACGGTACTTACTACGTGTGTGGTTTACTCAACATTTTCTTATATGGGGATCATTTCTGTGATTCTCAAGCAATCGGCTGTAGCCAGCAGCTACAGTTCAAACTGTGTCCATGTGGCATGGGTCTTGGTGTCTTGTGACCCATTTGGGACAGTGTTAAAATGACGGTTTTAAACCAGCCGTGCGACAGTCTCTCGACCAATAGGTATAGGTGCACTGTATTTATGAACAACGAATGAGATTAATTTGATCTGTACCTTGGAATGTTTGTATGATTCTGAATAGAGCCAGCAGGAGGGAGGATTTACCGCTTCCTGTCCGACCGCAGATTCCAATCTAGAAAAGAAAAAGGAATAGATGCTTATATATAGTAGAACGTCGCTATAGCGAATAAAAATATTCGTTATAGCGATTTTTGGCTGGCGGCACGACACTCTAAGTTGACAGGATGTGTCCGTACACATGTACATATATGTATGTTTCCTTCCATTCAATGGGAAATAACGCAACGGTGGCGCTCAAAATGGGCTTTCATTGAATTTCATTAATTGACTAAATTCAGAAATGTTCGGTATAATTGTACATAAAACTTGGGAGCCAACGGCTGATGATTGCTATAGTGGAATATTTGGCAAAGAGATGTTTGTTATAGCGCATTCTAGTTATTTTAATAAATGTTTTTGGAAGACCTAATGAATTCCTTGCTTTGACGACAATACCTATATTGCTTCTCAGAACGATTTGAATCTTTCAATTCTGAAAGAGAAAGTAATGCCACACTGAATACCTTTTCTCCTGGCATGATGTGAATGCTGATGCTACGCAGCACTGGATCCAACTCAGTGTCGTAGCGAGCTGAAACATCTTCAAACGTAATCACGCCATTACTGGGCCAGTTGGCAGGAGCAGACACTGTACCTGATTGGACAACAAAGGAATATCATATCAGAGGGTATACATCCTAACTCAGTATTGTAGTCAGAGTACCTGCGATGGATCACAAGTGTATCATAAGTCCGGTCACGAGAAATGCACAAGTCAATTCACAAGTCCATCCAGTAACAATAAGGAATGACAAAGTGATGTCTTTGTCACATAAGCAGGAGGTCTCGGGTTCGAGTCCCACCCGAGTAAGTTGTAATTTTTTTCTCGGAATTTGGGACAACTCGAGATAACTTTAAGTATACAGTGTGTATATATGTCGATGAAGGGCAAAATCCTAACATTGAGTCTTTGTCACATTTTATTGCAATATTTGTGACTTAGGACTGTTTGTGATCAATTTGTGATGACAACAACTTTTGCAAATTTTAAATGTAACTTAAACTGAAACAAGGTAATCACGATGAAAATTCACTGAAAACAGTGGGACAAAAACCTTCATATTTTTCTGTGTCGATATTCTTGTAGTAGTCCACTCTCTCAATAGAATTCAGTTGCATCTCCATGTTGGCTGATGAGCGAATCATCCAATTCAGTTGGTTGGACGCCTGCAAATGGAAATATAAATAAAAGTATAGCCTAATCCTTGAAAAAAGTTGTCAGCTCTCACAGACTGACGGGAACCCTCTGTTGGTGCCAGATGTAGGATTTTTCAGGGGAAGTGAAGCCGGCCTACTCACTCGAGCTAAGGAAAGACACACAACATGGGAAGTGTTTACTCCCCCCCCCCCCAAAAAAAAGGACATATAGCTGTACAATCACTGCCCTCACCAAAAGTTGTATATAAACAAGTCACTGAATTATTTTTTAATTCAAGTCGAATTGAGCCATAAAGTGAAGAAGTTTGAGTCAAATCACAAAGTGTGCTTGAGTCGAGTCAATATGAGTCACATTCTTGCCACATGAGTCATTTATATTTTAACGACACCTTATTGAGTATCACAAACTAAGATGGTTAGGTTTCAGCACTTGTTTTTAATTTCTGTCAACCTGCCAATCTAGCTTAAGCCTTGCAAACAAACTCCAATATAACTTCACCTGAATTGGTATTGTTGAAGTAGCCGCCGCCGCAACTGTTAACTCACGTTTTCAAGGATCATGTGCTGATGAGCCGTTGATTCAAGTCAAGTCCAGTCTATATTACCAAGAGACTCAAATCAACTGACTTTGTTTGCAGTGACTCATGGTGAGTCATTTGTCCATAATGACTCAAATCAAGTAGAGTCACCACAAATTGTGATAGGACTCTAAATGAGTCAAGTCATTAAAACTCTGGCTGGCTTCACCTTATCACTGGCCCATCAAGTGGTAAACAAAATACATCCCATATTGCAACAATGACTGGTATTTTTTTTTTGGTGAGATATTCTATGTATCTACTGGTCTTACATTGAGAGCGTAAGCGATTGCGAGTCCCACTAAGCTTGGTAGCAGCACGCCGTCCATGGCTGAGATGACTGTCGACAAGCCAGCAATCAACACTATGAAACCCCCTATCACTTCCTGTATGAACAAAATCATACCAAGAATGTGAAGAGGAAGGATTGTAAGAGTGGATCCAAGGGGGTCCCCCCCCCAAAAAAAAAATCTTAGACATCTTGAAAATCTTAGACATAAACACCCCAGCCAAGCCCTTTCAAAATTCCTGGATTTGGAATCAACTCTGCTGATAAAGTTCTACTCAACAGAGAGAGAAAAAATTTTGGTTCAAAAGTGGAAAGTCTGTGAAAACTTCAGTAACTTCTAAAGACTTCATCAGAGATCACATTACTTGATTGGTCTTACCAGTCTGGCACCCAACCACCTATTGCTGGTATTCATATATATGAACATGACATTGTTCAGCTCCATCTTTCTGATCAGGTCATCACGGAAATGCTCTTGTTGCCTAAAGGTACACATGAAAAGAAAAGTAAACGTCATGGTGAAATACAGTGAAAAATATAGAAAACGTCCACCACAAAATTGCTCCAAACACATTTCAAAATAATCACCAAATGAACCAATGTTTAGTGCGGTCCCTATGATTCTTTATACAAATATTGAGTGGCTCAGAGTGGAATGGGAGGCATATTATCCCAAGGAAAAATCTGGACTATTCTACTTCACAAGGCGAAGAAATGGAAAAGTCCAGATTTTACCGAGTGATAACATTCCTCCCATTTTACAATTTCAAGCCACTCAATATTTGTTTTATATAACTGACATATAGATCCTTGTCATTTGATTATTTGAACTTCTATTTCAATACAAAATTGGTGGGAAATGTATTTCACTCTTCCAAACCACCCCTTCACGAAATGTTTGAACCCAACTCTGTAGCTACTGGCTCTTTGGAACAATACGCGCTACGTGCAACGCTGAACACGCACACCAGCATGCATTTGCACACAAATACTGCATCATGGAACAAGACTGATCCTAACTGTTAAATACCGTAATTTTCGGAATATAAGCCGCGCGGCGTATAAGCCGCAGCACGCAAAAATCTGCAAATTAAGATTTGAAGTCGGCGTATAAGCCGCACCGGCGTATAATCCGCACCGACGGCAGCGGTTTCAATTTTGTAAGGCCTCCAAATTCTAGCCAAAATGCTCTGAATCAGTTCCATTTACACTACAGAAGCTATAAATAGGGCCACAAAAGTCGTATCATTTCATTTACAATCGGTACTCTCACAAACGAATGTGGAAAATGATGATGAGACATAAACACCGGGAATTGCTGCCGGCTGCCCCGTCCGGTCCCCGGCCGTAAAAGTTAATACATCGCCCGGCGCGGCAGCCTGCGCCGCGCCGGCCTGTGACAACATTTTCCTGCAGCACGTGAGAGATGCAACCCACCGTGATTTTCCCCCATTGCGTGTGTTGTCTGACTGGAGCGCTACGTACAAATCTTGCTTTGTGGCAACAGATGCTGATTTGTTTTGTCCTAAAAATATACAGGTCCGTTTTTATCTCAAACTTATCAAATTTTTGTGATTACTAACGAGCAGTATTCAAGTTTCAATCGTAACTTTCTTCGAAAATTGTCAAAACGATGCTGCCATTTTCATGGACGAATCCATTAATTGTGTAAGGGGTGATGTAGTCCCTGTTTTGAGGTTTACATCGTTTCTTGAATACATTTCAAGTACAAAAATTATATTGTGACGTTGAACAACTGATTATCGAATAAAGAAATGTTTCGGACACCATAAAAAGTATTAGTCGTTTTTTTTTTTTTTTTAAACAGCGGAAATGTTGGTAATTATTGTTTCCAAGATAGTACACCCCTACATTACCTCAAATGGTGTGGTCCGCTGGGGAAAGCATGCTGCATGCATGCAGCAGCACTAGAATCACGTACGGCTTGTTGCAAGCGTCGATATCGAAGACAGCTTTCACCGTACTTTTTACCGCTCGGCACCTTTACGTGGCACGTGGTTTCAGTTCGTTAATGACTTTCTTAATTGATAATTCATTTCAGCAACATATATCTTCTTATACCAGAACATTAAATACACATGTGAATTTCATTTTTATTCTTCAAGGCTCGGCGTATAAGCCGCCCTGTGTATAAGCCGCAGTAAACATTTTCATGGGCAAAATCAACGTATAAGCCGCGGCTTATATTCCGAAAATTACAGTAGTATTTCCCATTCCCCATGGACGAATGGGACTTTTTGAGCCCCTGCGTGAATGGGAGTATAACGAATGTCATGTGTTGTGAGTTCCACCAATCAAATGACAAGGATCTGGGCCCAATTTCATAGCGCTGCTTAACAGCCGACTTTGTACATACCGAGCCTCCATCTATTTCATAGGGACCGTTAAGCAGTAAGCACAGCAAAAGCATGCTTAACCCCAGAAGAAAACTTTGCTTAAATCAGTGACGTAACAATAGAAATCTCCATGCGCGCGCAACCGTTTGCATGAAATGGTGCTTGAGCAGCAGCATGATTTTCTGCTATAGTAAGCACAACTTTTCTGCTTACTATTATACCGTAATTTTCGGAATATAAGCCGCGGCTTATACGTTGATTTTGCCCATGAAAATGTTTACTGCGGCTTATACACAGGGCGGCTTATACGCCGAGCCTTGAAGAATAAAAATGAAATTCACATGTGTATTTAATGTACTGGTATAAGAAGAGATAAGTTGCTGAAATGAATTATCAATTAAGAAAGTCATTAACGAACCGAAACCACGTGCCACGTAAAAGGTGCCGAGCGGTAAAAAGTACGGTGAAAGCGGTCTTCGATCGACGCTTGCAACAAGCCGTACGTGATTCTAGTGCTTGCTGCAGCATGCTTTCCCCAGCGGACCACACCATTTGAGGTAATATAGGGGTGTACTATCTTGGAAACAATTACCAACGTTTCCGCTGTTTAAAAAAAGAAAAAAGACGACTAATACTTTTTATGGTGTCCGAAACTTTTTTTTATTCGATAATCAGTTGTTCAACGTCACAATATATTTTTTGTACTTGAAATGTATTCAAGAAACGATGTAAACCTTAAAATAACAACTTTTGTGGCCCTTTTTATAGCTTCTGTAGTGTAAATGGAACTGGTTCAGAGCATTTTGGCTAGATTATTTGGAGGCCTTACAAAATTGAAACTGCTGCCGTCGGTGCGGCTTATACGCCGGTGCGGCTTATACGCCGGTGCGGCTTATACGCCGACTTCAAATCTTAATTTGCAGATATTTGCGTGCTGCGGCTTATATTCCGAAAATTACGGTAATCAATTATATAATACACGTATTGCTTTCAACAAATGAACACACACATACCTGTAGGCCCTGATGGTAGACAGCCCTTCCAAGGTTTCTGAGAAGTGAGCAAAGACAGGAGACTTGCTGATGTTAGTCAATCGCTGCAACTCCCTACAAACAGGAGGACAAAGAAAACAAACTCAAATAGAAATCTAGAGATTGCTGTAAACTGCTTATCAACTTCAATGACATCAATCATCATGATAGCAGTTAGATGTTTCACGCCTGCAGAATTTATTTTCAAAAGCCATGTGACACAAGATTAGCATGGAGCAAGTTGAAACAATTTTGCATGTTAGTCTACTTTGGACAAAGAAGGTCCATAGATGACATTTGATTTGACCATCAGTCAACTCGAATTTACTTTATTATAAGCCAAGGGAAATATAGCACCCTGTTGTGGTCACTGAAAGTCCCTTAGGGGGTATAGATGTGCACTAGTGACCTCATTGCCAGTCAATATGTGTATAATGTTTTGCACATACTCAAGACATATATCATCACAAAGACTTGCCTCGACGTCTTGATGAAATACTTCATGATGAGCAAGTACAGGATGACGAAGGGGATCAGTGCCACAGCGAAGTACCAGCTGACGGCAATGTTGACGATAATGGCTCCGATGCAGGTCAGCCAATACTTCTGGAAACTATTGAAGGTATTGCCAAGAATCTGTCAAAGGAAGCAGCAAATACAAATAATAATCAGTAAATTTTATTTATCGGTAATACAAAAGATTGATCACAATATTTTCTACAGAGACAGTTATGTCAAGTTTACTGAACAAGCAATAAAGTGGTCGCTGCTACAATAATTTTCTTAAGGGTACCATAATGCCCCCCAAAAAAGTCTCCGGTTTCTGGTATGGAGCTTACCCAAAAAGTGGTGCGGTGACGCGGCTTTTTTTTTTTTTTACCTGATTTTTTTTGCTTCAAATATCGGCTGATGACTGCAAATGGTGCCCAACTAAACTTAGGGCAAATATATGGGAGTCCAGAGAGGCCACATAAAGCTTATTTTCGACCATAACCCAATCTAAAAACACGTTAAAATTGTGCAGCAGCAGGATTCCAGTCAAACTAGTGAGTTTGGCGGTTTTGAGACATCATCTTTCATTGAAAAAAAAACTTTTTCATTTTGCCGACGCGCATGGCTACGGCGACGCGCGCGCATACCAGAAAACGGAGACTTTTTTTTTTGGCCTAAAGTAAAATTGTGACGTTTACTCAAATTTCCACTTAATTAAAAATATGCCACTGTGTGAAAGCCTGTTACTCAATGCAACAGCAAAAGCGAACCTGAATTTATGACGTTACAAGTATCCAGGCGAATTTTTCAGCAAATGTTTCCTGGTTTGTTTCGCATTTGCATGAACTAACCTGAAGACAATTGACCTATCGCAGTAGTATTTATTTATTTTTATTTATTTATTCTGGTTTATTCCTAAAAAGCAAAATATATTGTACACAACAGCATAAATGCTGACAATTACAATATTTACAAAATCAGGCTAAAAATTCATATCATTAGAGTTACAGTAAAATTTGAAAGGGAGAAACTAACTAACAGACATGATACAAAGCATAAATTTCACACACCAAAGGTGAAAATTTACATTCCATAAAAAGTTTCACACAAGCCATTTAGATTACCAACACAAACACAATCCTTACCCCCCCCCAAAAAAACCCCAACATCAAACGAGCAAACACACCCAACAAACAACTAAACAACAACAACCAGACATGCATTACATGTAGAAACATTACACATTACATGTAGAAACATTACACACATCACATTTTACAGTATCGCGCTAGATTCGCGTCAACGCAGCTTGTAAAATATTGTCCAATTACATGATATACAAATGGAAGCGAAACGCGCAAAATCTGAGATAAACAAAACTTAGCGTACAAAACTTAGCGTGGCTAACTCGCAAACAGCGATAGGTCAATAGGGCTAACAGTGCAATCATGTGACATGTGTACAGGTGTCGAAAGGGGAAAACTTAAGACAGACACATTTTTTAAAATCAGAATGTTAAGAAGGTCTGTAACAGCATCCAAGACCAAACAGAAGTATGAAAATTTGATGAAAACAATCATGCATTTGACCCCCGAGTGCTTGGCTATTTGTGTGACGTTTTTACCTGATCAATAATTTTGACATCAGAGGAGAAACGGTTCATGATACGACCGATGGGAGTGGTGTCAAAAAACCTGCCGAAAGAGAAATCAACACATACAACAGCAAAAATGAATAAGAGGCCCAGAAATAGAGTGTGTTGCAGAGTGTGTTTATTTCAGCAATAGGGGGCGTTAAACAATAGAGGATAATACAGTCCCCTATTCCTGAGAGGTCCCCAATTTGGCGATCGTGAACAAAACATATATGGGATGTCTTCCTAAAAAGTTAAAGTAAAACAAAAGATGGACAGCAATAGGGGTCCCCGATTGCAGGCAAATATACACTTGGGTGAGTATGTTTTCTTGCAATTCAGCACTACAGTTGGAGACATAAAAGTAGTTGGACAATGCAAACTCTGTTTTCTTTGTTACAAAGATTTTGACAAGTTCACTGTACCACAGTGCGAACCTGTCGTACAGTGAACTTATCCTTCCCGTCCCTTTGGACTTCAAGTTATTCAAAATTTTGTCACAATATCAGTTGTTTTACAGCTCAAACAGCATGGAATTGTGCTTGCTAAATCATGTTTTAAAAGTAAACAAACCTCATGGGCGCATGCATGACAGTCTTGAGCATTTGGTTATGCAGTCTTCGGCTAGCTAAGAGTGTGAACGTGAAGACGATGGCAATGGTCAAAGCACCGGCAAAGACGCTACTGACTGACAAGCCGGCATATCCATTGAGATAGTACTGAAGCAACTCATCTTGCTCCTCCTACATAAACACACCAATAGGAAGAATGCATGTAATCTGGGCTAATGTATCACCTATGCAGGGCTGAGAATGGGGGAAATGAAAAACCCACAAAATAATTGACAGAGGGTTTGGTGTCTGCTGAAGGCCCTGAAGATGTAGGGTCTATGGTATATGTTTGTATTTGATTCAAAGCAACCCTTGAAATACCCACTTCTTTTGTTCTACATACAGCATGCATGGGTAAAAAATGTCCCCACCCACACTCTAAGAAACGGAGAATATACTAGAGAAAGTACAAGGATTTGGGGGGAAAATGTGCTTTGCCCCCCTCTACAAAAATCATGGTGAGGCCATGAGAGCATGCGTGTAATGGCTTGTGTGCGTACCGCACCAAATATACCCGAGTAGCTACACTTGACCATCAGTTGGTCGTAGTGACCTCCGACCTCCCTGATCAAGGGCAAGAGACCAGCACTCGATTGGTGACAGTTGCACAACATCTACAACCTACTTAAGCCAAGTAGTCCTTTTAATAATTAATTAGTTAAATGAGCACAAAACAAAATGCTTACTAGCTGCCACTTACTAAATACCGCCACCCTCCCATTAAAAACAGATAAAAATAAGAGTTCCCTACTTTGGTTTTGTTAGCTATGTTCCTGCCTGCTTCAGACCAGTAGGACAGCCAGTAGTTGGTGCCAATGAAGAGAGCTTGCTGGAAGATGGCAAACATAAGAAGAAACGTGAAGGCTACGATGCCGATGGCCTTGATGTAGGTCAGATAGACACGCCATGAGACTGAGCCTTTTACTCGTTCCTCATCCTGTACAAGACGTCCTTTGGCATCTGACGATTCAAAAACAAAAATGACATTTTCTTCATTTTGAGACCGAGATGGAGATACAATACTCATACTTTTATGGGAACTGGAGGGCATGGTGATGAAAAATCGCTTTAATTTTGTGAAGTTTGGTATTTTAAAAGGTACATTTGTGTTTTTCCATTTAAAGCTGTCGATCAACAAAGTTAAAAAAAAGTTGCGGAGTTTGACATCATTCAACTTTAGGAGGCGCTGTTTGTTATACATGTATGTAAAATGTGTACTGTTTATACACAGTAAAAATGTTAGGTCCCTCCCTAGACACTTTTGACAGTAAGTTCAACATCGAAAATTGTTGTTTCTTCCCCCCCCCCCCCCCGGTTTTTTTTTGGGGGTGGGGATGTTCTGGGGGGGGGGGACTTGAACCCAACCTACCAGCATCTGCAATGTCTTCCAAAGACTACAAGTTATAGGCGCACGCTCTTCAACCGCGAAGAGCTCAACGTGTGGCTTCGGTGCCACGAATCACAATGGACGTAAAACGTCTGCGAGTGACAACACCCATGATGATGATGACATGTAAACTTACCCTTCAACTCATTGACTCCATCAGCTGGCTTCATGTTTGAAACCTGACGTGTGAGTTGGGCTCTCTCCTCTGTAGTGCTGGCTGACTCGTGTCCAGAGGTTTCTGAATCTGATGCTAGGTTCTCAGAGGAACCGGCCATGGTCCAGGAAGCCACTAGTTCCGGGTTTTCCTCCCGGATTTCCTCCAAGTTTCCTTGATTCTCGATGGAACCGTCCTTCATGTACACAATCTGATGGACAAACAGCAGACAATCTTCAACTTTACAACTGTCTTTTTTTCTTCGATTTGTTGGGAAAAGGAGGTGACTTAAGTGAGGAAAGATTGAATTGGTGCTGATGATTCAGTGGTTTTAATACAGTAGAAACCACAGTTCATCCGGAGGTTACATTTTCAAATTGCATCTCGGTCACTATTTTTTTTTTGAGAAAAGGGTGTCGATTCACAACTTTCTTGAGTTTGCAATTTTTGCGTAACTTCATTCCACACCAATTCAATTGACTGAACAGAGTAAGTGATGACCTGGCCTCCTGCTAGTGCGGCAGTCCAGTTCTGTGAGTAAATAAAAAGTAAGAACAATTTGATAATGATTTTCGGTTCAAAAATACAGTATATAGAACAATGAAGCTATGCTACGATTCTTACTATATCAGCTTTTTCCGCATATTTTATCTGATGGGTGACCAGGACGACGGTACGTTTGCTCTTTTTCATCAAGAACCCTTCAATGCCTTTCTTGAAGAGATGACCTCCGACGTGGATGTCCAGAGCAGAGAGGGGGTCATCCTAGACATAAGGTGCAATATATTATCATCACTTTGGCTAATGAGGCAATTTTAAACTGCTCATCAAACATTCATCAAGTTCAAAGAGCATATGAGCACACTCATGTTCATTAAGATCAAATGATGTACCACCAGTGAAACTCTTTAACAATAAGTTTGAAATGTATCCAATTACTATAGCCATAGCCTTCTGAATATAAAAGCTTATTTAACGTTGCCGTCCAGATGATTTTTGAGCTTACGACATATACTTACCAGAATCACAACATCATTTTCACTATACATGGCCCTGGCTACGCTGACTCGTTGTTTCTGACCGCCGCTCAGATTGATTCCCTTCTCACCAATCTCTGTTTGATCTCCGGCCGGCAGGATGTCGATGTCTGGCTGCAGGGAGCAAGCAGTGATGACCTTCTTGTACCTGGAAAAGGAAAATAGTCAGTCCTAATTGTCAACAATAGTAGAAAGCCATGCTCCAGTGGTTACTGTGTTTGACTCATGTATGAAGGTGCGTGGGTTCGAACCCGGTTAGAAACATTGTGTTGGTGCCCTTGGGCAAGACACTTAACTACAATTGCCTCTCTCCACCCAGGAGTATAAATAGGTACCTGTGAGGGTCGAGGACCGATTGAGTGCTGATATCGGCTGCCGTGTGGTCTCATGGCCTGATGAATGGGGTAATAATTGTAAAGCGCTTTGAGATTGTTCTCTTCTTCAGGAATCTGAAGAAGAGAGCTGAGATGCTGTCAATTTACATAACTTTCTAATTTCTGTTTGGAACCTAAATGCAGAATAGTCTTAAAAAGACACCCGAGAGGATCTTCGGCGTTAACATTTGTTATAGAATAAAACATTCCAATATCAAAAATTCAAAACACTGTGTTAATAGATGCCGGTATCTGAATTATCAATATCCAGGTATATACAATTTGTATCTCAGAGAAGGGTGAAGCATCCAGAAGACGTTCATCTTACATTTTACTTTTTATTGCTTACCTTTTCTTGTCAAAGCCGTTGCCAAAAAGGATGTTCTCTTTGAGTGTTGCGTTCAGCAGCCATGGTTTCTGTGCTCCATATGCAATGGAGCCACAATTCCTAAAAAAAAAAAAAATCTAATTTTTCCTTTTTATGGGGGATGGGGGGGGGGGGGTAATTCAATAACCACCAACCTTCAAGCTGTTACTTGCTGCAATTTGTAGGCCAATAAAATTTATCTATTTATTCTAACTTTGTTCTAATCTCAGTATTTCCTACTTCTCAACGTATTTAATCATCACCAAAATTTATCATCAAATGAAATGATTTCTTAAATACACATTATTCATAAATACATGGGACAGTTTACCATTCCTATTGGTCGAGGGCCCGTCACGTGGGTGGTTTTAAACCGCTGGTAAAACATCGCTGCGTTCTGTGCCAATTTCCATATAAGGAGATTTTTAGCACTAAGCGCATGGGGCACATACAATAGACATGGCTAGAGGGATGTTTCACAAAACATGATGCAAAATTGTTGAACAAAATCATTGAAAATTAGTTATTTTTTTACTTGTTTTGACTTTTTGACTGAAAGGTACTTATGAATGGGAATAAATATGTGCCTGGCCGGTATTACTACTAAGCCTATACGACGGATACGTCATCAGTTATGACGTCATACGCCACTCACTGTCCGCTAAACGTGCAGACGACACGCATATCTCGCTCGCTACACGTAAGTTTCAAAGCTTCGAGGCAACAGATGTACATTTTACTTAAATAATATCTGATTAGCACTGAACAAACATGTTATGTTAAGAATAAATCATCCGGATTTTCAATGCAGGAAATGACAAAAGACTCGGACATCATTGAAATGAGAATGATTTGATCAGGTGAAATGAGTGATTCATGAGTCAATAGGGAGGTTTCGCAAGCGAACGGATACGCTTACACTTATGTTTAGCTATCCGTATCCGTTTTTTACTTACGTGTAGCGAGCGAGATATGCGTGTCGTCTGCACGTTTAGCGGACAGTGAGTGGCGTATGACGTCATAACTGATGACGTATCCGTCGCACTAAACGTATCCGTTTGCATGCGAAACCTCTCTAATGATGATGACAGACATTGAATTGTTCAGCCTAACAATCTTGAGCAATCTTGAAGTTTGCTAGCTATGAAGACCAAGGATAATTGCGTTGAGGCAGTTCACAGTCACAGGTCGACCTGAGGCCAGCCTTACATGCTGTGCTAGTTCACACGAGGCCAGCCTTACATGCTGTGCTAGTTCACACGAGGCCAGCCTTACATGCTGTGCTAGTTCACACGAGGCCAGCCTTACATGCTGTGCTAGTTCACACACACATATGGCACAAAGTTTGCACAAGTAATCTGATTCTGAAAGTGCACCAAACCATATCATCCTTGCATGAATCTGCACCAGATGTAAGGCGGCAATGCCTTAAAGTCCCTCTGAACTCTCTCCAAACCGAGTAAGGAGGTACATGTCTCTGTGCAAACAAGGAAGCAAGGAAACAAGAACTTACTGGTTCCACTGTACTCCTCCAGATGCTGTGATCATCTCGCCGAGCAGAGCAGATAGTAACGAAGACTTACCTGACCCAACCTGGCCCACTATCATGGTCAGTTTGCCTGGCGGATCACACGAAAGACTCATGACAATGAATGTTCTGTGGTTTATGTGGTGTGGATATGATGGACATTCACAATGTGGTAGGAATGATCACATGCAGTGACATGATGATAAGTGAAGCAGTACGAACAGGGAAAACTATGGAGGAATCAGGCATGTGGAACATTCTACAAATGAAGAGTTTGTTTCTAAACGCAATAAACGCCATTTTGATACCTTCTCGAATCCTGGTTTTCAAAGTCAGTTTTGACAGCTTTTATATAGCGAAACATAACTTAAGTATACAAAAAATAAATAAAACCAACTTTTAAACAGCAGTTATACCATGTTTGTTTATAAAGTTTCATAAGCATGCAACTGTGGTTTTTTTTTTTTTCCCAAATGGATATTGTATACTGCATTTTGGAAATAAACTACATGTATTCAAATTTAGAGAGTCCAAAGTGTGACACTTTTCCTGTCCGTGTTCCCTTGGTACTTTTTAATTTGCCATCAAAGTGTCATTAAGAATGACTTCAAATGATTTTTTATTTGTTGGGTAGGTAGTTAGCTATTCATAATCACTCTTGGAGGATTGTAACAGGGAAAAGAAAAAAAAGGGGACTCCAAATTTCTAGAATGACCCTAGTGGAAGTATTCAGACAATGTTTGTTGACAACACATATAGCCTCTTTTTCCCTCTTTTGACAACTTGCATATTATTGGTCCTGCTTTTTTCAAACTCAAAACTGTTTACATAGTCCAATTCAAATTTTAGGAAAAATATGTTAGGTACAACACTGGAGCTTACAAGTATCCATGAGACTTACCCATAGGAATATCCAGGTTGATATTGGCGAGTGTCGGCAAGCTAGAACCTTCCTCCCACGCAAAACTACCGTTTATCTGTAGAAAACAAATTGGTATGACTATCAAGAAGAGGGAGGAGGTAGTCTATGGAATAGACGTTTGCCTTTGCTGTGATATGCGAGCAGATTCCGAGATTAATTATACAAAACTAGAAAGCACTTAGACAAGCAAACCTCCGACAAGGTTAACCAATCCCCCCCCCCCCCCCCAATATTGTCAGTACACTCAAGAGGAATATACTCGCATAAATGGCGTAAAATCCTTAGAAAAATCCTGGATCCAGACCCAGATCTGGATCACTTCCAAAATCTTATCAATCTGTAGTTGTACCAAGGACCACCCCTAAAAAAAAAAAAAAAAGTGAATGCAAATCGGTCCATACTATTGGAGTTATCTTGTTAACAGACAAACCAACCAACAAACTAACCAATGAAAACATAACCTCCTTGGTGGAGGTAACAAGACTGAATCTTGACCTCGAGATTCTGACCATTCAGCGGGCGCCTTGTATTGGGTCTTTGGTAACCCGTTGTTGTATTACAAAAACATGTCAGCCACATTGACCAATCAACAGATAAGTCCACATTTCTGATCGAAACAACATCACGACTTTTTAAGTCGCTTCTGATTGGCTGGCACTCCTAGTCGCACAAATTTGCATTGCTCAGACATATCAGACGTTAGATACGGAGAGTGCTTCGTTGGGCAACGGGTGATACTCAGACTAGGAGGGGGGAGTCCACACAAAAATGAAACTTGAAGCCAGGTTTGTTTCTTACCCGACAAGCAACATCCCGTGGTAGATCCGTGAGACCATCTGACAAGGATGGATGGGGGGTGAAAGTACCGAAGTGAAGCTTGTCGTAACTTTGATCCAGTAGTCTTTGTTTGTCCTCTGGTTGGTTTTTGGAATGCTTATTGCATTGGTATCGCACTCCCACCTTATCAGATGAATGAAAAAGGAAACTCATCACGTTGCGAAAAACTTGCTCTTTATTAGCCACTTTTAGGCCAGAATTGAACTGGCATTTCTGGCAAAAAAATTGTTGTTACAGCGACTTCATTTGCAAACAAAATATGGCCAGATGAGCTTTGTCTGAAACAGGAGCGTGCCCACGGATACAGTTATGTCTAGTGCCCCCATAATTGGTATTGTTCCTATAATACCTAAACGACAGCTATAGACAAAACTTTGGATGACTGTTATGAACACCACTAACCTCATTGTATCCGTTCATTTCAGGCTCCCGTTGTCTCTCAATCTCAGGCGCTAAGAAGAATGCCTTCAAGCGCCGGGTGCTGACCACAGCGTTGATGGTAGTGATCAGGGTGTAGGGCAGGACCATGAGAGGGAAGAAGAGCTGGTTGAATGCAGCCAGAGAGCCGAAGGCCACGGCCGGGGTCAGGAGTTTACCCGTCAGTGCCGTGTAGAGGCTGTAAGACTAGATAGGTAGGGAGACACGAACACCATGGGTATTTGTTCCAGCACCCGATGTCATGAAACTCATCGTAACTTACGATACATTGCAGCAATGTGATGCGTTGTATCCCCTTGCTTCCTGTGATCCGTTCCACAAAACACGTCATAAGCGCAACTCGGTGACTGTTTTATGTATTTATTCAGCGTACAGTAAACGGTCGTCCGATATTCAACAAAGAGTCTTGAAAAGATTTTACAATGCACAACAAAATGGCGGACATGTGATGCAGTTTTAACAGAAAACAAGCTTGTAGTGGATTGCTAAACTACTCTGAAATGTCAACTGCAATATTCAAGGCTGATTCATATTTACTTTGATGCTTTTGCTATTGACAACTGCACATATATTGTCTTGGTATTACAGTCTCCTATATTTCATTTTTATGGTGTAAAATTGGCTAAGAAAAGGCCACTTCTTATTTTGTGATGACTGACGTTGCAACTTGCAACGTGTTTTAAGCCGTTGTCAAGGACCTTACGACGTGTCCAACACATTGCACGTTTCATGAAATGGATCATAAGATGTGTTGCAAGTTGCGATGTACTGTATTACACATCGTACAAAACTAAGGGTTGCGACGTGTTGAGGTGTTTTGTGAAATCGGGCCCAGTACCAACCCTAGAACCACCTTGTCCTTGTAATTACCCAAACTGGCCCAGTATCGTGTATTTATGGATTCATTAACCCTAACCTCACCTAAAGCTACCAAAATACTACTGAGTAGAAACCTGTAGTATGCATTTCTTTCCATACAAGTGTGCACAACACATGTAGTATTCTATAGTATTTGGTCCTTGACCCCCAAAGAGCCCAGGACGTTACGGTTAAGGAGTAAATACAATATAAAAGTGTTCAACATTTTACACACAAAGGTCAAACTAAATGAAGCTAAATGTCTTCCTGAAACAAGATTCTGAGTTTTTAGTGTATTTCACTCAACCATTACCGTTGGTTCATTGATTCAAATTCGAATGCAAATTAATTTGATGTCTCAAAACATTTAATGTTAATCTGAAATTCTGTTCAGCTTGTCAAATTTGTGGCACAAAACTTGTGACATAACAAACTTGCATTCACATTGGTGTTCATGCTGAGTATTGCTAGGCACATTAGCAGTGTTCCCCAAAGTTTCCATCATATTTGTTAACCAAAAATTGAAATATCATTAAAATGAAAGAAACTTACCACCAAAGTGACAAGCAATGGGCAGGAATTGGACAGCGTCACTGAAAAGAGAAATACAACAATAGCTCAAGTTCAAATTACCTAAGTGAAAAGGCTGTGTACCTAATTTTAGTTGAACAATGAAAAATGGACTAAATTGGGCAACAAATCAGCTATGTTGTCAATATCGGACCTGTGCAATATTTGCTGAATTTTTGACTCTCAAATGCAAGACCAGCCTAGAACAAGTGTTATATTGTCTCAAACCACAAGATTTTAGACTTTTCGTGGGGGGGGGGGGGGTTGTAGTGGGTTGTTGATTGGGTTTTTGCCGACTTACACATGAAGATTTTGGCAAATGTCTGCTTTAGCAAGGCACGGATCTCCAAGCCTCGTACTTTGCTGATGGTGGAATAGAACATGTCTTCCCACCCATACAGCTTGATCAGCTTAATTCCTTGCAGCAACTCGTTGGTTCGCTTCAGACGCTCATCGGCTTTTTCCTGAAGAAAAACATTTATTGTTTCAACACTTCAGTCAAACTTGGAAGTAAGGTATTGTATTTTGAATTTGGCGTGCCATGGTCCAATGGTTAAAACGTCCAACTTATGTGCAATGGTACGTGGGATCGAACCCTGATCAGAACATGGCGTTTGTGTCCCTGGGATAGACACATTACTACAAAATCATGGCCTGATGAACAGGGGTAGTAATAAGCCAGTTCAGTATCTCGATGAAGTAGTCCATGTCAAAGGTTCATTCGGGATAAAATCACTGACGTGATGATACGCGATGTTTCGCGGACGCCCATTCTGCATGTAATTAACACGCGAGCGTCGTGTGCCTGGTCCATGCGTGTTCATGCGCCTTTGACGAGCGTTTGATTATCCCGAATGACTTGTGACCCATATCATTGTGCGCATGTGCAGTTGAAATACCTGGCTTATTGTGAAGCTATCTCAGACTTTGTCAAACGTAAGCACCAATATGATTATACATTACCAAAGCATTTTTCTGGAAGTGTCCGGTCTTCTTAGCGATGAGGGAGGACAGAGGGATGATGGTTGCTACGATGAAGAAGCCAATCAGGGCTGCTAAACCCAGCTGGTAGTACAAGATGACCAAGTAGCCGATACACTGTGAAAATAGTTTGACAATTCCTGTTCCATCAAACATGCAAGCTTAACATCTGTTTGTAGTACTCAAACGTTCAAGGGGCGTCAAAGTGAAACCTAAAATATGCCAAGATTGTATCTTCCTCAATCCTGCAAAACCTCCTTGTGGATTTTGAGGGTTCTGGAGGGTTAGGGACATAACTGGCAACTTAATATGTAAACACTTTGCCCAACAAACTTTAAGACCAAAATTTAATAAACAAAACTTTACGAGTGCACTGGACCATTCAGGATAATGGCAATAAGCCTGCCCACTTTGGTTCATATACATTCTCTGCTTGCAACCAGTGATGCAGGCCCGTTGCTAAGGGGGTGGGGGGCCTGGTGAGCAACTAGCCCCCCATCAGCAAAAGCCATAAGCGTAAAAATTATCTACAAAATGTTGTTTTTCTTGTTGAGTGCCCCCCCTCTAGCTTGTACTGTGGCCCCGTCTAATGCATTTGTCCCCCCCATGTTTCTCTTGTCCCCAAAGTTTGTTCCCCCACAAGTTGTCTATTTAGAGATTAATTCTGTTTATTTCCTTCTCTGTTCAGTATCGAAACTATAGTTGAAAGTAGAGAGTGAAATGTTGGTTCTGTGCACACAGTTGGCCAATAGCATTACAACAAACTATATAGTCATTGTGTCATGATAGTGGTTGTTGTGTTACACCTGCTATTGCATTATTTGCGCTGTGGCTTTTGGAAATCAGATATTACTTTGAACTGCCCTCCCCCACAAAAAAAGAAGGTTTTTTTGCCTCCCTAAATTATTGAGTCTGGTGCCGCCACAACTTGCGACTGAGCTTGACCAAAGTACACCATGGTCACCTGGCCAAAATGTGCACCGTTGATGGAGAAGCAGGAAGGGTCAATCTTACCAGATAGGGAACGCTGAAGAGATAGAAGAGGATCTGAAAACACTCCAAGACGTTGATAGCGTCCACCGACATGTGATTGGTGATCTGTCCCTTGGTGAGTGATCCTCCTGTCATGGTGTAGCTGGCCAGACGTAGGGACTTGTCATACACTGCTGCCTGTCAAAAAGAAAGTGCAAGTGAAATCTCATCAGTGAAGACATTTTGACATGCCTTTCAGACTGGCATTCAAGAGTCACGCCGAACAAAATAGGCCTCTCTCAAATGACGTCACTTCCTACAGAGTGCCAAGTGAATTGGCATTTTGGGCGTCAAATTTTTGTGACGCGCATCGGCTGCGCCATATTTCAAAGGCATTTTAAGCAACACGGGCGCATTTTGCACACTGCGCACACGCACATGCACCTGATGGCGTTGAATGCACAGTTGTAAGTTTCCCACGAAGATGGCGTCCTATGGGAAAGATCTTTTAAGTACACAAGAATGTCGCCATTTGAAACATCGCTGGTGATTTCAATGAAAGATCGAGTCTATAGTCAATTGAAAATGACTACATAAAGTTTGCCTTCTGAAACAAACTGTTAGCCATAGTCTATTGAATTAAGAAGTCAGATCATTCAAGTTCCTCCATAAATTGAAAACAAAATGGGGAAAAAATAGTGCCTCGATCACAACGTCAAATGAGGCCCACCTCTCATCTTTTCAAATTTGCAAAAGCTGGTCTGTTGGTCAGTCTAACAGTCTAACTACTAACAAATTATCCTGGATGTGTTACTGTTTTCTTACGCCCCCTACCTCTCCCCATCCCTCGCCCCAAAATTTGAATTCTAGATCTGACTGAGACGCAACATACCTGTAAGGCAATCTGGACGTGCGCCGATGCTATTATGACTATCTGATAGTGACCCTGCAGTGCTATACCCCTTGCAGTTGCAGCAAGGAACAGAATGACAACCAAGACGAAGCCGTTTGTGATGAAGTCTTCTGCTGAAAGGTACTTGGCCTAAAAACAAAAACAAACATATTTTTTTGAACAGTAATCTTTTGAGATTTTTGTAATTCTGGTATAATATTGGCAAATTTGCTACCAGAAAAAAATGTCATATAAGAATATATTATCAGCAGATAGACATTAAATTCTCTTTGGTTAAATACTTCTCCCTTTAATACCCCCCCCTTCCTGGCCAAAACAATTTTGACTTTTTTGCTATTGACATTTCAAGGGACAGTCACAGTTAAGCTCGCCTTTCCCCCCCAAAAAAATCCTGAATTTTCCTACTTTTTTTTTTAAATTTTCCTCGATTTCTCATTTTGTTTCTAAATTTTCCAAAAATATCTTAATATTTATTTCCAATTCCAAAACAGTGACTATTTCTGGTAGACCAACATTTTTGACAATTTTTAGGTTTATTATTGACTTTCTATTTTTTAAGCCCATAAAAAAAGTTTCAGTCTACAACCCCACATGTGGCCAAGTTTTATTAATTAAAACTCAAAAGGTATTGGCCAAAATCTCAAAAACTGAATCTGTGGAATTAGGGTTGCCTAATGGCAGTTCCAGCATTATGAAAGGCAGTGTGATGTCCATAACAGAATCTATTAACCTCGATAAATAATGATTTAGAGAAATGATCCAAAACTCCTAGTCTGTAATCTCCTTGACCATTACTGTGTGATGGATGTATAAGATTTGAAAAATACATTTTCAGCTTTCACTTCAGGAGCTTTTAAAAGCTCCGTTACGGGCATCACATGCTGGAATCACCCTGAAGCAGTTACATGTAGCTTACATGATACTCATGTGGTTCACCAATCTGCATGACATAGTTGACGACACCAGCTACGGCAAACGGTGGCACAAAAGCAGCGGTGTCTCCTAGAAGTCTGCACAGGAAAGCAAGAAACATCTCCCAGCCATAGGCCCGCAGGTAGACACGAAACATGCTCAGTGAGGTGTTCTTAGCTCTGGCCCTCTCCTAATTAACAGTTTAAAAAAAAATTAAACACCGAAAAATGTAAGACAGTATCAAACTTCTGCTTCAGGCTCGTGTAAAATTCACTAGGTTGGGGGGGGGGGGGTCTGGACTTCATTTTCCAATGTGATATCTCTATGCAGTGTACAAGTGGATTTAAAGCAGGGATTTTTTTTCCATGAAATGTGTATATGTATAGGGATATCACTTTTTGTAACATTGTATGCCAACTTAACTGACATGAGCTAGAAACCAAACAAAAAATATACCCCCAATTTTATTTTTTGTAGAAAACATGTTGGTGTATAAGTTTCATAAAAATTCATATCAAGGTCACGTGATCCACAAGGTCAAATTGAAGTTCAAAGTAAAGGTCAAAAGGGCATCATACTTCAAATTACTCCAACACGAAAGTAATGGTCAATTTGGATTCCTTATGGTGTTATCTTTCCAAAGAAACCAGGATCAACAAATTTGGCTTACAGGTTATGGAGCTATGGTCATTTGAAAATTGGCAGCCACGCCCATTTTGACCAAATTGCCGAACAATGGCGGGCGGTAGCGCGAAAACTGTTTGTCCGATGGCGCTAAACTTAAAATTTCAGCCTAAAATACCCCAAACTAAATATGAGCAAATTTGAAAGGGCCACTGGGTGATTTGACACGGAATGACCCTGCCCCCTCCCCTCCACCCGATCCACCAATGGCTCCATTACTCTGGTTTAGATCTTTTAATCTAATTTACCTGTTCTTTCTTCAAAGCTCGGTTGAAGCGGTCACTCTGATACCTCGTGGTGTGGACGTCTGACAAACACCCAAGATCTTCATACTCCAAGCTGTGATCGTAACCCTCCACATACAGCCAGCCCAGCCAGGAGTACATGATGACAGAGAGGAAGTTACTGTACTCTTGCATGAAGCGCATGTCTGGTCGCAACAGGTCAGCGGGAAAAGGCTCCTCAGTGGTGCAACACTTAAAAACCTGCAGTGTATATCATAGAAAAAATGTTAGTTACATTCATCAAGTTGGAAATTTACATGGGATGAAATAGCGACTGAGCATTTCTGAAATTGGAAGGGCACAGCTAGTGTATACATACATTTCTGAGGTGGGGTATCCCATGGTGGGTGGGCAAAGGAACATTTTGCAGGTTTTTTTTCCGAGTTTGAAATCTTGAAAATAAAAAAAATGCAGCACCTGCTTCTGCTGAGAATATCAGTTTTTGCTAATTGACAAAATTTGAACTCAGCCTGTGTATATTCTAAGTTTTAAGTGCTAGTATTTTCTAGACTCACTCCTACTTGGAAATTTTGTTGAATGAACTACAAACCTTAGTTCTGATGACGTTAAGCTCCAACAATACAAGCAAGGCATAGACAACAATGGCGGCTATGTTCAAGTCGGAACGCATCAGCGCGAAATCCACCAGAGGATCATGGTCAAGATTCAGAAACCTGACGATCTCTGCACCAAGAGCTGACAGCCAGTACACCAGTAGGAGCCAGGACATGTGCGGTCTGCTCCACAACTCCATCTGGTTGTAGTAGATCACAGACAAAATGGCTGCCGTTAAGCACAGGATTGCTGGAATGTACAGGTGGGGCCTAGTGGGTGTGCCATGGTACACGCCCAGATCAGTCAAGAGACCCTCCCCGAGTTCACAGGCAGTTAGCAAGACAAAGATGATGTACAGCACCCAACGCAGGTAGTGCCCTGGATAAGGGATCAAGTAGGTGTATTTTCTCCTGCGGATGCTGGTGCAGCATCTTAGAACAAAGAGCACCAGGATGCCCAGCAAGATGAAGATGAGGTGTGGTAAGGTGTAGACGAGGTCCACAAAGCAGGCATTGTACAGGGTGTGGTTCAGGTCATGGGTGAAGTGGTCCAGATTCTCTGTGTTGTTGACGCCGCAGTACCAGTTGAACTCTGCAATACCTGAGGCTGCCATTGGAACCTGGAACAAGAGAGAAATGAAATACCACAAAGTCTGAAAAATGGGTCTTCAAAGAGTGATGACATTTCCAACTATATTTTTACAGTGATCCTTTGGTGTTGTCCCAGAGCTGTCTCAATGTTTTGTCTGATTGAAATGTCTTTATCTTAAGTGAAAAATTCTGGCCCTCAAATCTTTTTTTTTACAAAACAAGTCAACAAGCTATCAGAATGATAACCACTTACAAAACCCAGGAAATAACAAATATCTTGGATTTGACACATTTGTTGAGTCAAAACCTGGAGAGAAAAAAAAAATTCTCAGAATTCAAGTCAAGATTAAGACAGCGGACGTGCACCTTGCATTTTCATTGTGTCTGGGGAGGGGTCTCTTTTTTGGATCTAGTCATTTCGGAGAACTTTCCAAATATAAAATAATCATCTTAGCTGAACTCACTCACAAAATTTGCTGAAATTATTAAAGTGCTTTCGATCGTTTACTTGTTGAAACTTGAAGTCAAAGGTCTGATCGAAAGGAAACTAACCCAACCAACAGTGAAGTAATTTGATACTGACAATCACTGCGGATGTGATTTGATTTCCCTTATCCAAGTGTGAAGTACCTTGGAGCCAGTTCCTGTTCAGAGTCGTTACAGGTAATAATAATAATGTGTATTATACAGCACATGTGTCAACCATTATGCTCAGGGTGCTACATCAAGTGTGCATGAGTGTGGAACAGCCTATAAAAGCCAATAGTTATCATCCACAAATAATTGCAGGGAATTTGGCGGATCAGACAAAAATGTTGGCCTCCGACCTGAATTTCTTCCTATGCACATGCATAACATGTATCAGCTTGCCCTTAGATCCCTCTCAACCAACAATAAAATTACCATCAATTGAATGTACATTGTACTATCATGGGTATTGCGGGGGGAGGGGGGGGGGCAAGGGGGGGGGCAAGGAGGGGGCCCGGGGGGAAAAAATGGTGTGAGTAAAGTTTACTTTTCATTTAATACACATTTAACAAAATGGGTGTCTGCAGGGGTGTCAGTATGGGGTGGGGTAGGCAAATGTCCCCCACTCATTGAGAATATGCTACAGAAAGTACAAGGATTTTTGGGGGAAAATTTGCTTTGCCCCCTCCCTAGAAAAAAAATCCCATCTGTACTATTATGGACCAATCTCTCTTTATTTGGTAGTTCAAAGGTAATATACATTATTTTGCAAACATCAAAAAAACAAAACTACCATTACTTCAAAACAAAAACAAAACTACTAACGTAATTATTATGAAATATCTTACTTGGCTTTGAGTGAATAGCCTCAAGCATCCTGTGAAATCATGACACCTGGTGCGCTGTCACTTTCAAGAAAAGTGGAATTTTTGTATAATTTCCAATGATGGTCAGACATTTGTTATTCATGGGGGAGGGGGTGTGATGTATTTCTAAAACTGAACACCGCCCTCTGTTGGTTACATTAAAGTTGACCTTTCGGGGTTCACCAGCTTGTTCTGAAATGATCGTGTCTTGTGTGAAGTTACTCTAGTTTAACTAGACATTTGTGGCTGCTCGTCAGCGAATAACTTTACATGGTGTCAGAAAACGGATCATAAAAGTTGCAATGTCAGGCCTGAAACCACCGGGACAGTTGCAGCTGGAAGGGAACTTGGCGAAAAACTGGAAGGAATGGGTGCGTTCATTTGAACTGTACGCTATGGCAACGGAACTGCAGAAGAAACCGGAGCCAGTGCAGTGTGCAACGTTTCTGCACGTGGCGGGCCCAGCGGCACAGCGTGTATATGCGACACTGACGTTCGCGGACGATGAGAAGGACAAACTGCAAGTACTTAAAGCCAAGTTCAAACAATACTGTGAACCCAAGAGAAACCTGTCAGTACTGCGATACATGTTCAACTCGAGAAACCAGAAAGTGGATGAGCCGTTCGACACATACTTGACAAACGTGAAATGCCTGGTGAGGGAATGTGAATTTGGTGACATTGAGAATTCCCTCCTTCGAGACAGAGTTGTGTGTGGTGTAAAGGACACAAAAACACGAGAAAAACTGCTTCAGGAAGATAATTTGACTCTGGAAAAGTGCATCAATATCTGCCAGGTCAGTGAAATGAGCGCCACACATGTGAAAGCCCTACAGGCTGAACTGGATTTGACCCAGCAAAGACAGGAGGTTAACCGGGTGACGTCCACTAAAGCCAGACTTCCGACCAGAGCTGCAAGTCGCAAGGAAATGTCAAATAACAACGCAGAAAATGGGACAAAGTCACGGTGTGACTTCTGTACTTACGTACACTTCACAAACCGCTGTCCTGCAAAGTACGAGCAGTGCAACTCGTGCCATAAAGTTGGACATTTCAGCAAATCGAGAATATGCAAAGCCCAACACAAGTCGCGACCAAAGATGGTCAGGGAAGTCAACGAAAGCAGTGATGATGATGAGGACAACACCCAGTATGATGTTGCCGGTGTCAACCTACAGGAACCAAGAAAACAACTCGAGGACCTGATGATAGACTACATCGCTGAACAAGAATCAGGCGACTGGACTGAAACCTGTCAAATTGGGAGAAACAAGGTGGACTTCAAGCTTGATTCAGGATCTCAAGCGGACATTCTACCAGAAGACTGTTTCAAAAACACTGGACTGGCATTGCTTCCCAGTAATGCATCTCTCAAATCCTATTCAGGGCACAAGATTAAGGCATTAGGAAAGACCATAGCCAATTTGAAGGTTGGTACAGGTACCGGTTGCACCACACAACAAGTTGTTTTTCAAGTGGTAAGCGGAAATGTAAAACCTATCTTAGGTCTGAAAACATGTCAAAGGCTAGGATTGATTAAGAGAGTAAGAGTAGATGAAGTGGTTAGTGGTAGTGCGCAAAATGTGCCAGTGCATAGCAACATCACGTTCACAGAACACAATGATTTGTATGAAGGGCTAGGGAAACTGCAAAACCACGAATATGAGATTGAATTGAATGTTGATGCTGCAGTTGCATATGACCTGCACCAGTTCAAAACCCTCCACGCACTATTCCTTACACATTGCGCGACAAAGTGAGGGCTGAATTAGAGCGTATGGAAAAACTAGGGGTCATTGCGCGTGTGGAAGAGCCCACAGACTGGGTCAGTTCCATGTCAATAGTTGGTAAACCGGATGGCAGTGTGCGCATTTGTCTTGACCCGCGAGAGCTCAATAATGCCATAAAGAGAGCCCATTACCCTATGCCCACACTCCGAGATGTTGCAGCGCGCATGCCACAGGCTAAGGTGTTTTCAAAGTTTGACGCTACAAGTGGTTATTGGCAACTTCCTCTCTCACAAAGAAGCTCGTACTTGACAACATTTAACACACCCTTTGGAAGATTTCGATATATGGTTCTACCATTCGGCATTTCGTCGGCAAGTGAAATTTGGCAGCGTGCCATGGTCACTGAATTTGGGGCACTTGAAGGGGTTGAAATTGTTGTCGATGATATCCTAGTTTGGGGGGAAAACACAACTGAGCATGATGAGCGAGTAGCTAAGTTCCTGGAAAAAGTCAGAGAATCAGGACTTAAACTCAATAGGAAAAAGTCTGTCATTGGCACAGACAAACTTGAATATGTGGGTCATGTGATTTCTGCAGAAGGACTCTCACCAAGTCCAGCGCGTATCCAGTCTGTATTGGAAATGCCAATCCCCACTAACAAACATGAGCTTGAAACCTTTCTCGGCATGATCACATACGTTAGTAAGTTCATTCCCGATCTTTCTGAAATCACTGCGCCGTTGCGACAGCTTACCGAAAAGCAAATAGCTTGGCACTGGGATGAAAAACACACAAAAGCCGTGGAAACACTCAAGCATATTATAACATCAGCACCAGTACTGATGTTATATGATGTGAATAAGCCGGTCAGCTTGGCCACTGATGCATCCAAGCATGGGTTTGGATCTGTATTGATGCAAGATAATAACAGACCAGTGGCATATGCATCGCGTAGTACTAGTCCTGCTGAAAAAAATTACGCGACTATTGAAAAGGAGATGTGCGCCATTCTCTTTGCGTGCCACAAATTCCATGACTATATCTTTGGAAAACAGACAACAGTGATCACAGATCATAAGCCATTGGTAGGAGTGTTCCAAAAGCCATTGCATAAGTTGAGCCCACGATTGCAGCGTATGCGCATGCACCTACTGAGATATGACCTCAGTGTACAATGGCAACCAGGTAACACAATGTTTGTGCCAGATGCGTTAAGCCGCATAATAAATAGCAGAGGCGACAACATCTCAGAGTTTGATGACTCGCGGGAAATCAACATGATTTTAAGACAACTCCCAATTACTGAGTTACGATTGCAGCAATTCCGTGAAGAAACAGCCGCGGACCCCACACTTGCGAAGGTCAAAGGTCACATTATGAATGGCTGGCCTGTTGATAAACACCACTTGACAAGTGATGTTGGCCCATACTATGCAGCCCACAATGAAATAGTGTTCTGTGATGGCATTCTTTTTCTTGGCAACCGGGTTGTAGTTCCGCGAAGCATGCAGAAGGACATGCTTAAGAAAATCCATGAGTCTCACCTAGGGATAGTGAAACTCAAACAGAGAGCACGAGCCATCTTATACTGGCCGGGCATGAATTCGCAAATTGAAGACACGGTAGCCAAGTGTGCTATCTGTCAGTCAAGTAGGAAAACTCAACCTGCTGAACCAATGATACAACATGACATACCTGACAGACCATGGTCTAAACTAGGTGCAGATGTGTTCCACTTAGGAGGAGTGAACTATCTGCTTGTAGTTGACTACTACTCCAAATTTCCAGAAGTACAGGCCTTGCAAGATCTCACAGCCCATTCGGTCATACATGAATTGAAAATTATATTTGCCCGCTCCGGTACACCAGATCTGTTGATTACTGATAATGCAAGCCAATTTGTATGCGAAGACTTCAGAACTTTCCAAAACATGTGGGAGTTCAGGCATGTCACGTCTAGCCCCAGGTACCCACAAAGCAACGGGCAAGCCGAGCGCTGTATTCAAACAGTGAAAACACTCATGAAAAAGGCTAAGGTGTCTGGCAGGGACCCTTATATGGCACTGCTGGAATATCGCAACACACCCCTCGATGGCATAGAGGGTTATGCACCAGCACAATTACTCAATAGTCGCTTGCTCAAAAGCCGACTTCCCACTTCATTGACTCTTCTTCAACCACAAGTAGTCCCACCCATGAAAGCCAAACTCAAAGAGAGACAGACTGTGCAAAAACACTACTATGACGCAAAATGTAGTAAGCCAAAGCGCACACTACACACTGGGGAACAAGTTAGATTCCAAAATCCGCACAGCCAATGGGTGTTAGGGAAGGTGACAGAAAAACATGATAACCCTAGAAGCTATATGGTTGCGACACCAACTGGACAGGTGTATAGAAGAAATAGGCGTCACATTGTTCACTCCAAAGAACATGCTGACATTGAAGGGAATTCATTGTCTCAGCCCAACCTAGTCTCTCCTAGCACACAGAATGAAAATATCCACCAGACTGCAGAACCTGAAGAACCAAGTGAGACAAAACAACATAGTGTAAAATATGATAGCGTGACTGTAGGTCAGACTACTACTACTAGAAGTGGCAGGGTAGTAAGACCAACTCAAAAACTTGACCTGTAAGCTGAAGTTGTACACCAAATTGCATGGACAGTAAATAACAGATTTGTGGCTTTTTCAAGATGGTCTAAATTCATGTACAAACGCTTGTGCCTTTTTCAAATTTGCTTTATTTGCTTTATTCAAACACCTTCCATAGTTCTCTAATCCTCCCTTTTGTAAATCACATTTTGCAGTATTCCCTTATAAAGTTCAGTAACACTTTGCTCAAGCTTATTGTTTGTTTCCTACATGTACATGTAAGTTCCCAAGGTTCAACTTGTTTAATGTTTACTTAATTTGTATGGGGGAGATGTGATGTATTTCTAAAACTGAACACCGCCCTCTGTTGGTTACATTAAAGTTGACCTTTCGGGGTTCACCAGCTTGTTCTGAAATGATCGTGTCTTGTGTGAAGTTACTCTAGTTTAACTAGACATTTGTGGCTGCTCGTCAGCGAATAACTTTACAGGGGGGTTGATGGACTGCATTCGGTGATATCTATTTCCAGAGAGTACAAACAACTAGAGAACCTATTTTTTATGTTTACCAGTATATAGGGCGTACAGTGGGGGGGGGGGGGGGGGGGGGGGGGGGGGGATTGAATTATTAACGGCCTGTTTGCATTCACTCCTCTTAAATTCTATGTTCAACAAAACATCTATAGGCCTATAGGCCTACTAGACGAGTCAATGCACATCTTGTAAAGCTTCACTGAAGGTTTTTACAACAGTTACATAGTTTACCATTGCAGAAACTCTGCAGCTTCCCTCACAAATCTGTGAAAGCAACATGGGGCATACAAATCCTTTTCTTGAAAAAATCCTTTGTTACAAAAAGAGCCATTAGAGGGATAATCACGTTCATGTATGTTTGGGCACTACCACTGCCAAGTTTTTGTGGCAAGTAAATGAGTTTTTTAAACTTCGGCTCAACTTTGTACTGTTACCAAAGTACTGCAGAAACACTTTGGACCTCAGTGTGATATTGGGCCCTGGCAAAAATCGAGAACGGTTTCCGATTTTGTGGAGCTATTGAAAAATATTAGGTTATTCAGCAGTCAAGGGGAGATCCTAGTGCTACACTCTCCAAGACACTTCAAATTCTGTTTGCAAAGTAAATAGCCGTAACACAGCAAGAGTACGTGGGTTAATACAAAAATAGCATCTTACAAAATATTAAAAAGAAAGGAAAATATATACTTAAAAATTAACATGACTATTTGATAATTACTTTTTGAAAAGAAAAAGTGAAGTAATCTGCTTTTGACAATCATTAAACACAGCTCTACTGTTTGAAAAACACCACTGGAGTCTCAGGACCAAGAAACATTTCAAATGTCGTTTGGATGTGTAAGTAGATCCTCCAAAATATACTTTTCAAAAAATAAAAAAAAATATAATAAAAATATGGGATTCGATATATATTACATGGCAGGTATTAAAGATTTATGCAAATGAGGCACCCCTCCCAGGAGAATTTCTGGTGTCACCCCTTCTAAATATCTTCTCTAGGGCTAAAAGAATATATCTGCTAAGTTTGGTGCTTTGGTCCAGTCGGTCACGATTCTGACCATATGCCATCTTCCATGTCATCTGAATTAAAGCACAATCCTGATTCATAAACAAGGTGATTTAGTGTTAAATCTATGCCTAGAAAGAATGTTGCAACCTGACCCACCTTTTTTCTTCATCATCTCAATGAAGGTCAGTCATTGCAAACATTTCCAATTTTGTTAGGAAATAAAATTGTCTTGACTCTCCTTAGACTTTGTACACAACCGCTGAAGTAGAGTCAGGTTGCAACATTCTTTCCTCAGTTTCTGCAATAGTCGTGAAACTTATTGTAGGCAATTATATCATTTTACCCCAGAGGTACGGTACGACATTAGCCCAGGTGGACTCCCTTACCACCTTTAGCTGGCCTTATGACATTGACAGGAGCAAGATTACACGAGTAACTTTCGTAAATTCCCGTCCACGTGCTCTCGGTTTGACCTCGCAGATCGCGCGGGCTGCCGATCGTCGTGAAAGTCAGCTTCAGTTTAGACCACTTGTAGTTAACTAGACCATGGAGGAATGACTAGACCAAAGAACAGTGTTTCATCTAGACTGTCTACTGTTATAATGGCCTGTGCATAGTATTTCGTGAAACGCCTCACAAGTCACTACCACTTTCATTCTATTGCTAGCCGATCATTGGCGAAGTTTTCCATATTCCCATAACCAGGATGATTCACAACCAGGATAGATAACACAGCCGGCCCGAGAGGCCCACGCCTCCTACATATACAGCTCAAGTGTGGCGGGTCCTTGGCAAATTGCTATAACTGAACTCGACAATAATATGACAAAAAATAAGTGCTAGGCGTCTTATAAATATACTTCTTGGCTCTGTACTTACACCCTTGAGGAAATCCATAAACTTGCCCGATGCTTCAACCATCGAGGTTGATTTAACCACGTCCATGCTTCGAGCTAGCTATGCATGATTATGAATTGAGCGCTACTTCGAAACTTTTACTTTGAACTAAATGTATGGAAAGCCCATGCTTCATCTATTCAATCGATGCATGCTCTCCTGTATCTTTCCGTAGCATATAACGCGGCATGCCCGTTTGTGTTCGCTTGCTGAAGCACGATCGTCATTAATATATACCCAGCTGGCGCGCCATACCTACTTTTGCCGTGTGCAACGCACGTGCACGCGGTACGATTACTCTGATTGAAGTGTGCCGTCAAATGCACACGGCATGCAGTGCCGTGTGCATTTTTCCTGTGAAAAATCCACTGATTCTACCGAGCCTGTGGACATTATGCGGCGAGGTCAAAAAAACGCGAGCCGTGAGAGTGCGTCAAAGAAACCGCAAGTCACAATCAGGCCTTTTGATGCCGATCAACAAAAAGCTTTCAGAAAATCCCGGGACATACCGTTATTTCGTTTTACCGTCCTCAAAACAAAAACAGTAAACGCACCGTTGACCGTTTTTTCGTTTTACAGTTTTGTAAAACGGTCTAACGGTGTTATGATAAATAAGTTAAAATTCCGTTTTATCAGCTTAGTAAAATGCATTACAGCATAACGATCAATGATTTTTGTTTTACAGTTTTACACAAATAACTTTGAAAAACAGCAAAACGGTCGAGTATCGAATACAGACTGTTTGTTTATTTCAGTGTAATCATAATTAGCAGTCCGTGGTGCATTTTTTTGGCGATGGGCAAGGGGGTGGAGGGCAGTGGCGTAGCCACCGGGGGGGGGGGGGCGTGGGGGGGGGCGACCGCCCCCCTCCATGAAACCTTGTCTCCCCCAGTCGCCCCCCCCCCCCCACCCCACTGAGATTTTGAGTTTCTAAAAAAATTATCATTGATCTACATGACGCCATGGGCGTCAATCCTGGGGGGGGGGGGGGGGACAGGGGGACTGGTCTCTCCCCCCCCCCCCAACACTTTTTGAAGGGTGGGGGACACAATATCAAATGTTCCCCCCCCCCCCCATTTTTGAACTCGTGTCTCATTTACAGGGCCCTATTATGTCCTACAATGTATCTTTTGCTTAGAAAATATTGGTTAAAGTGGTCAGAAATTGCCTCAGATAGCACCACAGAGCATTTAGAATCCACAATTTTTCGGTAAGCGGGCCCCGAACCCCACGCCTAATAGCTCAGAATTCTGGTAGTTGATTCAATGACTCCAACCTCGAAAACAATGTTCAAAAAATTTTCTGATGCCTTTAGCTGAGAAAACCTCGAAAATTATGTTTAAATTATTATCTTTTGTGCTAAGATAATTATTGGTTAAAGTGGTAAGAAATTGCTTCAGATGACACCACAGAACATCTAGAATCCAATTTTTTTTCGGGGCCCTTAAGCGGGCCCCGAACCCCCACGCCGTAAGGGCTTCACGCTTCGCATCAGTTCTGATCAAGGTATGTCCCCCCCCCCTTTTGAGAAGCCATTGACGCCCCTACATGACGCCCCCCATGAAATGTTCCAGCCCCCCCAGCGCCCCCCCCCCCCCCCCCACTGAAAAATTCCTGGCTACGCCACTGGTGGAGGGGGACCATGACCATGCACGAATAAGCGTTAAAATGCGTGATTCTTGGAGTGACCCTGCCCGCCCCCCCCCCCCCCCCCCGGCCCAGAGTCGGATATTCAGAATAAAGAAAAGACCGCGCTACATTGTAAAGATTAGGAATGCCGTGCTTTATTTGTGCTGTGGTACGTTAGGTCCGTCCCAACAGCTAGCATATAGCGGTGCGAACCGTCATGGTTTAGAAGTATATTCTTAACAGTCCTTCCACGTTAATTTTGACCGCAGTAATTCGACTGGGAATTCAAAAAAAAAGCTGTGTGTAGCTCTGCTCACTGACCTCAATACTGACAGTATACTATATATCAGCGGTGTAGTATAGCGCGGGATGCCCACATTTTGGGTGAATTTCAAGTTGCGTATAAACTATAATGCAATGCAATTGCACCAAATGTAGGCCTACGTCGTTATCAATGCTATTTTATTATGGGCTTCGTAGGGAAAGAAGTTCAGCATTTTAGGTACAAAGTACACATGTACGTCTATTAACATGTAAAGTAATTGTTTTTCAGTCCGAATCGATACACCTTTAATAAAAAAAAAAAAAACCTCTGCTTAATTCCAGGAGAAACGTTCACATACCAAGAAAACTTCTGTCTTGTGTTTTATTGACATACGTAAAACAGGGTCTATCAAAAAAGGAAACCCAGATGTAAATGTAAATTATAAACAAAATGTAAAAAATAAGTGACAGATCACGTGAAACACCAATGTGTCCTCTTTCCAATGATACCTTGAATGTATGTGTCTGTTGGTATGGATGACCGAGCATTTATTGTTATTCTGTCAACGGTCAAAACCTGCATTGAGCCAAGTTTTACCTGGCCAAGTTTGCTGGCTGGTTTGTTACGCAACGGTTGAAATGGACTGTGGAAAGATTGAAAAGGGCGTGCAGAACTTTGTGTGGAAAGAGGTGGGGGCATGTTGAAGGCATTGGGCCATGAGGGGTTAATTTCTTCAGTGAGAGTGGTAAAATCACTGTGTCAAAATTGAATAAATTGTTAAGAAAAGGATGTCTTCTTTTTTTAAATTAAGCAGTTCCACATGCCCAGAATACCAGTAACCTTCTGCACAAACTCGGTTCAGTACAGGCTTTGTATTGACCTTGACAAAATAACAATGCATGCAGTCATCCGTGGCCAAGTAGCGCACCCAGGATTTGGCTGGGGAGGGGGGGAGGGGGGGGGGAGGGGGGCTCAAATTGTTTTCAATAAAATGTTGCCCAAAATTTTTGAATGCAGAAAAAAAAATGTGTTTTTTTCCCGAGGGGCGGACTATTTTGATGTTGATGGCACTACTTACATGTACACCCCTATTATACTACTCGAAAATAGGCCACGTACATATCACCAAGGTAAAATCGTGGGGCTAAAAAAAAAAAAATCTACCAAAAAAAAAAAAAAAAAAAAAAAAAATTGACCTCGCGCCACTGCCGTGGCCACAAACACACACAAGGTATAATTGGAGAGAGTACACATTGGTGATTCACATGATCTTTAACTTATTTGAAAATATTAATAAAAATGTTTATAATTCACATTTAGATCTGGGTTTCCTTTTTTTACTTTTAAATACCCTGTATTACAAAAGTGAATTGTTATCAAATGACGTTTGAAATGGTTCCACAGATGTCCTCGTTTAATAAATCCTCACTCCACTTATTACATAATATCTTTGCCGATTTTCTTATTTTCAACCCAAATGAACATTTGGGAAAGTTCTCACACCTTTGTAATCATAATGAACCAAACCTGAAACACACTGAACAAAATAAAAGTCTGTCTTGAAGCATCATCTTTAATAATGAAACTGAAGTATTTGCATTGATATGGCACAAAAACCAATTGGGTATTTGACTGGGTGGCAAAACTACACTACTGAGGAAACCACAATAAATATTACATTGTATACTAAGTTTTAAAATGAAACAAGTAATTAGACATTGCTTTGTAATTAGAATTGTACATTTTTTAAGATCATTGGAAGCCAGTAGCTGCAACTGGCAATTATATATTTAGGTTTTGGATTCCTTTCAGGGTTTTCTTCTAATACATCCACGTCAGGCAGATTTGGACACAAAAGATATCTTAAGTCACTATTTAAAAACCTCCGGACAATTATCTCAAGTATTGTTCAAATTTTAACTGTGAATATTGAGTCAACCACACAGAAAAAAGAAAGAAATTCCATTGGACCTATTCATTAAGGAGACAAGAGATTTTCTTTGATATGTGCTTCCTACTTTATCCTTAATAGATTCTTTTAAATCCTAAAATGCAAATAATTCAAGAGAAAGATAAGTTTAAAGGTACAAAGTAGCATTAGCTTCAGAACCTATTTTGACAATAATGAATGTCCTTTAGCTATTAAGCACAGTTGAACACGGAAGAAAAAAATCAAATAATTTAATATGAAAAAAAGAATACACTGTATGGTAATAAATTCGTACGCTTTTCATTCATGGGAATGACTTATGTAAGGCCTAACTTCGTGTTAAATTGTGGTGTATTCACAGTAAATATACATGCATTGCATTAAAACGGAGACCTTTTAACCCTTGACGCCGGTATCGTTCGGCCATGGAGACAGCTGCGCATTGGGTGGAATGTGTACGTGCAGGCATTCGGCCGTTGCGTATGACTTAATGCAGCTATGCAGCAGGAATGCGGCAATAACAGCCCCACCCCCCCTGCTTATTGGCTTTGATCGAGCTGCGTCTAGAGCCATCAGCCGGCGTCACGTGGTTAATAGTCTATGGCCCCTGTCCAGTATTTATTCTTAATTAAACGGTGCTGTAGTCCTTACAAGCTCTCAAATTTCACAAGTCATCATAAGTGCATCACAAGTCATCATAAGTCATCACAAGTCATCAAAAGTGTATCACAAGTCATCATAAGTCATCAGAAGTCCTCAAGTTGCGACACAAGCTACTTACAAGAACTGTGTCAAAAGTATGTGTTGTTGTTTTTCATCCTGACCCTAATTACTTCTGACTGGACAAAATTTACTTTTGACTAGACTTGTCAATCAATCCATGAATGCCTCGGTATATTTCAGTTAAAAACAAACATATTTTCTATTTAGAAATTAAAGTAAGGGTTATTTTTCTTTTCGTAGTGAGGGCCATCCAGAAACCCATATGGGTTTATTACGATGACCCCAGGTAGGTGCCAATAGCAACATGGAGGTAGAAATCAATATATTTATCGAAATTAGTGAAGAGGAATTTGTTTTCCTACTTGTGATGGACTGTGATGGAGTTGACAAGAACATTGTTTTAGACAGTGTTATCTAGAATTCCCTGGTCAGTGGATGGGCAGCTACGTACCCTCGGTTGTCACACACCTCACTGGCAATCCTCTCCAGGGAAGAATCACCGTTATGATCCGGTGCTGAAATATAAGAAAACATCACCAAATTAAAAAAACAAACAAAGCCACAAACAATGAAAAAGACAAGGCCTGCCTCCCCAAACTGGACTCGAAAGTCTTAAAGGTAGTATACAACATTTGCTTTTGCTGTAATTTTCAGAAAACTTGGGGGTTAGTGTTTTTTAGCAAATATTTTTACACTGACCTGTTTAAAATTTTGTGTTCATAGATGGTGAAAAAAAACCAAACAAATGCTGTTCTAGTAGTCTGGTTCCCTGTCCCTACTTCAGACAAAACGGAATAATTTGTAGACGTTGGGGAATTGTCAGGTCAGGCAATCAGACTAACTGGATTGCACCTGCTCATGGATGTGAAACCAATTGCAAACAAAATGTGGACTAACTAAATTTGGAAAATTGAGGGCAGTATTTGAAAAAAGTCTTTTTCAAAAGCGATTGTCGGCCAACCATCATTGGAAATTGATACATAAATTCCACTTTTCTTGAAAATGACAGCACACAAGGTGCCACGATTACACAGGATGCTTTAGACTGTCATTTGCTAACAGTCTACTAGAAATTTCATAATAATTTAGTAGTTTGTTTTTTGATGTTTGCGAATGTTGTATATTTACCTTTTAAGTTTAGGACAGAACTTGTATTTGGTAGGATGCTTGATTGCTCATCATGGGCAGGTGGGGGAGGGGAAGGGGGACATGGGAAGGGTTGCTAGGTGGGCTGGAAGGGGGGGGGGGGGCAGGCAGCGATTTTTTTTCTCCCAAACGACATCCACATATGGGTGTACGCTATGGCTTTTTGGACTTAACTTTTATAAAAACATGAGAAGAAAATATAAAATTAGAAGAAAAAAAAGTGAATTTGAATGTTATGAAATTCGGACTTTATTTCCCTTTTAAACAAAATCCTCCGAAGCCTCAGGTTAGAAAAGGAAAAAATTCGGATGATAAACGATTCGAACCCGCAACCTCGCAGTGCAAAATCCTACCCTCTATCGACTGGAAACAATTAATTATATACCTGCGGGCAGGTAGGCAGCAAAATGGTGGTTTTAGAAAAGTTAAGTCGGGTTGGGGAACTTTCTGTTGGGGGGGGGGGCTTTCTTTAAGGGTTGGGACTTTCTTTAAGGGTGGGGGACTTTCTGTGAGGGTGTAGGGACTTTCTGTAACAGTTGGAAATTTTTGATAAGGGTGGAGGAAGTGAATATGAATGCATGTTGTGCCGTTTGTAATTATGTCAAGTATGCAGTGGAGCCGCTCATCTTCAGTGAGGTACATGGCATAACTGCACCAATTTTTCAGTGTGGAGGAATAGTCTAAATTTTACTAATCAACATGAGGCGAAGGGGGTGTGTGTCTGGGGGGGGGGGGGGGGCACTGCTGGAATTCTAACAAAGAATATGGCAACTCACCTTGACCAATGTCATAGAAGTTCTTCTGTATCCTCTCCTCGGCCTGTTGACAGAACGTCTTGGCTATCAACATCTCATGGTCACAGTTCCGCAGACCGATGGTCTTTGATCGTGAGGCACGGGACAGGACTGCCGTCATAGCATACACGTCAATCAGGATGTCTGATATGCGCTTCAGGACTAGCTGCTCATTCACAATTCCCTGTAGGACAGAACGCAAAAGAACTATGACATAACCCGTTACTGACTGTACTGCCCAAAACTGCCCACCCAGTCACTCCCTACAGCACCCCAAACTATCCTGCCTGTTATTCCCTGTTCTGCCCCAAACCACCCTGCCTGTTACTCCCTGTACTGCCCCAAACCACCCTGCCTGTTACTCCCTGTACCGCCCCAAACCACCCTGCCTGTTACTCCCTGTACCGCCCCAAACCGCCCTACCTGTTACTCCCTGTACTGCCCCAAACCACCCTGCCTGTTACTCCCTGTACTGCCCCAAACCACCCTGCCTGTTACTCCCTGTACTGCCCCAAACCACCCTGCCTGTTACTCCCTGTACCGCCTCAAACCACCCTGCCTGTTACTCCCTGTACTGCCCCAAACCACCCTGCCTGTTATTCCCTGTACCGCCTCAAACCACCCTGCCTTTTATTAATCTGTATGGTGCCCCAAACTTAGTAACTCCGTATGGCGCCCCAAACCATCCTGCCTGTTACTCCCTGCCCTGTACAGCCCCAAACCACCCTGCCTGTTACTCCCTGTACAGCCCTAAACCACCCTGCCTGTTACTCCCTGTACTGCCTCAAACCACCCTGCCTGTTACTCCCTGTACTGCCCCAAACCACCCTGCCTGTTACTCCCTGTACTGCCCAAACCACCCTGCCTGTTACTCACTGTACCACCACAAACCGCCCTGCCTATTACTCTGTAAGGCGACAGTTACTAGTCAGTATAATTAAAGGTGAGCATTTTTTATTTCCCCATTTTTTTTAATTCACAAGTGAAGTCAAAATAGCTTATTCACTCAAAAGGGTTCACTTCCTTTTCTTCTCTGTATTTTTTTTAAATTATTGCAAAAATCTTTAAAATAAAAACTTTAATAAAAGGACTGAGCCACTTTATGGGTTTTTTTGGTTCCTTCTTTACAGAAGTACCCTGTTCTGCATGTTTTCTTACCTTTTTGTACTTAGCAAGTAGACTTTCCACAGTGTAGCCAAATCGGGTGACATGTTTCTCCAAGTTCTTACCAACATCCTGTGTGATTACAAAAAGGTAAATCAGAAATTAAAAAGATGAGGATATAAGTATGAATTACATGGACTTTTTAAAGTCAAGCACAGGACATGGCTTTACATCTTTTTGAAAACAAAACAGGGTCACTCGGTAGTCTGGTAACATGATCTTTGGAGACAATGCATGGACTAAGACTTGGTACAAGACAGTGCTTCCAACACACTTGTTTTTGCAGCATTAACCCTAACCGCCCTGAATCCTTCAAAATCCTCTTTGCCAAAGTGGAGGAATTTGGAAGATTGAGGTTACATGGCAAAAGTGGGTTACTGATTTTGTAGGCTGCCCTTTGCCAAGGTCTTGGGCCAGACCTTGTGTAGTTTTTGCTCAGCCATGTATAAATATAAGCCTGGATTATGCTTGAAATCCTCCGTACTGCTCCAGGATGTCACTGGCCAAGCCTCAACATATTGAAAGTCACGGCCGCAGGATTTTGCGGGATTCAGGCAGTGGTCAAACCTCCGCGGACCATATTCAAGAAGTGATGGAGGAATTTGCAGGATTGAGGCTATATGCTATTTTCCCATGAGGCCAATTGGAGGATTTTGCAGGATTGAGGCTACATCCTAGCAAAAAGGCCTAGGGAGTTAGGAAGTTGCAGGTTCAAGCCTCCCTCCAATCAATTTCTTGCTGAATTTAAAAAGAACTTAATAATGCACCTAGTCAGTTTCCCTTTGTGGTTTATTGAAAAAGTCGTGGATGTGTTGTTTCACGCCGTGATCTGTTTTCATGTATTATGTTTAGTTGTGCGCAATACAGAATCCTGAGTCCCAAATTTTTTGACAAGTTTATATGATTCAATATCCACTTTAGGGGATGTAACTTAAGAATAATGGGTTTGACCCTTCATACTATCAACTGGCAAGCTGACCTCAACAAGCACGGTGAATTAAAGGTTACAACATCTACACTAGTAAGCAGGTCGTCATGGGTTCGAGTCCCTCCAAAGCAAGCTGGTAATTTTTTTCTTGCAAGCCGTTGGACAGTGAGTATACAGTCCGGAAAGAATGTTGCAACCTAACGCTGATTTTTTTTCTTCATATATCATCTCAATGAAGGTCAGTAATTGCAAAAATGATGATAAGACATGAATCTGGGACTGAAAAACATTTCCAATTTTGTTACTAAATACTTTTCTTGACTCTCCATAGACCTTGTACACAACCGCTGAAGTAGCGTCAGGTTGCAACATTCTTTCCTACACTCCTTACAAAAATCTGGTATATGAAGTGCCAAACCCAACATTACATTTTCAACTTATAGAGAGCTTACATTAAAAGCTGGATGGACACCACCGCTGTCATGGTCTAGCTTGACTCCTGTCTTCATGCCCATCTTGTAGAGGAGACGGTCCATGAAAGCCTTGTAGACAAAGCCTGGATTCTTGAGAGGACTCTGTAACCTCCTGGGAATACCACAAAAACACCAGATAAAGGTCTTACATATGAATTGTTTGATCTTTCTTTCTGATTGTTTCAGCCTCTACTCGTGAGTGAATTCTTGCTGCTTTGTAGTTGAGGTACTTGTAAAGGATCACAAGAACATCACAAGAAAAATCACAAGTCCAGTCACGAGCAACTGCCGATGAACTATAGCAAATAAAGAAATGCCTACTATGTTGCAGTTCATTTCAATGTCCTAGGACTTGACTTGTGATTGACCTGTGATGACTTGTGACAGACTTGCGATGACTTGTAACAGACTTGTGATGACTTGGTACAGACTTGTGATGACTTGTGCTAGACTTGTGATACACTTGTGATGACGTGTGACAGACTTGTGATGACTTGTGACAGACTTGTGATGACTTGTGACGTGCTTGTGATGACTTGTGATAGACTTGTGATGACTTGTGACAGACTTGTGATGACTTGTGACGTGCTTGTGATGACTTGTGATGACTTGTGATAGACTTGTGATGACTTGTGATGACTTGTGACAGACTTGTAACGACTTGTGACAGACTTGTGATCCAACACACTCACCTTGACAACAGCACTGGCTTTTGGCCCTGATATGGGCAACTAACATTAAATTTCTTTTCTTTCCATTTTTGGACTTACTTGACGGTTTCCGACAGTTCCTTGCCTGCCATCTGCATGCCTGTGAGGGCGACATACATACGCAGGATCTCATTGGTGCCTTCAAAGATGAGCAGTATGCGAGCGTCTCTCAGGTACCTCTCATACGGGTAATCCTTCATGTAGCCTAGACCACCTAGGATCTGTAGGGCCTCACTCACGTGGGTCCAGGAACCTTCCGAACTGAAGATCTGCGGGGATTCAGAAACAGGAAGATATCAGGGCTAAATTTTAGGACTCTATCATTAGCATGGGATTTTCTGGGATAAAAACTTATTTTATTTCCAAAATGATGGACGTTTACCAGTTGCTCTGTATTCAACATGATGTGCTTTTTTTCCCTTTTCCTTTTTTTGTACTCTACACTGTCTTCATGAAATCTGCATTTTCAGGTCACTAAACTTAAAAGCTTGATCACGGACCATTGCGAACGTCACCAGTCAAACGGTGTTCACATCGTCATTGTGAAACTCTTCCGCCCTGGTTCCCTGTTGTATATTATCATGCATATGACTGTTGGTAACCAGCAATGTGACCGACCTTGACAGGATGGCCCTCCATAGTCAAGCAGACTTGCCACGCTATGGCACACTAGCACAGCTGTGAGTGACGTTAGCTGGACTATGGTTAACTATAGACAAACCCCACGGCAGCCATTTTCTGCGGTGGCACCATGATCGCATGATTCGCGCTCGGGAGCACTCTGGGCTCCTTTGACCAATAGGAATACCAAAATGCGCGCGCCTCGTCTTTAAGAATGCATGCAGCATGCAGCATGCGACCTGGTCTTTAAGAACACACGCAGAATGCGTGCGAGTGCGACACCACCGCAGCCAAGGCTTCTGATTCTGGTCGCCGGATATTTTATTTATTTCTTATTTACCCTGGGGAAACCTCTCAGTGGTACACTGTTTTCCAGAGGTGCCCAGCAATTATACAGAACAATTCCTTTAAAATTACAATTACAGAAAACACTAAAAATAGTAAACAGTAAAATGCGAGGTACATAAAAACACTTAAAAAGTTAAAATATATAAAAAATAATCACGGACCAGCCAGTAAAAACAAACAATATACAGATACACACACCCATTGAAAAAATTGCAATGAAAAAATGAAGAGCACCCATGCACTGCATAAAACTCTGCGTTCAACCTGAGAGAACTACATGTATAATATTGAATCCTGCGCACTATGGGTCTCACTCGCAATCAACCATGACCTCTGACCTTGACTATAGCAGCCTCCAGTGAGCAATCCTGGGGTCCCGGTCTGTCCAGCATGCCAGCGGTCAGATACGCCATACTCTCCATCACGTAGGCAGTAATCGTCATCTGGGCTATCTTCTCCTGGATCAGACCGAAGTCTCGTAACTTGGTGTTGAACTGTTTGCGTGTGTTGGCGTGTTCCGTTACCATGCCTGCATAGACACAAAGACAGAATTACGGACTTCTACTAGAGGCAGATCGTAAGTCAATCACCAGTAAATCATGAGGCAAACACAAGTCAGTCACGATACAATCACAAGACGATCACAAGTCAATCACAAGACGATCACAAGGTAAACACAAGACAATCACATGACAGAAGGAAGTCAATCACAACTAATCGCAAAACATTCACAAGTCATATCACAAAACAGGTCACAATGACACAGGAATTGACAACGAACATTTGTACAATATATGTTGAAGCACACAACAATTCTGTCCCATTTTAAATCCTCAATGATGTCAATAGAGGGCGCCACAGACAATCACACTTACCCACAGCAACTTTGAGCATGCCGGCTCCAGAGCTACCCATGCTGAAGCGACCGCTGTTCAGAATGTTCATAGCCACCTTGAAACCACCTCCAACCTCCCCCAGAACGTTCTCAATTGGGACGGGCGTGTTCTCAAAGTAGACTTCCGTTGCTAGGGGCAACACAGCAATAATAAAGTAATTAGAATAAAAATCGGTCTGCTCCGTACAATCTCTGTACAATTAAATATATGACTTTGCCTTCACTGATGTATATTCTTAACAAGCAATGTATACTCAATACTGTCCGAGAGTACAAAATGACCCACTAAAGCCCAAGTCACACATTCATGGTTGGAGCTACGAATATCCACGGTTTACCAAGAATCAATCGATCGGATAGCCATGACAGTACTACGATATCTCTACGAATACACCAGGGTTTGTCAAGAATATAGACGGATTGGTGAAGAACATCGACGGTATTAATAAGAATAATGACGTTAACGCCACGGTTGTCTGCGTTTGGGTCACGGATGACCAAGGTTCTCCTACGCATAAAGCGTGGATATTCGTAGTACAACCTTAGCAGAACCCCAGCACACCCGGGCATATCCGTAGGACATTCGTAGTGAATTCGTAGAGATTTTTACCACAAATGCACCACGAATCTCCAAGAATATGCGCGAATAGCCACGAATAACACTACAAATAAATACAGTTGTCTTACGGATGTCCCACATTTGCACTACGGATTAATTTTCATGACGGTTCCCCATGAAAGTTATGAACAGTTTAAAATTCCGTAGCCCCTCCACGAATACCCAAGGAAGATGACGGATAACCACAGATGTACTAAGGATGAATACGGTACTCCCACGGTTTATCACGAATTTCAAACCACGGAGACCCGTAGCTCCAAACCGTGAATGTGTGACTTGGGCTTTAGATTTGACATATATCTCATTCTTCAACCAAGTGTTGAAAATTGACTGAAGTAGTATTCGAACCAGGAACTATCAGAATATTTACAAGTCCCCTACCAACTGAGCTAGTCAGAAATTTCAGTGGTTACCCATGTTTACACAAAAAAAAACACTAAACAGAGACAAGTATGAAAATTGTGTGCATATAAAAAGGACATGGAGCATAAAATGAACAATTTCAACTGAACGTGAACAAAATGGCACTAAGGTGTCCTTCAACAAAAGTTGTACTCTGACATTTTTACTGTTGAGGGGCACTTACGCATGGAGCGCATAATGAAGCACTTATGGTGAACTGTTTGGATATTCATTCAACAGATGTCTATAACATTTGCATTTCTCTAAATATTAGGTTTGATATCTTACTGTTGGATCCTCTGATGCCAAGTTTATCCTCCGGCTTCCCGCTTGTCACACCACCGAACGCTCTCTCCACGATGAACGCTGTGATTTTGTCCTGCTTGACACCCTAAATGAACAAGGCACAAAACACTCATCCTTGCACAAGTCCAGTCACAAGCAAAAGGGGATGAACAATTACAAAGGAATGTTTCTGTCACATTCATTTAGCTTTATTATGACTTAACTTGAGTTTGGAGGACTTGGGATGGACTTGTGATGAATTCGACTACAATACTGAAAATATTTTTAATTATACCTTAACCTCTACTCCCTAGCGTCTTTTACTAGGAACTGGACCAAGTCCATCAAAATCCATCAATCAATGTGCGTCCAATACAAAACTATTCATGACATAATGGAATCCACCACTGACGCACTGGTTGACATTCATGGACTTGCTACACATGGCTTTGATCACAATAGCAGTACAGGAAGCTAGGCAAAATCAATCGGATACCCCTAGCACTGCTTCAGGCCATTAGGCCCAAGTCCATCGTACTCCATCAACATTTAGTCACGCCAGGCCTTTTGGACCAAGTCCCCAAAAATCCACCAAAATGGGGGGATGGATTTTGATGGAGTTGGGGTGGTTAGGGTTAACATTTGCACAAGACTTAAGACCTTTAAGAATATTCTTTAGTTCAACTTGAAAAGTTTTCATAAGTTATAGGCCTCCACAAATCAAATGAACCGTCAAGAGAATATTTTGCATTCTATGTTAAATCTGACAACAATCTAGAAATTCTCCAGACATAGCAGAACATAGTTAATTCAGCAAATTCCGGAAAATGGTCATCATACTACCTGGTCGTCTGTGATTTCTGTTCTGGCAAACACAGTCATCATGTCTGCTATACCACCATTGGATATCCAGATCTAAAATTGTAAAAAGGTAATTCCAATTAAAGTTTCTTTCAGTTAACCAAAACAGGAAAGGATACAATATAAGAACCACTTGCTATCTGGAAAACACCTTCTAATGTCTGTTCTTCAACGCATTGTTCTATATCTGTATATGTAATAGTAAGCTTGCAGCCGAGTTTTTTATTAGAGTGCATTTCTTCTTGAACTGTACACTTAAACAAAAATTATACAAAAAGAAGGAAACCCACTTTTGACAGCAATTTTTACCTACTTGTTGAGCATATTTCAAAAATTCAATTAAATGGTATTAAAAAATTGATCTTTACACATAAGTGATAAAAAAAAGATTGCAAATGCATATTTTGTTTCTGAGATATGGCAGTTTAAAAATTTCATGTGCCAAAATCTGTTTGTCCACAGACGGTTTTATTCCAAAACACTACACTAGACTTACACGTGATTTTGGTGACTTGTTTTCAAATAAGCATAATAACACTATTCTTGTGATTTTTAAAGATTTTTTCACCATGTATAGTTGAAGGGCTATACTTCAAAACATTATAAAAAAAGTTCAAGTAGGTTAAAATTCCTGTCAAATGTTTTTTTTTTTCCTTTTTGTATCAACCTGTACAGTACGTCAGTATCTTCACATTACAAATTAATGGTTACTTTCTTATAATTACTGAGTGAGACTATAATGAAAATTCTCGGTCACCTTGCTTCCATTGAGGAGGTAGTGTTTACCATCCTTACTGAGCGTGGCCGAGGTACGTATAGAGGCTGCATCACTCCCACTGCAATCAAATACAGAGCAAAGTTGTAGATCAAACATAAAACTCTACAGATGTGAGTCCTACGTATATCCATGAGGGTTTTCTAATCTTCAGCTTTGCCTCCAACTTTATAAAGGGGAATAAACCAATACAGTCTACACATGACAGTGAGAACACTTTTTAATGTACAAACCTTGAAGGTTCTGTGAGTGCAAATGCTGCAACATGTTCCCCCGTTGCAAGCTTGGGTAGATATTTCGCCTTCTGCTCGTCATTACCGACAATTAAAATTCCCTGCGAGAAAAAAAACACAACAAAGCCAATAATAAGTAGGGTTTATTCAGTAGGCCCAAATATCAAGCAGACTGAAGCTCAAAGCACTACATTATTTTTTATTCAACTGTAAAACAAGTTTGGACTAAAAGATTTGAATATCAGAACTTAATCTTCAAAGAGATTTGTTGAATTTCTTAGATGGGTACTGAAGGAAATTGAATGTAATGACATTAGGCCTCGAACATCCTTATAACTGGAAATATGAAGAACGATATGTGAGGTAAATTGTGACCGGCTCCACAAAAAGGGTATTATGTCGCAAAAAAGTGAAATCCAGTTATATAATGGTTGGAAAGCCTACAATGTAAGCTTTCATTTTGTATATAATATAGCTCCACAGCTGCTCCTGTTCTGGAGATATGATGTATTTGCATATTAATTACTTCCTTGGAGTTCAAATTACACAACTGAGAAAACAGGCTTTGAAATAGCTGGCTTTGTTGTAGAACAACAGAACGATGCACACAAAATGGTTGTTTTTTCCACTTTGTTCATTAAAATCAACATTTCTGTGAATGAAACCTGAAACTGTAGGTATTATAGATGTCATTCATGAGAAAAAATGAAAATCACATTTTGATGAAGTGTTCACCCTCTCAACGTTGAGCAGGCCATTACACAATAATGCACATTTAATACCCTTTTTTGTGGAGCCGGTCACAAATGAGATGCCTTTCAAGGATATAACAGAGAAAGGTTCTGTTGGATGAGCTGTATAAAAGATTGATCCACTGAGCTATGCCCTGTAATGTTTGATCAACCACAGATGTCCAATATCTGTGCAATTGCATATGATGCACACGTCAGTGTTGCGTTGGAGAGGCACACGTATTGTTACCCCATATGTGCAGTTGGAATGGCCTAACGGATCCGTCTATACGTCTCTCAAAGACTCTGTAGGAGAGCTATAACTGCGCATTTTATACAATCAAGCACACATTGAGCAGTGTTGAAAATGTTCCAAACACGTGCGCTTGTTGCTCGAAATGTGTTCGAAATACGACGCAGCCGATGCGCGATATGCAAGTTGACACTCAAAATGCCGATGCACGTGGCTGGTCTGTAGGAAATGACGTCATTTGAGAGAGACCTACATGTATTGGTTTACCTTAAGCCCTATGGATTGATGTGCAGCCAATGTGACTGCTATGGCACCGTCCAGCGCAGTGATTTCAGCTATCCTGGCAAACTCAGTATTGGACAGTTCAAGACCGCCTATGAAAAATTTAAAAATGAATAGTTTAATATATTAAAATGTTGGGCTGTTTCAATTAATTCATTTTTTTAAAGACATTTTTAAAGACATTTTTAAGAATATTTTTTTCCATCTCATAAATCGTTTGATTGCGGTACCCACTGCTATATCCATTTGAACCAGCTAGCCATCCCCAGCAAGCTCTGTGATCGAGTGGTAAGACGTCTGCGCTAGTAAGCAGGGGGTCATAGGTTCGAGTCACACCAGAGTGGTTTTTTTTCTTCTCACAATCACTCGAGCAACACTGAGTATACAGTGTTTAAAAAATACATCGGTGAAGGGCAAGACCCAATCATGAAAGAAACATTTCTACAAAAATTTCATGAAGTGAAGAACTGCTGTTCATTTGACTTTAGCTTTGCAGTAAATACGTACTGGTATGCTGCCCGGATAGCACTAGCACAACACACATTTATTTTTCCAACATTGTGATTAGAAAGGTTTTGTAACAAAATCCTACCATATGTCTGGGGGACCTGCATTCCAAACAGACCCAGGTCCTTCAGGGTTTGTAGCGTCTCATCTGGAATCTTAGCTTCAAGGTCTTGCTTCTTAGAATCAACTGCACACGAGGACAAAAAAGGAAGGAAAAAAAAGACATTAAATTATGAACTGTTTATTCACCTTGTTGAAGTGTTAAGCGTAGTAAATATTGACGAGTTTTATTTTTTTCTCTTTCGATCATCATCATTTGAATATTTACCATCTTCTTTGAAGAACTTTTCGATAGGCTCACACATCTGGGTGAGGTCGTTGTATTTCTCCAAGGAGATTTCTGGGTATGGGAAGACATCTTCCTGTAAATCAAATTGGGGAAAAACCAGAAAAAGTTTAAGTGTTGGTATGGAGATTTTGTACTTCAATTACAGCACTTGTCACAAAAAGCTACCTGTGACAATAATCTGTTACTAAATGGCAATAAAAGGGTTCAGTTTAAATTTTAATGGATGTGGGAAGGGCTTTACAATATTATGAAATACCATGACAAAAATGATTGTGCAGATAAGGCCAAAAAAAAAAAAACCCAGTTTCTTATCCCCGCCGACTTCCTTTTTCTGCTTTTTTGAATTCGTATACATATTTTGCACACGAACTGTCAATTATTGTCTTGCTCTTTGTTTCAAACAAAATTGCAGTTATGTACAATGGGAATTGGTTCCCTTGGACACAATTTTCAGTCCTGATGATTTGAAAATCACAGGCGTGTGGAAAAAAGGCACACCTGGATTTTGTCTAGGTGTTGATTTTCTTAGGCGTGTGATTCTGTGGTCCAAACTGGGACTGCACAATCAGGTATTTTTTATAATTAATATGCCTATTCATCTTGGTTTACAGTAAAGCCATTTCAAGAGCTTACGGAAGTATAATGATGTCCTAAATGTATGCCAAGGTGTGCATTTTGTATCAACTAAAAATTTGAGAAAATTGAAGAATCCATCCACAATCATGGAAAATCAGCCGTCTTGGGAAAAAAAAAGAAGGGAAAAGAAATGACTGGCTGAGGCCCAGATGAGAAACTGTTGTTTTTTTTACTTGGCCTAAAGCACACATGCTTGGTAAAACTGCGATGACACGTGCCTGACTGCAAATGTATGTCAACATATTAAATCATAACAGAAACTAAAAAAAAAAAAACACCCCCTCCCCAAAAAACACTATACACAAATCAAAAGGAGAAAAAATTAGAAATAAAATCCAATTGAACTTTTAAACAAGTAATACTTTTTGAATGATTTTATATATCATAGGCCTAAAAAAAAAGAAGAATTAGGCCTACCGATAGTCCCCAGACCACGTCCCAATATTGGAAAGGCGAAAAGTAGGTCAACATGTAGGGCTCAAGTTACTCAGACGAGCCTACCGATATTAAGGCCAAATAAAAAGAAACATGTTTTACAGCGAATTAGCGTCTCCCTGCCCGTTTCCTTTTTTGAGGTCGCCTATTTTTTATTTATTTTTTTAAACAGAAAACATGATAAATTTTCAACAGTGACATCATTTTGGCCTCTTTGTTGCATTTAACCCATATAAAGCTGGTAAATATAAAGATCGGCCATCTTGAAAAATAGCAAAAAGGCAGGACGCTAAACAACATGTTTTTTTCATTTTGCCTAATCGAAACCTTCACTTTTGGGAAACGTCCTGAACTTAAACCACAAATACGAACAATGTCGCAATTAAACTTTTTATACAGTGTCACTGTCAAACACTATAAACGTTGAACCCCCAACCCCCCCTCCAAAAAAAACCCTCCCCCTCCAAAAAAAAAAACCTCCCCCTCCCCGCCCCCGAAAAAAAAAGAACACGCATTCATGAACATGATGAAAATTAAGCTTAAACATTTTAAGACAATTTCAAGACATTGAAATGACGGTCATGACAGATGACGGTATAGAAAAGTTAACAAATATGCAAGTTAAGTAATTTATTGGCTCTTTGACCAAAGTGTGGCCTCCGACTCGAGCGTAATCAGACTGCCTTTTAAGTTTTATCCGCAAACCTTGTTGAACTGTCCCAAGAAAAGATTCTTGATGAACGCAACGTTGACGGGACGACTCGTGTGAAGATGACGATCGCTGGATCTGATCTCTTTACCTCTGGCAACCACCACGGTCGCGTGCGGTGATCGAGGCAGCAGTCTGGTGTCTAAACATCTCTGAAACCGACTAAAATGTGATACATTTCTGCTTAACATTTTGAACCAATGATGTCGAATTCGACGGTCCGAATTCGATTATGCACACACATACGCGTTTATGCAATTTCAAAGTGCGCCCTCTCCTGTCAGGATGTGATAGAGCGAAATTGTAGCGTTTTCCAAACATCGGCTTCGTTTCAGGTCGGCAAAAGGCGATTATAGTCGGAATATTTCAACGTAAGTTCGGGTTTTGTTTCAAGAAAATCAAACTCGTGTGGAAAATCAGAGATAAATCTAATGCTGGAAGCGAAGCTCAGGTTTAGCATATTTCCAGCTAAAATTTACTGGCTCCCGGCACCTGCAACCCAGATAAATCAACAATTTTTACCAATACGCACACAAATGTAGACACAGAACCTTTCCCATTCATTTCCATTTTTACCAAAAGGTGTGTAAATCCTGAAATAGCATGAGTACAGTATTCCCCCCCCCCCAAGTTGCTGGACCTACAGCATGATCAGCATCTGCTAAACACCTGAATGGCCATTCGCTCTTTTCACACTCCGCGATGGGGATATGCAGAGCCTCGATCTGGCAACTTTACACAATAAAAATAGCCGGTTCAGTGATCTGAACCTCAACACGGGAATCACTGAACCGGCTATATTTGTGTTTATATAACTGACATACAGATCCTAGTCATTTGATTGGTGGAACTCCCATCACATGACATTCGTTATTGCTCCCATTCACGCCGCGGCTCAAAAAGTACTATCCGCCGATGGGGAATGGGAAATACTATAGACCGCTTGCAGACGCGTTCGATAATCGACGCGCAAAGGCGCGCGATGCCATGTTGTGGGACAAGCGCATATCTATCCATGCACATTTTGTCCCACAACATGGCGTCGCGCACCTTCGCGCGTCAATTATCGAACGCGTCTGCAAGCGGTCTATTCAACAGTTAGGATCATGACGAAGTATTTGTGTGCAAATGAATGCTGGTGTGCGCGTTCAGCGTTGCGCGTAGCGCGTATTGTTCCACGATCCGGCGCTACAGCGTTAGGTTCAAACATTTTCGTGATGGGGTGGTTTTGAAGAGAGAAATAGCTTTTCCTTCAGTTTTGTATTGAAATAAAGTGCAAATATATCAAATGACAAGGAGCTTTATGTCAGTTATATAAAACAAATATTGAGTGGCTTTAAATTGTGAAATGGGAGGAATATTATCGCTCGGTAAAATCTGGACTTTTCCAGTTCACTCGGCTTCGCCTCGTGAAATGGAAAAGTCCAGATTTTACCTCGCGATAATATTCCTCCCATTCCACGCTGAGCCACTCAATATTTGTATAAAAGTTGCCAGATCGAGGCAGTACATGCCCATGGCAGACATGTGAAAAGAGCAAATGGCTCTCGTTTCCAGCGTCCTTAAAAAACCCCATTTGCTTACACTTTTAATTCACAAGCCAGGATTTATTTCCATGCACAGAATTGGTCACAGGGACCAGGTCTGGCATACACTAAAGTGGGGAAGGGGGGGGGGGGGGGCAGGGGGGGGGCAGGGGGGGGGGGGGGGCGGGGCGGGGGGGCGGGGGGGGGTCAATTCCAAATTGATGGTATCACTGGGTAAACTGAATCATTCCTTGTATTAACAGGCATGCAACTGGGAGGTCACAAAAAAAGAGAAAATTCAACCTTTCCAAGACTTTGTACAGTGTTTTTCTATTTTCAATGATACACATGGGAAGTAAAAAAGAGGAAATCAGCTGATCCGAGGAAAAGTTGCATGCCTGTATTAAGAAGCGCCAAGATTGAAAATGTAATTGAATAAAAAAAAGAGACCAAGACTTCCTGCTTGAAATTCAATTTTTTTTTTTCTGATAATTTCCAGACAAGTTTATAACACACCGACTGAAAACAATGACACAATGCAGGCAGATTGGGTTTATGTTGGCTGTTCATTTCAAAGCCTTTTATTCACAGACTGAATTACAAACTCTGTAATATACCTTGTCAGACACAAGTTATAACCCACTGGTGTTGGAGTCTACAAATGACCCCATGACCTCTGTATATTCAACCATGACCCCTGTATATTCAACCATGACCCCTGTATATTCAACCATGACCCCTGTATATTCAACCATGACCCCTGTATATATTCAACCATGACCCCTGTGTGGGGCGGACAGTAATGCACCCTTCTGTGTTTGCAGGGTGTGTCTAGTTGAAGCAGGTGTTGGGCCTTCTGGTGGTGAAGATGGGCCTGAAGGTGCGCTGGGTGCGGTGAGCCAACGGGAACTTGATCTTGGAGTTCTGTAGGGATATAGATTTCAAATAAAGGTTTAATATTCAATATCTTATCTGACAATAAAGCGCCAACATTAGGATTAAATTAATGTTACAGTCAAGTGTGCGTGCAGTTTTTTTTTCCCCTTCAAATATTCAAGGTTCTCAAGCATTCGTGACAGCCCTTATTTCCAAGGACCTACTGGTGGGGTCCCGTTGTTCCTATTGTTACCCTCTGTTCCCGGTACCCTGTATGACTTTATATGTAACAACACTTTTGCCCCACAAATGCCCTATGCCCCAATGTGGTAACAAGTACTAAGTAACTGCTCCCAAGGCTGCGGCGGAGTTTGACTACCTTTGCGTTGGGAGATCAAACCAGCCAACGCCTCAAAACCAGTACTTTTGCTATTCTTCCTTTCAAACCATACACAGGCCATCAGCCTCGGTCCAAAATTTTGGCCGCTGGTATCAAATGAGAGGAATAATCATCATAGCGACTTTTGGCAAGGTATACACCTCCAGAATTGGAAAATATGTGATAGCATTGCAACGGTGGCAGCTTTTTGGGTGTAATCACCCTTTTTTTCAAAATGTCCATCAAAATGCTTGTTGCCACTCTGAGGGCGGTATACCTTGCGCGTGCCCACTATGATCATTCATGCCCTGATTTGATACTGGCCAAACCCCCGAGCTGATGGCCTAACAAGCATCTGCGAAAATACAGAAAGAGTGAGTCAGACAGGATTGCTTACATGGAACTGCTTGATGTTGGGTCGTCGGCATTTCTTGGCCGAAACCGTCTCCACCTTCATGATCTGGATGCTGCTAGCTCTGGCACGGTGACGAGCTCCCATGTCACGGTCTATAAAACAGGAGGTGCAACAATAAAGGGGAAGGAATCAATAGAGTGAAGATATGTGATGACAGTTTGACACCAACTGTTCGCTTTGAGGAGGTTTCTTCTCACCTTCACATTAGAGTTATTGCTCTTGTTGGCCTGCAATTAATCATCGGTCCTTAACTCTAACTTTCTAAGGCGATTTACTAGGAACCTTCTTCATCCTTGCAAATCCCAACACCATATGGTAAGCTGTTCACAAAACCAGTTTGAACTCGGTTATATGTGGTAATACCACTCAAAGCAGTCAGTTTACTAGTGCAGGACTCATCCTGCCAGATCCCAGCAAACCTTGGTGTTGGAGTTTGGCTGGTTAGGCATCGTTAGGGTTAATAAATTACATTCACAAATTTTACAACCAACCACCCCCCCCCCCAAAAAAAAACGAAGAAAGTTTCTTGATAGGGATATAAGATATATTTTGTTGCAACTTGTTTCACTCCCATGAACACAATTGTTTGTTCTGAAAGGCGACAAGCTGCTATTTTTTTGCTATATGCACATTTTTGGAATTGGCAAGCAAAGATGGGTTTCTTTGTACCAACGTATGTTGTGCAAAGACTTGTAATGTGAGCCTGCACTTCACAAGTCAAAGCATCAAATAAATGATAGAATCTTGCATCAGGATATGTCAATTTCAATATCAAAGTCTACCCAGAGTGCAAAGCTCGATAATTGAGTCAATGCATAAACAATAGCAGAAGATTCAAGAAAATAATCTCGAAACATCACGACCATTCAAAATTACTGGAGTAAGTAGGAACTCCTTGTGAAAAAAAAGGATGAAAACAAATGCCAGTAACATTCTTTGAAGTAGCTCACTTACATGGTATGATTTACAACACTGAACACTGCAACTATATAAAGGAAAGAAACCCATCCCAACACATTGAAGGAAACTTATGTAAAGTTATGTAGTGGTTTACAAAAGTGAACAATTACAAAAAAAAGGATTGTATGGGGAAAATATCACAAACGAAGAGAAAGACTTTTTCCGATGGCTTCATGTTCTCCTTCGGGCTCCTGCTGCCCTTTTCAGTTTCTGCCTTGTAAATATCCCAAATAAGCATTTTTTTTGCTGGACACAAAATATTGTTAAACAATTTTCTAGCTAAGCAAAAATCTGCTGGAAACCTGTCACATGCAACATCACATGACTTTTTAGCAGGTAACCTACAGTTAAGCACACTTTTTGTGCTAAGTTTATTATTTGTGCTTAGGGCCCATTTCAATTCATATCCCGGACAAGTCCGGAGACGTTGGGGTGCAACTCTGTCCAAAAGGAGCTCTGTCCCGGACATGTTATGGGAAAAGTTTCATTAGCAACTGCTTGACTCATCAATACTGATCACTTCATTGCGGGAAGATTGCAGGGAAGTTCTTCAGAATCCTACGACTTGTCCTCTCCAAGAACTCGTCTTGGATAGGATTTGAGACCATGCTCCTGTTTGTACTCACAGCACTGAGTGACAGCCCCAGCAGTGGTCAGATCACGGTACTCTCTGTACATGTTGTGGGTGCCGCTGCGGGAGTCGTAGCGAAGCCAAATGCCAAAGTTCTTGATCTTGGTTGGCTTGGTCTCGTAGATCTAACAGAATGAAACAAAACAAAAATAAAGTACTATCAACAGGGCATCTAAGCTGACAAGATTATATACTTGTGAGACTTCTAGTCACACTGTATGCGATCTTGAGCTACAGAATGTGTGGTAAAATATTTGAATTTGTTTTATTTCTAAAACCTAATAACTGGTTAAAATCACTACCACGTGGTTTTTGTGAAACACTCTTCATTATTTTCAATGCACAACTTCGAGCATGAAATTCACACAATATTTGAAATATGGCATATTTTTGAAAAGAATAAAAATCAAAACTTTTGAGCTCAATTTCCAATCAACTGGTCATGCACATTAGCACTGTAAAACACAGTAAGCCTAGTAGAACACAGCAGTCTGTGAAACTTGGACAGGTCTGAATCTATAGCCTAGAATTTCTGTCTAGGTCTTTGATAATTAAAACTACAATGGAGCCATGCTGACAAAACACATAGCCTTAGCTCTAAGAACCTATTTACACACTGCTTAGTCAGTTTAGAAATTTTCTCAGAAATAATGTTGTTAAAAAATACATCAAAAGATGTTTTTGTAGCAACTTGTTTCACTCTCATGAACACAGTTGTTTGTTCTGAAAGGCGACAAGCAGCCTATTGGTTGTTTTCTGCACATTTTAGAATTGGCCAGCAGAGATGAAGTTCTTTGTGCCAACGTATGATGTGCAAGGCAGCGACGTTGGTTTCATTTTCTTCAACAGACCTCAAATTTGAGGTAAACATCTGCTCGACTAAAGGGCATGGCGGTGGTTACGAGCCATTGCAATAATCCTCACCTTCCTGCAAGACACGATCTCTCCCCTGGTCTTCTTGATCTTCTTGAGCTTCTTGATGAAGTACCAGAAGCGAGACTTGGCTGAGACCTCTTCTGAGGAAAAGATGCGCATCTTGTAGAGCGCGGGCAGGGGCTGCTTGTCGGTCGGGATGGCCCGACCGATCACCTCGAACTCCTTCAGCTGTGGGCAAAAAGGGGCACGGGATCAGGAAACTAGTTAGAACATGCCTGTGTTTTGAAGTTTAAAACAATTTTACTTTTGTTGAAATTAAGCAAGAATTAACTTTTTCTTAAATTTGTTTAATTGACTTTTTCCAACTTCAACATCAACTAGGTATGGGCTCCGTGCGCCGACGAAAGAGGGTGCCCTTTTACCTAGCAACAATGTCCCATGGGCAGGACATTTCACTGGTTGACGCGCACTGTTCCTTGTGTGTGACGCACAAACACCAGGGGATTTGTACTATGTACACGCAGTGGCCGCGTTTCTCAACAAATGAATTGCAGTCAGGCAAGATGGCGTTGGTCGGTCACCCCCAACTGTACTCTCTTTGCCGGTGAGGGGGTTCTTGTGAACGTAGCGGATATGCAGGTTCTGTGCATGCTGCATGACTTGGGCCACATCATCATGTTTTTAAAACTCTTGTTTTTTTTTACCAAATATTTTTGGTCCGAGGTCCTAAAAACCATCGTTGCAACATTTTAAAGTGACCTGGATCAATCAGGGCTGCTTTTTTGAGAGATTTTTTCCCCCCCAAAACATGAAATTTTGGATGCAAGTAATTCTAGAATATGGGCGCCTTCTAGTTCGCCTACTATTCTGACATCACTTGTAAAATCTCCACCAGGGATTTAAAACTGTATTCCTTTTATGGGGCACTGCATTCTTCATTGGGCTATCTCTCCAACTTTTAAAAAATTAACTTTATTTTCAAAGCACAATCCCCAAAAACACAGCATGATAAGGATCTGATTTTTTTCTTAACCCCTCTATAAAAAGTTAAAAATTGAATTGAGTCTGCAAACTTGGTTGGTTAAAAATACTGAGGACCTTATCTTTTCCCAATGAAAACTTTTGGAAACTACAGAAAGAATTACATACGTACGCCACTTGACACCCTGTGTACAAAACCTATGAGACTGGTCTGAAAAATGTTAAGTGTTTTCCAACTAAATGCTTCAATATTTTCCCTGCTATCCAATTTCACTTTTTAGGACATGTTATTCCTCTTTGATGGTTGATGAGTAAATTACAGGGAAAAAAATTGGCATACGTGTATGGAATTTGTTCCGAAAATACAATACACTTGTTCCATAGACTTTGCACACAACCTGACAACCAAAGAAGTGGCGTCTTGATACTAAATTCTTTCTGGTGCCAAGCACTGAAGCAGTATGAGAATCTATGCAGTTTTGGGAAAGAATGTTGCAACCTGACGCTAATTTAGCGGTTGTGTACAAAGTCTGTGGGGAGTCAAGAAAATCTTTTTAAGTATTTCTTAACAAAAATTGAAAATGTTTCTCAGTCCCAGATTAATCTGTTCATGGCTTGTCATCACTTCTGCAACGACTGACCTTTATTGACCTATAAATATTAAGAAAAAAAACAGTGTCAGGTTGCAACATTCTTTCCCAGTCATGCCAGCTTTGCGTGTTCACGGTGCATCGCAGTAGGCCTAATCGCCACCTTTAGTTTTAACGTGTTGCGTTTTGTCGTCTCTAATTGTCGTAAATCCCTGCCCTCTATCATGACATCTACAACATACCTGTTGCTTTTAATGTTGCTAACTAGTGTGCTAAGTCCAATAATCTAAAAGCCGACTTCTTTTTTTTCCTTTTAAGTTAACAGGAATACAGGATTACGGACAGGGCCCACATTAATCGTCGCATGGTTTCATGTCCGAAAACTGGGCTCAACTACACACGTATTCATCTATCACGTGTCGAAATATGATTTTATTATCCTCAAAGAGAGAAAAATATTATTCAGATTACAATATTAATGTTATATATAGAATCTATGATACTTAAACTTTAATACAAACATTAAATATCATGCTAATATGGAATTTCAAGTCTGAAAAATTACGTCCAAATTACTGACCATTCCTTGGGCCTTCATGGCGATTTCCACGAGGAGAAAAAGAGACCGACCTGTACACACTGGTACCCGGCCCCAATTTCCATACACGCAGAAATATTGGACACCAGTGCAGTAATTCCGCTCACTCCGGCTGGATGTTTACGAAACTTCGGCTTTGTTCCAATTTCGGGTTACTTCGCAGGATAAGATAATTGTATGTCTCTATTAAGGCAAAATCCAGTCCAAGGTTGATTTTTTTTCTTTTTAAGGTTTCTTAATGGTTTTGGTGCTGAAGGATATGAAGCCAGGGTTTAGAAACACATTGTGATTTTTTTTGTGGGGGGAGGGGAGGAGGTAGTCTATGTAATAGACGCTCGTTGAAGACGGCTCGCTCCGTAGAACGGGTGGTACTCAGACTAGGGAGGAGGGAGGGGAAGTGTGAAAAAGTAACAAAACTTACAAAAACAACCAACAAATATCACTAAACCTATGTGGATAATGTAATAAAAGAGGGCAAAATGTTTCCCTCAAAATTCTAGTTGTGATGAATAATTGGTTTCCCAAGGTTCAAAGATGGGGGGGGGGGGGGTATGTCTATATAATGTCTATTTTCAAAGTCATTCGGGTCTATTAATGCCATATGTACCCAAATAAATAGGCCAAACAATTTTCTTTTCTCTGCTTTGAACAATATTACGGAAAATTGATGTGAAATAATGTTAAAATACACTTGTCAAATTTTCTCCAGCATCAATGACATTACATTACATGTTTTGCACAAAATAAATGTGATACATAAAATAAAATAAATCATAGACACATTTTATTGAGACTGTCATGACACACTTTTGGGTGCACTTTAATCAATCAATAGTTTCTTACCCCTTCCACAAATGAAAATACATTTTATAAACAATGGGAAAATAGCAAAAAATCAATTGTGCAACTGAGATTTCTCAATTAATTTTTTTTTTTAATCTCTTGTACTTTTCTACAATAAATCTATTTTACTGTATCGGTCATTATTTCAATAAAACAAAATCAAATGCATTTTGAGTTATGCACCAAAAACAAAATGTTAAAATGTTGCATCTTAATTATCCTAAAGGACTGGACACGTTTGCCAAAATATGCAATTTATTGAAATTTAATTGTATTATTAAGAAAGCTGATAAGATAATTGTAGACGGCGGGCAAGTTGGATATATAGGTATGTCTAAAAGAAGTTAAAACAATCTATTGGCGTCTAAACTGTGTCTTTTTTTTAGCATTACCCTCAAATAAATCATCAATGAAATATTCTGAACTGACCGTGCACAATAGCATGATTCACACTGATGATTCTTTAAAAAAAAATTTAAAATGAATTAAATCTTTGGAAATACTACAAAGGCTTCTTATGCATTAAGACTGTGTTGAACTTTATTGCCAATTTCATTTAACAAATAACTGGCACCCACAGATGACACGTGTACATATGTCAGTTTTAGAAATGTTACAGCAGGCCTGTACGTACAGGGTGAGTAAAAAAACCCCGAAACACAAATGTTGGGACCATTGTTTTAGTGAAGTTCTGCATGTAGCACTTTCAATATCTAGGATATGAAAGCCCAATTCATAAGCTTTCTTTTAGTACAAGAATCATTCAAATCACTCATGTGCTTTTCAAGTTACAGAGTTTTAAACACAACCACCGTTTAAGGTTCTGTCCACGGATCACAAAAAAGTTCAGTGTTCTTTCAGCAAAACGAAAAAAAATCACATAGAGATGTGTGTTTTGCTGAAAGAACGCACACTTTTTTTTTGTGATCCGTGGACAGAACTTTAAAGCGGTGGTACCGTTCCTTCAATGGGGGCGCCGTTCAGATCCGACCATTATTAACATTTTAGAGACTGAAACGGCTTCTGTTTACACTCGAAAAAAATGTCTTTGTAACTGAACACCTGTGGCTTTGACCCCAAACACTTCATGTATAATTGAAACTAGTATTTTAAACTGTGTTGCGGTCAGACAAGGGACACAGTTTAACTTCCTACCTAGCTTGCACCTTCTTTAATGCTGAAACATGAAATGAACCTTATCTACATCTGCTAGAGGCCTATAGGTAATTGATGCATGAATATCACAAACCCAATCTTCTTGAAAGCGATGTCACCTGTATGGATGATCGCATAATCAGAGGAACCGTTGATATTATAGCATTCTGTGCTCCTGTACACTCCTCATGCCTTTGATAAGAAAGTGACATATATACAGACAGACAAACAGACATCCGACAGACAGCACATACATCAGACAGACAGCGAATAGGATCTTTTAAACGCAAATGTAACATCTCATTCTGAAAAAAAATAATCGGTCTTCCCATCTGTTATAAGTCATAAAAATAATTTAAAAACAGTAAAAACGTCAACGAATGTGATACAGGCCTGCCGTTCCTTTTACGGTTTGGGTGGTTCAGATCAGACGAGACAGCAAAAGCGGCACCGTACAAAGTGATACCCTGGATTCCATGACAGTAACATCATCCCTGCGTACCAGTCACGGATGACGGAGTGTATAAAGCAGTTGAACCAATATTGTCAATGCATTTCAGCTTCTGTTTGGCGGATTGTCATTTTGATAAGTTCGTCTGTACGCAAAAGGCAGCTTTCCCTACACTGTGAGCTATAGACATTTAACTTGTCCGACAACCATCCATTCAACATGCGTAATGTTAGTCTGATGATCTGCATTGTGGGTAAGTGCAGCTGTTGGATTGTACATGTACAGCAGGGCGAGTTAAAAAAAAAAAACGGAACCCGAACCCCCAAAATTATATTTCATATTTAAAAAAATATGTAGCGCCAAAAATAATAATGACTGGAAAGCCCATTTCATAAGCTACTTTTGGATGAAAAAAATTACTGAAATTGGTCAATCCGTTCAAAGAATATCACCATTTAATCACAAGGACCCTAAAACCTGTCTCGTCCAAAAAAAATGCGATTTCAACAATCGTCGTCACAATTGTCTTCAAACATCACCAGCTATGAAATCTTAGTTTAAACATTAACAATATGCATCAAAAACCTTTTGAAGGCCCGTCTTTTAAAAAAGTAGATTTTATAAATCATATTGGTTGCCTTACCAGGGTTGTTAATCAAAATATTGTGTGCTACAGTTGGTGACAGTTGTTGAAACAAGTATTCTGTGTCATTTTCTTTGTTGTTCCAAACAGTCAAAACACACAATAAATAGCTTTTTTTGGACGAGGCGGGTTGTAGGGTCATTGCATTTAAATGGTGATATCTTTTTAACAGATTGAGCAATTTCAGTATTTTTTTCTCAAATAAAAGTAAATTGGCTTTCCAGTCATTATTATTTTTGGTGCTACACATTTTTTTTAAAATATGAAATACATTTTTGGGGGTTTGGGTTCCGCTTTTTTTGGACTCACCCTGTATACTGGAAAACGTTGATAGTTAAAACTTTGCCTACGTCTTGTATAATTCACACTTTCTTAGAAGCCTGACATGAAGATAATTCAATGTCACATACCTATCTGATAATTGTAATGGTCAAAAACCTATCAAATCCAACATCTTGATAACCAAAGCCTTTGCTTTGGCAATTTCAAAATTTCAAACGAGACGTGTGCAAGCAACTCTACAATGTTGTGTAGGCTACACACAATTATTGCATAATCTTTGCTCGTCATCTTGAGAAACATTTTTGGAAACATCTTATTGCTTTGAAAAGAAGATACACAGGCATATTGAATCAGAAAGAAGTCTATATAGAATTAATTGGCTACGTGTATGATTATGCATAGAGTAAAATGTTTCAAATGTTTTGTTTGCAGCAGCTTCGCTGTACGGTGTTTGCGATGCTTCATTGATCCGACGAGCACATAATCCGGTGAGTATTTCAGGGGATGGGGAGAATACTATTCGGTGAGTATTTCAGGGGATGGGGAGAATACTATTCGGTGAGTATTTCAGGGGATGGGGAGAATACTATTTGTATTGTTTGTATTGTTTGTACTATTTGTTTACTAAACATCACAAAGAAGGCAAAAAGATGGCTGGAAGCAATAAACCGAAATCAGTAGATAGGCTTAAAGCCCTGCTTAAGTTCTTCTTTTGAAATATAAAGTCAAATGAGAAAAAGTCAACAGGCTTTTAAAAGTGTCCTTGTTTAAGTAGGCACAGAGAGGACACATTTTTCCATTGGTGTGGAATCTTTTAATGATGTGAACTGAAATGGGAATACGTGAACTGCGTTATATAAATTCCTAATTTTGTTCATCTGTTGTGTTATCAACCATCTGAGGTAGTCAAAGAGTATGTAAGCCATGGATGCCGAATGAGAAACAATAAGCCGTTGACACAACTCCCCATTGATACGTGTAACTGTATGTTGTGGTCAGTTATCTCAGGTTAGGTGATGTCAAGGGTTCCTACTTCGATTATGTAGTTTTGCATGATATCACCATGGAGGAAGGAACACAATGTTCCTTCCTCCATGATATCACAATGTTAGCTGAGTAATTAAGATCAGCTGCAATTCGCTCTTTTCACACTTCCGCTATGGGCATGCAGCGCCTCGATCTGGCAACTTTACACAATAAATATAGCCGGTTCAGTGATTCCCGTGTCGGGGTTCAGATCACTGAACCGGCTATTTTTATTGTGCAAAGTTGCCAGATCGAGGCTGTACATTCCCAATGGCGGAGCGTGAAAAGAGCGAATACGCACTCAACAATCGAAGTATTAGGCCTATTGAATAATTCAACGAATAGAATGTAATTATAGGTTTTCCCGACAAATTTCGCAACTTGATCATTCAATCGGACAGAATTTTAATGCAGATTCGAAGAAAAACGGGCAACCATTATCAATATATTATGTTAAATTTAGCGTAAGTTCAAAATATTTCTTCAATCACTGCTGAAAAAAAAAGGCAGGACGATACGGGACTTGTGCGTCTTATTGTGTGAGCTTTCGATTCCAGTCCCGCTTGGGAATTCATTGGAATTCATTCACATACGTTCACAAAAGTTACACATGCTCAACGATATTGGGCAGCTACATTAACAGTATACTGCTTTATAGTGCTAAAACAGAGATTACATGAATTTGGGGGAAGTAACAAAGGAATATACACTCATTTTAAAGAAAAGTATG